CCATAATAACTGAAATAGTGAAAAGTTGTGAAGGTTTAGCTCCTGCGATTTTTACTATAGCCAAGGTATTAGAAAAGAAAGACCTGCATGCTTTGCAAGATGCCTTGATGCAGCTAAAGGAACATGTTGCACCAATAAGACTATGTATTAGAAATTGATACAAATTTCTAGAATAGTCTAGAAAAAATACTAAGAACAATCTAGGAAAAACTAATTGTATCTTCTAGTATGTAGATGCTTCTAGAGAAAGTTCTAGAATATTGTAAATCTTCAAGTTTCTAGATAGCTCTAGTATATTGAACCAAATGGTGGATGATGCCTATAAATAGGCATGCTACCTCATTGTAAATGCAATGAAGAAGAAGTAATCAAGACAACAATTCTCCATCTCTTGAGTCTCTTACTAAAACTTCTTCAACTACTATTTTCAACTATTCCTACTAACACATTTCAACTATCTTACTCATCTCACCTACACTAAAAACTATCAGTGGCATCAGAGCTACGTTCGGTCATCTACTGGGCGTAGAAATATTACCATACTATTTCAAAATTAAAATAAACTACTTCCAAGAATTTCCTAACCCATGGCTAGCACTACTCAACCATCATCTCTTCCCGTCCCCATTTTCAATGGCGAAAATTATGATTTTTGGAGCACAAAAATGAAAACATATTTCACTTTCCAAGATTTGTGGGATGTTGTGGAAGAAGGATTCACTACTCCCTCAGACATATCATCCCTTACTGCAGCTCAAAGAAAAGAATTGAAGGAAAATAAACAAAAGGATTCAAAGGCCTTGTTTACTCTACAACAAGCTGTGACTGATGCAATTTTTCCAAGAATAATGGGTGCTACAACAGCCAAAGAAGCATGGAGTATGCTGCAGGAGGAGTTTGAAGGAAGCGAAAAGGTACGCGCTATAAAACTCCAAACTCTACGACGAGAGTTTGAATTATTAAAAATGAAAGAGTTTGAGACCGTCAAGGATTACTATTCCAAAATAAAAGAAATGGTTAATCAAATGAGAGCTTACGGAGAAAATATTCTTGACAAAAAAGTTGTTGAGAAATTACTGATTACAGTTCCCCGTAAGTATGATCCAATTGTCACCACTATTGAGCAAACAAAGGACCTATCTACTCTATCAGTGACAGAGTTGGTAGGGTCCCTTGAAGCTTATGAGCAAAGGTTGAAAAGGCATGATGAGGACTCAATAGAAAATGTCTTTCAATCAAAGCTCAAATTACGGTCTCAGAATAAAGGGAATGAAGCAAGAAAGAATAATGGAGAAACTTCTAGAAACAAAGAGAATTCTAGAAATTTCTCTAGAAACAATCAAGATAAATACTCTCCATGTGGTATTTGTAAGAGGACAAATCATGCTGAAGAAGAATGTCGGTATCGTGGAAAACCACAATGTCGACACTGCAAGAAATTTGGACATGTGGAAAAGTATTGTCGCAACAAAAACAAGTATCAAGCAAATTTCGCTGAAGAGGATGATCGAGAACCACATCTTTTCTATGCTACCCAAGATCCCAGTACTGAAACGAGTGGAAATTGGTACTTGGATAGTGGTTGCAGCAATCACATGGCCAAAGATATAAACATCTTCAAGGATATCGATGAATCCATCAAAGTGAAAGTTCGAATGGGGAATGGTACTATCGCTGAGTCAAAAGGCAAAGGCACTGTTATGGTGGAGACAAAGAAAGGTACGAAACTTATTACTGATGTCTTACTAGTCCCTAACCTCAAGGAAAATCTCTTGAGTATTGGCCAAATGATGGAGAAAGGTTATTCTCTTCACTTCAAAGGGGACACATGTAAGATATATGACAACAAAAAGCAAGAGATTGGCCAAGTAAAGATGGAGAAAAGAAATCGAAGTTTTCCAATAAGCTTTCAACAAGGCGCTAATATTGCCATGAAAGCAGAAGTTGATACTTCACGACTTTGGCATCGAAGATTTGGCCACTTCAATACTCATGCCTTAAAACTACTACATCAAAAGAATATGATGAAGGATCTTCCATATCTTGAAGAAAATAATGAAGCTTGTGAAGGATGTCTCCTTGGCAAGCAACATCGATTGCCATTTTCTACTGGAAAAGCTTGGAGAGCAAAAGACTTATTGGAGCTTATTCATACAGATATTTGCGGACCAATGCGGACACCATCACTACATGATAACAGGTATTTTATCCTTTTTATCGATGATTTTTCTAGAATGACTTGGGTCTACTTCATCAAAGCAAAGTCAGAAGTCTTTGGAATTTTCAAGAAGTTTAAGGCCCTTGTCGAGAAGCAAAGTGGTAAACAGATAAAAGTATTAAGAAGTGATCGTGGCAAAGAGTATACATCTCAAGAGTTTGATAAATTCTGTGAGGATGAAGGCATTCAACGACAACTTACTGTCGCATATACTCCACAACAAAATGGAGTAACTGAGAGAAAAAATCGCACGGTAATGGAGATGGCTAGATCCCTGCTGAAGGAGAAAGAATTGCCAAATACTTTCTGGGCTGAAGCAGTTTATACTGCTGTCTACATACTTAACAGATGCCCAACTAAGGCTGTCCAAGATAAAACTCCAATTGAAGCTTGGAGTGGGCAAAAACCATCAGCAAAACATCTAAGGATTTTCGGATCAATTTGCTACATACACATTCCAGAAGAGAAGAGACACAAACTAGAAGACAAAACCGTACGAGGTATCTTCTTGGGATATAGCACACAGTCAAAAGGATATCGAGTCTACAACTTGCAAACCAAGAAGCTCACCATTAGTCGAGATGTTGAAGTTGATGAAAATGCTGCTTGGAATTGGAAAGATGAAAAGGTTCAGAAAAATGTTTCCATACCAATGCAGCAACCTCAAGAAATTGAAGAAGTCTCAGGTGAGAATTTTTCACCTCCACAACAACAACATTCCTCACCAGAGTCTACTCCAAGACGAGTTAGATCTTTGGTAGATATATATGAGACCTGTAACCTGGCCATAACTGAACCTGAGAACTTTGAAGCAGCATCAAAACAAGAAGTATGGGTCAAGGCAATGGAAGAAGAGATAAAAATGATTGAGAAAAATAACACATGGGAGCTAGTAGATTGCCCCACAGATAAAGATATCATTGGGGTAAAATGGGTCTATAAGACCAAGCTTAATCCCGATGGCACCATACAAAAGTACAAGGCAAGGCTGGTAGCTAAAGGATACTCACAACAACTTGGAGTTGATTACAACGAGACATTTGCTCCAGTTGCTCGCCTGGATACTATAAGAACTCTGATTGCTCTTGCTGCACAAAAAGGATGGAACATTTATCAACTTGATGTAAAATCTGCCTTTCTCAATGGCATTCTTCAAGAAGAGATTTATGTGGAGCAACCGCAAGGCTTCGTCAGCAAAGGTAATGAAGGCAAAGTACTAAGACTAAAAAAAGCTCTATATGGATTGAAGCAAGCTCCACGAGCATGGTACAGCAAAATTGATCAATACTTTGCAGACCAAGGATTCAGGAGGAGCAAAAGTGAAGCAACTTTATACACCAAGATCCAAGGTCAGTATGATATACTCATTGTCTCCTTGTATGTAGATGATCTTATCTGCACAGGAAATAATGTGGAGATGATAGATAAGTTCAAAGAAGATATGATGAAGACCTTCGAAATGACCGACCTTGGCTTAATGAACTACTTCCTCGGAATAGAGGTAAAACAAAAGAAAGAAGGAATATTTATCTCACAGAAGAAATATGTTGAAGCACTACTCAAGAAATTTAAGATGAATGAATGTAAGATAGTCAGCACTCCATTGGTGACAAATGAGAAATTGAAGAAAAATGATGGTGCACCGGAAGCTGATGCATCACGTTACAGAAGTTTGATTGGAAGCTTACTATATCTCACAGCCACACGACCAGACATAACGTATGCTGTAAGTCTTCTTTCAAGATTCATGCAAAGTCCAAGCCAAATTCATTTTGGAACAGCAAAAAGAATCCTAAGATATCTACAAGGCACAAAAGAGTATGGTATATGGTACCGAACTATAAGCAACTCAAAGCTACTTGGCTACACCGACAGTGACTGGGCAGGATCGATCGACGACATGAAAAGCACATCTGGTTATGCCTTTTCACTAGGATCAGGAACAATCTCATGGGCTTCAAAGAAGCAAGCAACAGTTGCGCAATCAACAGCAGAAGCTGAATATGTAGCAGCTGCTGAGACTACAAGTCAAGCAATATGGTTACGAAGAATACTTGAAGAAATGGGAGAAAAACAAAATGAGCCTACTACAATCTACTGCGACAACAAATCAGCTATAGCAATGACAAAGAATCCAGTGCATCATAGTAGAACAAAACACATAGCAATCAAATATCACTTTATCAGGGAAGCAGAAGGAACTAAAGAAATCAAGCTCGAGTATTGCACAACCGAAGATCAAGTTGCAGACATTTTTACTAAAGCACTACCAAGACCAAAATTTGAACAGCTACGCACGAAGCTTGGAGTTACAGAAATTTGCACCAAGGAGGAGTATTAGAAATTGATACAAATTTCTAGAATAGTCTAGAAAAAATACTAAGAACAATCTAGGAAAAACTAATTGTATCTTCTAGTATGTAGATGCTTCTAGAGAAAGTTCTAGAATATTGTAAATCTTCAAGTTTCTAGATAGCTCTAGTATATTGAACCAAATGGTGGATGATGCCTATAAATAGGCATGCTACCTCATTGTAAATGCAATGAAGAAGAAGTAATCAAGACAACAATTCTCCATCTCTTGAGTCTCTTACTAAAACTTCTTCAACTACTATTTTCAACTATTCCTACTAACACATTTCAACTATCTTACTCATCTCACCTACACTAAAAACTATCACTATGTTACAATAGTTTAGAGAGTGAAGAACACAAATTCTTGCTCTTGATTCTTACCATCAGGGGAAAGAGAGCCGTGAACAAGCATAGTATATATTTAGACATGTGGGAAGGTTTATTAAAAAATCTTGATACATTAGAGGCTGCAAGAAGTAGGTGTGATTCATTAATCAGTGATCTTAAGGCCTATGGTCTTCTGGTTGAAGATGAAAAGGAAACTGTCAAAATAAATGACTTGATATGGCACACTGCTTATTCAATAGCTCAAAGTCATCTAAAAGCTTCAATGATTTCTAAAGAATGGCCACCTGAAGAATGGTTGAGAAGTTTACGCTTCTGCAACATGACTATTGAGAGTGGTGCACAGGTTCATGAAAAGTTGCAGTGTCCAGACATTCAAGAGATTATACTAAGCACTGACAATCCCTCAATTCAGGTTCCCAATTCATTTTTTGATGAGACTAAACTTCTGAAAGTATTAAAACTTATTGGTTTTGATTGTTTAAAACTACCTTCTAGTTTTGGTTTGTTAAAGAACCTTCAAGCATTATCCATGTATAATTGCGAATTGGGAGACATAACTATAGTTGGTGAACTCACAAACCTACAAATTCTTGTCCTCCTCGGAAGTAGAATCCAACAATTGCCTAGAGAAATTGGACAGCTTCAGAAGTTGCTAATCTTGGATTTAAGAGACACTTATCTCCAGGTGATTCCATCCAATGTTCTTTCAAACTTAACTAGTTTAGAAGAATTGTATTTGAGAAACTCCTTTTGCAATTGGGAGGTTGAAAGATCCAACAGTGAAAACAGAAATGCAAGCTTGAAAGAGCTAACAAACTTGCATCGCTTGGCATATATAGAAGACTTGTATGTTCCTGATCCTGAAGCATGGCCAATGGACCTGTACTTTGAAAAAATGAAATCGTACACGATTTTCATTGGGGATAGGTGGACTGAGACCCATAATGGTGATCATGGGTTAAAAGTATTGAAACTCAAGCTCAACCAACATTTGCAATTGGAGGATGGGATTGAAAGGATGGTGAAAAATGTTGATGTCTTATACTTAGATGAACTGAATGGTGGTGTCCAAGATGTTCTGAGTGATTTGGATGAGTTTCCCCATCTACAATCGCTCTTTGTACAAAACAATGTTGAAATCAAATGCATAGCCGTGAGTTCTAGTGATGATCATCACAGTGGTGCTTTCTCCAACTTGGAGTCTTTGTCTCTAAACAATGTAAGCAATTTAAAGCACATATGCCAGGGTCCTCTAAATGAAAAATCATTCTTGAAAATAAAAGTCATCAAAGTACAACAATGCCATAATATAAAATGTCTCTTCATAAAGTCAATGATCGAAGGTCTTCCTCATCTTGTTGATTTAGAAGTTTCAGAGTGCAAACTCATTGATGCAATTGTGGTTGGAGGAAAAGAGAGAATAGTGTTTCCTCAATTACGCTCTCTAAGGTTACAAAGACTCCCTGCATTATTATGTTTCTATATGCATTCTTCTTACCGTGGACTAGCACTTTTTGATGAAATGGTATGTATATATTTGAAGTCCAATGTTAACGCATTAAAGTATTACAAATTACTAATTTTGCTTATACTGTTTTGCCTTTCATTACAATTCCAAAGCCATAGAATTAACAAAAACCAAATAAAAGAAAATAAAATAAGCCAAAGCAAAGAAATTTTGTATCAATTAAGTGACAAATAATTGTATGAAAGCTAAATAATTTCATTTTCTAATTATGTTTATTGATGTGATAATATATTATTGTGTGTATATATGCAGATTTCTTTTCCTAATTTGGAGAGAATGGTGATTTCCAATATTAGTGTAAGCCGCCTATGGGGTTTTCCATACAGTGATCAAAATTCACTTGGGAGGCTAAAGAACCTATACATCGAAGATTGTGAGAAACTGCTGTATGTTTTTCGTACTCTGCTATCCACAAATCTTCGATATTTAAGGACTTTAGTAGTCAAAAATTGCAGTTCCATGGAATACATTTTCATTTTGGATGAGGAGTACAGTCGACTTCAAAAATTAAGTATCCAATTGATTTGTTTAACTCTGCTTCGGCTACCAAAATTGATCGTCTTAGGTTTCTGTTTTTCAGTTCAGAGAGGTAAATTATTATATTGGAATGATATTTTTATTTATTTACTTATTCTTTTATGCTGAATAATTGGGTTTCCTGAAAATTGATCTATCTGTAGTTGAATTTCCTGAAATGACTAAAATGCATATTGAAGACTTGCCATCATTTAAGGGGTTATTCAATAAAGCCAAAGTTGAATGCTTATCTTTGGAGAATGTTGTTGTCAACCACTGCCCCGAATTGCATACATTTGGTTTGGGAATGATAGAAAGGTCACAGTTGAAGTCAATGATCATAGACAATCAAGACCAACTTTACAATGATGCCCAAATTAGTCAACTTTTTCTCTTATTGGTTAGATCTCTCTCTCAAAAATTCAATAAATTTTAATATTATTAAATTTACACTGCATATTTATATTTTATTATATTTATTTATATATTTTCTATTTTTAACTTTCATCCAAATTTTAGAAAACAATACGATATCTTTTCTAATTATTCATAAAATATTTTTGAAACCTAATTTATGTAATAGATTATCTAATATATCTATTACTAATATTGAAAATAGAATAGTCATATTTTATTAATCATTTATTTATATTTTAATTTTATATTTATATTTTTAATCATGAATGGTTGCTACACATTTAAAATAGAAAATATTTTATACAAATAAGTATCTCTGTATGTCATTATCTATCTAACTAATATATGTTTAGGATTACACATAAAACTAAAGGGATGAAGTAATTCTTTTTTGTGAAAAATGTTTATGTTTATGTTTATTTTTTAATATGCAACATTTATTTAATGCTACATTTTCATTGATAGATCGAAGTTATTTCAAATAATTAACATGTGAATTGAATAGAATCATAATTTAAAATAGAATCTTTAGTTTATTTTTAAAATAAAGAGATGTTTATGATGAAATAAGATAAAATTATAAAAATTGAATACATTAAATTAATAAAAAAATATATTATTGTTTTTAATGAAAATAACGGGATAATCCTGAAAAAAAAATACTAACAACCAAGAAGTGATTAACAATTTGTTATGACTAACAGGAGGATTCTAATACAATTACAACCAAAATTAAGTTAATAAAAAAAATTCATAAACCAATTTGTTACTTTATTTTTCCTCCTCTAGCTATGAGAAATAGTGACTTACCAATTTCTTTTCCTAAAACTATAGTTATAAAAGAAGCACATTAAGGATGAGTAATGGGACTCTTCAAACATAGAATTTGATTCCACATATACTTTAGGATATCTCTTAGCCTATTCAATTGATAGAACAATAATAGTACCTCACAATTTCTACAATAATACATTCATGTTAGAGACAAAATTAAATATCCATCTCTAACACAACCAGAAGAATCAGCATCAACTTTGTTTTTTTCGAAGCCAAGTTAGTATCAATTTTAAATCCCTAAAAATTGTATTATTGATATTCTGAATTAAAACAATGATATTGAATGATAGAAACAATTATTTTGCAATAGTTAGGTATTAGAATTGGTTAGTCCTTAAAGTTATGTTTGAATTATTTTCACTTGGTTTGCTGTTCATAGTGATTTACTAAAGCAAGAAAAATCTTACAGGATGAGATCTCAACTATAAGTGAGTTTACTATTGATGGGGATGAGCAATTAAGCAAAGCAGAGGAATTATGCGAACATAACCCTTTCTTTCTGGCTTACCTTACAATGTTTAAAGCAAAAAATTGCAGCAAAGGAAACCGTTTGCTTCTAATTTTTCGCTACTTGGAAGAGAGGTCACTACTGCTTGAACATATCACCATTGAACACTGCAGAACAGAACCAATTCTATTTGACGTGGAGTCTTTTAATGTCTATTCCTTGAAGGAATTGGTATTAATTGAATTACCTGACCTAGTGCACATATGGAGTAATTATAGAATCCGTTACAATTGGTTTGATAATTTGATAAAGATACACATCAAGAGATGCCCCTCTCTAGAGAGAGTCTTTCGTGAGCTCCTTAAATCGCCCCTCAAACTGAATGAATTGAAGATTCAAGAATGTGTCAAGTTAACAGAAGTTCTTCCACATTATTTTGACTTTAAATCCCTAGCATTGAGCAAGGTGGAGCTTATGACCCTCCCAGAATTATTCATGTTCAGTGAGTATGATATTCCAAATTTGACAAAACTCACTATAAGTCATTGTAACTCAATGGAAATGATATTCCGCATCAGAGAGGGAATATCATATCCTACAGAGCTTTTGCAGCAGCTAACTGAATTGACTTTAATTAACTTACCCAATTTGACTCACATCGTCAACAAAGAAATGGAAGAGAATAAGACCTCATTTCCTCAGTTGAAGTATGTTTCTCTTGAAAATCTAACAAAGCTTACAACTGTATTTCCTTCTACATCTCAATTTCCATCCTTGGAAACATTGATAATCACAAATTGTCCTGCTCTCATCACTTTTCTTGATGACTCCAATGAGAAGGATCTCCCAGAACCTGCTACCTCAAACTATTTCTTCCCAAATTCTGTAAGTTTATCAAAATTTAAGATATAATATTCATTTTCATTATATATATATATATATATATATATATATATATATATATATATATATAACAATAAATCTTCTCCACTTTTGATATAATCTTATGGTCAATCTCAATTTTGTATCAAAGTCAAAGCCATCATGTTTATGATGGAAAGAAATTGAATGATATAATTGTACTATGCTACACAATCAATTACAGTTCATTTCATATTTCCTATGTAGTTTTGTTTTCATCTCCACTCCCTAGACATTGATAATTACCATTTGTTCCTTGCAGCTGTCATTGAACAAGTTGAAAGTACTTTGTATAATAAACCAGGATGTTGAGAAACTCTGGCACTACAATAGCCCTCAAGAATCATTTTGTGAATTGGAAAATCTAACTTTGAGGAACAACAAATTGTTGAATGTCATCTCTTCCAACATGATCAAAAGATATGACAAACTAAGATTTATGACTGTGGATAAATGTGTATTTATGACAGAGATATTTCACATTGAAGATGACAAGCAAAATCAGAACATTCAAGAGATGTTTCCTCAACTGAGTACATTAACATTGAGCAACCTAAAGAGATTGGCATGTCTCTGGAGCAAAGAACCTCAAGTGCCATTTTTTTCAAATTTGATATCACTTCACATTATTCACTGTGGTAGCCTCAAAAGTTTATTCTCACATTCTTCTGCCAAAAATCTTGGAAAACTCAAATTACTCAAATTGTGTGACTGTGAAAAAATAGAAGAGGTAATATCAATTGATAAAAATGAAAGTGTATATATCATTTTCCCGGAAGTAGAATGCCTTGTACTAAAAAATCTTCCTAAGTTAGTCAGTTTTTGTCAGCAAAATGGGACTTTTGATTGGCCTAAATTACAAACAGTGAGGGTAAGCAATATTCCAAGCATGAAGACTTTTTCAGGAGGTCATGTCAACACACCATTGTTAAGATCAGTTTATATAACATTTGTTAAGAAATATTGGCTTGGTAATTTGAATAAGACCGTATCATATATCCATCGCAATTCAGGTATGCAAACTTTAATATCACATACAAAACTTCGAATAATATAAAGTTAGTGATACATGTTCATACATAATAACATCTGCTTTTCGACATATGCCTCTTGTATTTTCTTAATTTAAATTATTAGATAACAATTTTCGTTTGACATTATATTAACATGTTTCTAACTTTTTTGAAAAATGCTAAACTTTAGGATGGGAAAATCTAACTTTGAGCAACAACAACTTGCTGAGAGGCACTTCTTCTTATATGATCACAAGATACACCAATCTAATAAATTTGACTGTGGACAAATGTGAGTTATTAACTGAGGTATTTTACCTTGATGATGACAAACAAGATGAGAATATCAAAGAAATGCTTCCTCAACTAAGGGCATTAACATTGAGCAACCTAAAGAGTTTGACATATTTATGGAACAAGGAACCTCAAGTTCCCTTTTTTCCAAATTTGGTGTCACTCAACATTGTCAATTGTGGTAGCCTCAAGAGTTTATTCTCATGTTCTGCTACCAAAAACCTTGGTAAGCTGAAATTACTTAAATTGTGTAAGTGTGAGAAAATAGAGAAGATATTATCAGAAGATAAAGAAGAAAATGTATCCATCATTTTTCCTGAAGTAGAGTGTCTTATACTCAAAGACCTTCCAAAGTTAATTAGTTTCTGCCAGCAGAGTAGAACTATTGATTGGCCAAAATTACAAAAAGTGAGTGTGAGCAACATTCCAATTATGAAGACCTTTTCAGGAGGTCAAGTCAATACACCATTGTTAAGATCAGTTTATATAACATTCCTTGAGAAATATTGGCTTGGGAATTTGAACAAGACCATATCATATATCCATCATAACGCAGGTATGTAAATTTTAATTATATACTTTGAAATTTAAAAATTATAGATTTAAATATATTTCTAGTTCCTATATTCTTAAAAAAAATTCATTTTAGTCTCTCAAAACTTTGTTTTTTTAGTTTTAGCCTTTAACTTTTTTATATTCAATCCTTTTGATATCTAGTGATAACATGCTAATTAAAAGATTGTTACATGTTACTTTTGTTACAACATGATAATAAGAAGGAATAAAAGTATTGAATATAGATAAATTACAGGTTAAAACTACAAATATTAAGGACTAAAATCAAAATTTCGTAAAATATTAGAGATCAAGACATATATGTAGTATAATAGTAATATATGTTTGTACATAATAACATATGTTTATTAAAAAAAATGCTTAAAACAGTTTATGATAAGTTTTTAATTTTCTTGAATTCTATGAAGGATAATAAATTCAAATAAAATAATAAAATTAAGGTGAAATTATAAATTTAGTTTTTATACTTAAAAGCTAAATACAATTTATTTCCTGTATGAATAAATATTTTTAAATTAGCTTTTATAGTTAAAAATACTTGGACACGTTAAATAAGAAAGACCAATGCATAAAAAAAATACTCGTATAATGACTTAAACATAAACAATAATTATAAAGACTAATTTATAGATAAGTAACAACTACAAGAATTAAAGGTATATTCTAACAAATGAAAAAAGTTATAAACTTGTTTAGAAAAATAAATAAGGTACTAAATATAATATTTACAAATTTGAAGAACCTAGAAATTTATATATTTAAATAAACTTAAATACGAGATTAACAATATTCAACCACAAAAACTTAAATTAATATTACTTATTTTAAATCTTTATCTCCTATCCTACATTCAAATAGAAGAATAAAATATTAATATTAATATTTTTATTATAATTTTTATTGTATATTAAATTTTATAGAATATTTAATAAAGACTTTTTTAAAAAAAACTACTATCTTTAGAAAATAAAATCACACTAGATATTAGTTTAATTAAAAAGATAATTTTTAATTTTTAAAATTTCATTTATTTTTCATTCAGTGTTTTTTTTTAACAAGTTTACAGTTTTTAATTTAAATATACATTTATTTCTTATAATTTGATATTTATTTACAAATTAATCTTTTAAGTTAATATTTACGATTTATTTTTATATGAATTTTTTTTTTTACATTCAGTTTTTCTTATATAATAGTGTTAACATATATATTGACTCATATAAAGATTAAATTGTAATTTTTTTCAAATTGAAAAGTGTGTTAAATATAAAAATTAAATTTATAATTTAACCTAAAATCGATGGAATACTAGAAAGTTGAATGAAGTGTTTTTGTTTCTTTTCTAACTAGAGTAAAATCCAAAATAAATAAATGAATACATTAATTAAATCTCATTAAATCATCGATTATGAATTTTTCCTCTCTTTTGAAAGATGATTCTATGAAAATCTTGTACCAAATCTCATTTATATATTGCAATGTTTTATATGCATAAGTTTAACTCAGAATTAATTGAAATGCATAAAGCCAAAGAGAATGAGATTTCAGCAACTTATTTGGCACAAAAGACGAAGAGAATGACCAGTAGACAACTTTAACTGAGGCTTTTCTGGACAATGTTCATCCTATTTAAAGTAATCTCAAGTCTCTTACTTTTTAACTCCAACTATAAAGATTATTTCCTTTTAAAAAAACAATTGTTACATATTTAATATTTCATACAAAATAATAAAAAAATAAAATATATTTCAGTATTTAAATTAAGTGAATGAAATAAATAAATATGTCAGAAGCTATTAATGTATAATCATAAGGAACTTTAGAACCTAGATGGTTAAGCATATACAAAACATAAAAAAAAAAAAAAAAAGAACTCTCACGTATTCTATTTAAATTTCCATTTAATGTTTATATACAATATAAATTATAATGTAATCCATTTAAAAATTGTTTATATTGTAACTTAATTCAATTTTAATATTTTCAATTTATATTATTAAAAATATATACACTTGTAATATACATTATATTATTTTTATTATATTTTATAAAAAAATTATTTTTCACTAATATTATCGTAATTATGTATAAATATAAGGTGTATTATTTCTATTTGTTTTATATTTTACTTTTCTCACATGAGTACGTTTTTTATTTGTAAGCAAATTTATTGTTCTTTCACACTTTTTCTTATTTATAACTTTTTAACAAACACATTTTAACTAAGCTTCTCGTTAGTATAAATTAAAATAAAATTTATATAAAAATAAATGTATTTTAGAAAATAAAAATTATTTAAAAATAAAAAATATATACACTAAAACACATTAATTTCATATATGAGTTTTTTAACTAAAATTGAATTAAATTGAACTATAAATACTCCCGTTACAAATACTAATATAAGTTTCTATGGTTCAACTATAATTAAATTGAGATTGAACAAGTGGTAATTAATAATATTTTTTACATTATATATTAAATTAAATAATAAATTAGTGTAAAATTATAAAATAAAAAATAAAATAGACTTTTAAATTAATTTTAAAAAATGCTAACAAAGTACCCTAAACTATTGGTTAAGAAATTAAAAATAATTTTTTTTAAAATATGATAAATATATGATTCTTCATGATTTTTAGTGTAGCTCAATAAAATTTCAAATAAAAAACCCACTATTTTTAATTCTTTAATCAATGTTTTAATAATATTGTTTAACGAGTAATATTATATATTTTACATGATAAAAAGATTATATATATATATATATATATATATATATATATATATATATATAATTCTAAAGGTATTGGTTAAGAAATTAAAAATAATTTTTTTTAAAAATAATAAATATAAATTTGGATCTCAAACCAAAATTTTTAGAAAAAATATTAAATAAAGTTTTGTATTTAATATCTAAAATAAATAAAATAATAAAGTATATTTCAAACACTTTTCTCTCATCTTCAAATCTTAGAAGATAAGAAAAAAGTGTTTGAAATACTCTTCTTTTATCTTAAATCTTAAATGTAATATTTAATTTATCTTTGATTCATGAAAGTTTTTATTTTTATATAATTTAGCTTGATAATATATTGAAACTATTAAAATATCATTAGTCAAAATATACGAAATTCGATTAACAAAAAAAATATACGAAATTTGTTTAAACGAATTTACAATAATTCAGTTAAATATATTATCAAAATTTATTTTTCTTTAAGTAAATCAAGATTCTCTTAAACAAAATTAATTGGACAGTCTAGTTCCTACTATAGGAGAAAATTTAAATTAAAAAAATATATGATTCCTAATGATTTTCAATGTAATCTAACACAATTTAAAATAAAAAAACTTACCATTTTCAATTCTTTAACCAATATCCTAAGGTACAAATTAACAAGATTCATTAATAAAAAATTATTTTATATATTTTACATGATAAAAAAATTAATAATAAATAGTTAAATAATATATATATATATATATAAGTCTATTTATTTTAAATTTATTTTAAATTTATTTTAGTAATAAAACTTTTAAAAATAAGAGAAAAATCATTTTTTAAGGAAAAAAAAATCAAACATCTTTAATGATGTACATTTATAATCAATTTTAGTTAATTCTTAACGATATAACTAATTTTTTTATTTTAATGGTTTAAATAAATTATTATACATATTACTATTGCTTAATATTATTGTTACCTTTTTCACCTTTATCAACTGACTTAAACATTTCTATAATTGATTGTTACAATTATCGATATTGTTATTTTTACAGTTACTATTATTAATCATTATATTACTTTTTTCTCTTTAATTACTTTAACTCAACAATTATTATTATCATCATCATTAACTAAATTTTAAAATCACCACTATTATTATTAATACTATTATTATCATTATTTTTAGTATTACTATAATTTAGTGATCATCACTACTATTACAATCTAGTTAGTTATTATTACTATTTTTGCAGTTGTTGTTATTACAATTATCATGACAAAAAATTATTATTATTATATTATCACTATAACAAGTTATTATTTTTATTATTATCCTCAATTACTATAATTATTTATCATTACAACTCCTACTACTATTTGTCACTTTTATCTTCAACAAATAATCACATAAATATTATTAATAAAAATTGTGATTGTCTATTATTTTATGGTTCTAAGAACTAAAACTTAAAAAACAAAACAGAAATAATTTTAAGGTTTTTTTAATTTTTTTAATTTAAAAACAGAAGATCTAAAAGTGTTTTTAGAATAAATTTCACAAAACATGTTGTATCAAGTCAAGTAAGCTTTATTATTATTTTTCTTTAAAAAATAAAAATTCTTTCCATTCAATTTTTCTTTTTAATAAATAATTTTTTATATGTATCTAACAATAGAAGCTGTAGAAAACAAATTTTATATCCTTTTCATCCAACTTCCTCTTTCACCTCTCCGACTAAAAAAACCTTCTAGTTATGTAAATTGGCTTAGATCGACTAATCTCATCAAAATATATTAAAATTACAAGAGTACGAATAAAAATTATTATTAAATTAAAATTAAATTTATATAATATTTTTAGTAAATTTTGATTAATAATAAAAATATATTTTTCATTACTCAAAACTATGTTGAAATTTTAGAAACTTATATTTTTTTTATTCAAGTTTTTTAGAAGACTTTAATCCCTAAAATATCTATATAATTTAAACTTTATTTATCATTATTGAAATAATAGAAACTTAAACATAAAAAACGTTTGTACAAAAAATAAAATATAATTTTTTAAAGATTAAGCACAATTATAGAGGGCAAATTTATATTTTAAGTAACCGTTCTAAAACATTGGGGTCACACTGTAAAGTGAACAATCATCGTAATTTTAGGTTGGAACAACAGTTCATGAATAATGTAAGGAACAACAACGTAGACATCTTATGTGTACTAAAACACAACTCATTTTTGCAATTCCAAGATCTCTTAGTTCATTCATATCATAATAGCAGAAGAAGAAACCGAACTTCTACACAGAGATTGAGATGGGTTGCAGAAACAGAAACAGAGAATCGTTGACAGAGGAACACACTTGTTCATCTGCTTCTTCTGGTTCGTCACTGAGTGAGGCCTTGCTTTTCACCACTATGTGCATCGTTGGTCTCCCTGTTCATGTTCACGTTAAGGATGGCTCTGTTTATTCTGGAATCTTCCACACTGCCTCTGTTGACACCGATTATGGTCTTTCTCTCCTTTCATTCTATTTTTCTGGGAAAATTGTTTTTTGTTTTTATTCCCTTGCAAGCTCAAATGGGTTGTGAAAAATTTTATACTAGGGGAATACCCATCCCCCTGATTGAACAATCACGTGTAATTTTCCATCTGTGGTAGCTTTGTTTTGTTTTTTGATAATTGTAACTTGTCTGTTGAAACTTGAATCATAGATCCTTAGACAGACGATTGATTTTAGCTTCTTTGTTTTCTGTGGCTCTTTTTCGTTGAGAAAATCTGAGGAATTGAATTATTAATTCTACCATCAAATTGTATTTGTTTTGCTATTGGATCTGGGGGTTACTTAATGGACTTGTTTATACGAAAATTTTAATTAACTTTTGGAAATAAGAAAAGCCTTATCTTGATCTTGTTTGTCATATATATAGACGCATTAAGATGGGTGATGGTGATTAGCAATGTCTGGCCTAGTTGTTAATGTTAATTATTTGGTTTTGGCATAAAATTCTATTTAAATTTTAGTTCATCTTTTATATTACTAGAAACTCGTAGCATTCCCATGTTTTGTGCCATGTTCAGGTATTGTTTTGAAGAAAGCAAGGATGAGCAAGAAGGGAAAGGGCAACACCAACGTTGGAAATGAGGGCATGGTAGATACGCTGGTGATTTTGTCAGGTGATCTTGTGCAAGTTGTCGCAAAGGTTAGACATTTGTACCATGCAATATATCTTTTATGAGTCCAAAGATATCTCTATTAGAATATAACTAATGTGCTTAATATACGTGTTGCTTTGTGTGTAGGGAGTAATGCTTCCTTCAGATGGCATTAGTGGAAACATAACTGGTCATGATGAGGAAGCAATTGTTCATAATGTTTGTTCCGAGAGTCTAACATGTGAGGTAGATAATCATACCCGGTCTTTGATGGATGCAAAACAAACTAATCAATCAAGGTACTATCTTTTATCGAAATCATTCTCATGGATGGAGAGATGTGTGTTAAGCATACAGAAGTTAACTTATTATTATGTTTTGTAACCAACATCCAATGGAAGCATTCACATTATATTCTTTGCTTGCCAATGGATGGTTGGTAATTTGAGAATTCACATTTGTTGAGAAGAAAGTTTACTAAAAATACAAATTTATGACTTTTTTTTCTTTCATTTTGGCATTTCTGCTAACCGTTTTCTGACAGACAAGCTGGAGATGACGAATCAAAAGAAAAAGCCAACAACTGTGAACAGAAGTCTGAGTTTGCTAATGAAAAAATTGTATGTTCACATATGCATAACTAGTAATTCTAAGCTGGATTGCCACACTTTGGTGGTTTGAATTTTTTTAATTCTAAAGCTTTGATTTTCCACAGGATGAAAAGATTCAAAGCCTTGATTCAAGCCATGAAAGTGAGTCAGATTTCTTAAATATCTACTGCATGCAAAATTATCCTTAGTCAATGTATACCAAAATGGCTTAACTAGTAATGATGGTGGATATTTGTTAGTCTGTACACTTCTTTAGCAACTTTTGTATGTTAAATGGTGTGCAAATAACCAATAAGGCATGTCAGTTTGTTACCTTGATATCAAGGTATTTATTTATTTAAGAATTTCTATATGTATGTGCTTCCTTTGTTACCCTGATATTGATATAACCAATTTTCAAAGCTGCAATTACAGATAAGGAACTTTTGATTTTTGTTTTATTTTCCTTCCAATGCTTTTACATAATATTATCATAACTTCTCTTTTCTATCTGGTTAACCAACACCTTTTTCCTATCCAATCTAATTGAGCTAAGGCTCGTCATCTCTCTCCTTGAATTAATCCCCTCTTCTCAAAACAAGATGAGGATATTGCATTTGTAATTCCTTGTTCCCTTCTTATTTAAATCTCTTGTACTCACATTGCAGCTGATACATGTCATTGTCAAGAGGATGCTATTGAGCATGGAAACACTGATAGCACATCAAGTCCTTATGATAATGGATTATTCTGCAACAGTGCTCCTTCATCTGTTAAAGTTGATGATCAGCATACTGAAAGGTTTACTTTAGCAGACTCTCCCTCTAAAAATTCAACCCAAGGTATGGTGGATCTCATCTCAGATTCACGTAAGTTGCCAGCAAGGTCTGTTGAAATATCAGCTCCAAGGGGTACAGATTCTACCAGAAATGCTAAGGTAAATAAATCAGTTTAACATCCATTAACAGCTGCTGGCTAAAGAGCTCCTGATAAAAAGAGAAGATGTAGGTGTAGAGTTAATTTTTCCTTGCAAAGCACATTGGATTCATTTACATACCTTGTTGGATGCATTTTATCAACTGATGTGTTGTTTGGATCAACATGATGATCTTCACAAATCATATGAATTCATCTGCCAAGTACTCTGTTAGCTACACTATTTCTGAACATTTTGGACTAGTGGCCCATTATTTTTTTTTTGTCTTGCTCCCCATTGAATTTGGGCTATAAGTTTAACTCTACCTCAAAAGCTAGCACGTAAGGTGAGGATTGTTTTAACTTTTATAAGCTCTTATTTAGTCATATTTATAGTCAATGTGAGATTTCAACACACCTCCTCATGCTCAAGATTGGACATCTAGAGTGTAGAAATTGGAGAACGTTTTTTTTTTAATATAGAGCTGAATAAGTTGCGCGACCAGGTAAGTGGCATTAAGAAAACCACAGGACCAGCCACCAGGTAAGTTGCACTGGGAAATTCATAGGGCTAGATTTTATTTTTTTAGGCAAGAGTGGCCCAATATCAAATCTATAATAAACTTTGATAACATGTTGAATATAGACTTTAATCCTAACTCAACTCTAAAAGCTATCTTGTAAAATGAGAATTGTTTGTCTTTATAAGCTCTTATTTTGCCATATCTATAGTCGATATAGGACTTTCATATTCTCTATATATGTTATCCATCATTCAAACCTTAGTTTGGTTTACCAAAGAGCATAATAGAATTGCTAGTTCCAAGTTTAAGATAATTTGGTAGTTTTTTAAACAGTTTTGATGTACTTTTAACTTTTTCTCATTGGGACATTCTTTTAGGAATTTAAGCTCAATCCAGCAGCCAAAATTTTCTCTCCATCTTTTGTAAATCCTATTTCGGCAAGTTCTGCTGCAAACATGGTATACGTACCAAATAGCTCTCCTTTGGCACCTGTTGCTACTATCCAACCAGAAGTTGGATTCAATACTTTTACTTCTCGGCCCTCTACCCCTGTAAAGGTTGCACAGTATAGTAATTTGACAGTGGGAAATGGTGGCAGTGGCATTCAATTTTCACAACCTGTATGTATCAATAAATTTACTGAGATTTGGTCTCATGCATATGAGTATTTAATGCCAAATGTCATAAATGCAAGACCAGTCTGAAAGCTGAAACTTCTGCGTGTTCATTTTATTTATTTTACACATTTCTCTGGCAACAGATTGTTGGACAACTGGCACATAGGAGCCAACCTCTTCGGTATGCTACACATTATACTCCTGTTTTGTCTGAACCTACTTATTTGCAGCCAAGCTCTACTGCTGTAAGTACAAAAAGATCTTATATTCCATCTATCTAATTTGAGTTTTCTTGTGTAAGTTCTAATAATGGATTTAGGAGGTAATCTGTATTTACATGCCAAAGAATCAGCAATAAGAAAGATATCTTCTTCTTTTATTCTGAATGCAGGTTATGGTTGGACGTTCCCCCCAGTTAGTCTATGTTCAGCCAGTTTCCCATGTAAGATAACATGCCCTATAACTCTTTCAGTTTGGAAGTTTCTTCAATCTTTCTTAATAAAAGAAGGTTAGGCCAAAATTGGAAGAAATTCATTCTGTAGATCTTAAAAAACATTAAGGAATTCCCAGTGGATAATAAGAGCGCTACTGCTTTTCAACTATACTACAAATCCTTAAAGGGGATGTGACTTATGAGAGAATGGATGGCTGTATCTTAAATATTTTCTGATTGAATCAATAGATAATTGCTACACTTTGCTTTAAGTTTTATATTTGCATGGTCAGCCAAATAGATAATAAGCATCTTTTCCATATAGAAATGTTTTATTGTAATAATTGACCATCATTAGCTTTGTTGTTTTACTTGTGATTGTAGGATTTGATTCATGGAGCAACAGCTATCTCACCAGTCTCAGGAGCTCGCCCTATGCTGAATCATGTACAATTTCCAAAGCAGCATGGTAAAAACATAATAATTTTGCTCAAAGGAGAAATTATCTCATTTTCATTATTATCTTTATTGCTATGCCTAACAGCCACCCCATCCAACAAATTAGTTTCATATCTATGCTTGTGGAGATACTCTGATAGGGACTGCTACCTCAGTGACATAGGAAAATGGAAAGTGTCTTTTTATTAAGATGGAACCCTAGAATCCGAATCAATATCAGAGCAATACTGAACTAGAATTTGGGTAAAAGAATACAAGAAAATAGTATATCTGATCCGGGTTTTTGAGGGACCCAGGCCCAGCACACTCCACTCTGATTGTAAAAAACTACTAACTCCCTTGTGCTAACTCTATCAGTTATTTATGATCCCCCTAGTTTCTCAGCCAAATTTAACTGACATTCTGATACTGTTAAGATGTGATATTATTCCCTGTTTTTGCATACCCTTCTTCTAGTATACAAGTGTCTTACTGGGGATCTATCATACTCAGTCAGAGACCCAAAAATTGTATTTATTACTGTCACCTTTATAAACTCTTTGGTACATGGCCAGGAACTCATTTTGGCATCACCTCATTAATATCTTTATTTTTTTATGGGGTCAGGGGTCTTGCTAATGAATTTCCTAAAACCACTTGTTAATATCTTAAGTAATGAACAAAAATCGAAAGTATTTACTCAGAAGTACAACATTTAGGGAATATTTGGAATAGCTTATGGAAACTCTCATAAGCTTTTTTTAATTTATTTCAACAAGGTTCTTGTTATAACTCATCAACATAAGCTTTTTTCAACTTCAATAAATTTTATGATCAAATTTATGGCATAAGCTCTCATGTAAAAAAGCTCATTGAGTAAGCGGTTTATTACACTACTCAAACAGATTCAATATATGAGAACTTAACAAACTTTACTTTTCAATTAACAACTTTTCTTTTTGAATCCTTAACAACTGTCCTAGGGACACTCATTAATGTTTTCCCTTTAAGGATACCATAACATAACATAAAGCAATTGAAGTTATGCCTATACTACAACTGCATATAGTCCTAATAATTTTGGCATCCAAATTGAAAAACATGGATCTGCCTTCTTTTTTGTGCTAATGGTTCTATTTTCCAAAAGCAGGAGGAACAATTGGTCAAGCAATGCCAGTTTGTGTGCCCCCACCTGTCCTAACAAGTGGACAACAACCCTTTGCACTTCAAAGCCACATTCCACTTCTGCAACCTGGCTTTCCTGTGCCTCGACCTATTTCTGTCCCTGGACCAAATGGTTTCTATGGCACCAAGTTTTAGTGAAATTTTCATTCAGATTCTGGTGTTGATATCCCTTTCTCTAAGTTAAGGCTCATTTTTCTTTTTCTTTTTCTATTAGATTTTTCTATAAAAAATTTTGTCTCCTCTTATTTGTGAGAAGTGTACAGTAGAATTTAGCTGTCAGAATTATTAGATATTTGGAGGTCCTAATTTTAAGATAAGGTTCAATTAGTATTTTTGGAGTTGGGGAAAGATTTTTCCTTTAAAGATTGATATTGTATGTTTGGCAATTGAACTTGAATGAGTCCGTTATTAACACGATAACACTATATTAAGCAATTGAATATAGATTTCACAATTGATTATTTGTTTATGATGATCTCTGACAAAATGATGTAACATTCAATATTTGTTCCGAGCTTTGGATGATGGAATTTTTGTTTGTCATTGGCGTGTAAGTACCCTTATTTTGCGTTCAGCATTTATGTGATCAGGTATTTTTAGACAAGTTAAATCCAGCTATTTACTCACTAAGCTCTTATTTTTGAATTAAAATTAGACTTCATTTCTATTAACGAGCACAATAGGTAATGTTATTGTGTAATACTCTGGTTCTTTTATAAGATCTCTTTAAAGATTTTTGTTGGTCTTCAATATAAGAGTTATTATAAATATTTAAGGGTATTTTTTTAATAATTAATATGATAATAGAGTATAATTTGAAATAAGAGTAAACTAAAATAGTATTAGTTTTTTAAAATTAATACATTAGTTATTGTTCAGATTCTTTTTAATCTGTATGATTTAATGAAAAGGGTTATATAAACTAGGAGCACTCATTTATATTGATGGAAAATGTGTAACATTAGCGGCAATGGTGATGGTAAAGATATGAAGGTAATCTAAGGATGGAGAATACTAGCAGTGATGTTAGTTAGAGGATGTGGAAGTTAATAATGCTCAAAGAATGTCAACAATAGTTAAGGGGGGTGTCAAAATGAGTGAAATTGGATAGATAGATTTGAATAGTTCGATGAATTTGAGTTCAAATTTTGACTAAATCATGTGGATTAAGTCTTTAATGGTCCAAATTTTTATTTATTTTATTATAAATCCATAAAATATTGATACATATGCCTTCAATAGTACAAAAGTATTATAAAAGAAATTAATTATATATAAATGTTAGGTTATAATATTCTCATAATGAATTTTTACAATAAAAAAAAATTATCTCTTTCCATCACATAACTCATCTTATATCTCTTTTCCTTTTTTTTTCTTATTTCTCTGTATTGTAACAAAATTTGTATAATATATTTGTACAAATAAGATTTTTCCAAATACTATAAACATGTTAGTTATTAAATTATTGATGTAATTAAGAAGTAAATTTAAAAGTAAAAAATGAGTATATGGTCCAAGCCATTTAGCTCTTGCCTTGAAATGGGTTAGTTCAAATGAATTAACCAAAATTGATACCTCTAATGAGGTGGGTTATATTTTGCCCTCTATCTTTTTCTTTTACACTACTTTTTTTAATTTTTTTAAAAATGTCCTTGATAATAATTCAAATTACTAAACATAAAATAAAAATAAAAAATATTTTTTTAAATCAAACAATGTACAAATTTTTCTCTTTTTTTTTCAGATTTTAATTTTTTTTCAGAACATTACTCCATCTTTATAACATTTCGTTCTTCTTCTTCCCTGCTTCAAGTTTCATTATTCTTATTACCTTCTTTTGAGCATATTCTAAGAATTGTTACTTTCTAGATATATCCATTATCAATATAATGTAAAAGCATTTATTTGTGAGATTATTAATTGTTTCTCAAGTTTTTGGAATTAGGATTCTACATTTTCAAAAATAAGATTTTAGAATTAAATTAATTTCTAAATTTATATTTTCAAACTTCCAAAAAAAAGTTTCTAGAATTAAGATTCTACAGTTCTAAAAAATTTAAAATTAAATTAATTTTCAAATTTAGGTTTCAACACTTCTAAAAATTAATTTCTTATTAGTAATTATTTCTGGAAATAAGTTTCTGAAATTAATATTTTACACTTTTACAAATTAAGTTTTCATACTTTTGAAAATTAAGTTTTAGAATTAACTATTTCTAAATAAAATTTTCAAAAATAAAATTGTACTCTTTCAAAATCAACCATTTTTATGTATATTTTCGTAATTGAGTTTTTGGAATTTTTTTATACAAGCTTTTAGAATTTAATTTTTAAATATAATTTTAAAAAATAAAAATATAAAAAAGTATGAAAACAATTAAAAAAATGAACCAAAGTTTTTTTTATCCTAAAGAATTATTTTAAAGAAAAAATAAAAAATAAAAAAGCAACCTCAAGCAACAATTGGAGAATAGAAAACAGAAACAACAATAGTCAAAATACTAAGATAATGGATCGTGATCCCCTCCTGTGGCAAGAATTAAACCTCTAATTTTATCTTTGCTTAAGTAAAATTTAAAAAAAAGACAAATAAATTTTACACAATTCTCATGAGAAGGAGGGGAGAGGGACTAGGTGTGGAGAGAGAAAGAGATTGGGAATGAGTGGAGATGGGAAGAGCCAGGGTGGAAGAGTTAATCATGAAAAAAAGAGAAAAATATGGATATAAGGTGAGGTGAGGGTGGGAAAAAGAAATGGAGAGGTGCATATAGAGTGGGAGTAAAGGGAAGAAGGAGTTGAGTATAGAATAAGAATGGAGGAAAAGGAAAGTTAAAAAAAGAAAAGAAGAGTTGAATATGAAAAAAGAAAGAAGATTGAATATAAAAGTTAAAATAATAATTTTAAATATGAAATCACTTAAACAAAAATAAAATTAGACACATTCATTCATTAAGATAATTATAGTTACGAATAAATATTAGTAACAACAATGATAACATGTTGACATAATTATGATAATTACAGATAACAATACTTAAAAAAATACTTTAAACAATAATTCTTAAATTATATAAATATTAATATATTAATAATACAATATAAAATATTTATTTTAAATTTTATCTTGATATTTAAAATTATAATTCTTAAAGTCCATGAAAAAAATTGAATAAAATATGAAGTTGTTCCTCAATTCAATTTAATTTTGAAGTCCCAAAAACTAATTTTCAACTAAAATACACACGCCAAACAAAATGTTTTGAAGTGGAAGGTTCTATGATTTTACATCCAATGCTTTGTTTCGAATATCACATTAATATTATTTTCCTTACTTATGTTTAGATGAAGAGGAAAAAAATAATTTTCTTGTGTTTTAGGTTTATACTATATTTTCTTTTCTCTCCTCCCTCTTTTCTCTCAACTACACGAGAGAAGTAATATAATTCAATAATTTTCTCTTCAGCCAAACATATAATTAGGTAGGAACATGCTAACAAGGAATCAAGAAAGAAATTATAATTTTTATAAAGACAACGTCTATATTTTATTATGTTTATATGTTACTCATTTTTTTGTTTTTGGAAAAATTATTTTCTGTTTATATCTCATATTTAAATTGACACTACAGCAACAAAAAAAAAATGAAAATTTAAAATATTCTTCCAAAAAATACACTTGTAGTAATTAATACTTTTAACAGTAAATTGTGAACGATCTTAAGAATAAGTGATATCGCATGATTAATTGATATATATTTTATTTATGAATAATGAAAATTATGAATCGTTTTTATAATTCAGCTAATAAACAGTACAGAATTAAATTTACAATAAAAAAAACTTATAAAAAATTATTTTAAAAACCTATTCATATTTAAATAATAATAATCTCTTAAGAAAAAACATATCATATTTTTTAAAAATGACCATTTTACTTCATATTAAATAGCGTAGTTTAATTTGCTTCACCATTACTCAAGTACAAATCCTTTTGACACGATCTAGGAACAATGTGGACGTCCAAAGCCTTTCAACCTTCATACTCTAACTATAGTAATTATCAACACATGAAATTTAATTATACATACACAATGTCTGCTGCAATAAGCCTCTCTACCGCAGACACATAAGACTATACTTTATAAATTGAGGTGACTCAACCAAAGTGGATATATATATATATATATATATATATATATATATATATATATATATATATATATATATAATCCGATTGAGTCTAAGAATTCTAGACTTAGATATATTACTGTCCTTCACTATTTCTTAAGCCCATCAACCAAAAGAAAATCACAATGATAACCCAAAACTCTTTTTTATTTAATAATGGCAAAAACTAAACTCCTATTAACTAGAAATTCTCTAACTTGAGTCCCATGGACCTCAGAACAAAACTATCACATAATATACAAAGTTGTTTCAAAGCAAAAACTAGATGAGCAATAAATGGAACAAGGTATAACAAATGCAACAAGAAAACTACAAAGCACACAAAGCAACTAACTTCCTGATAAATGACTTGAAACATTAAATTTAAAGTTTTTGGCAATAATTGCTTTGTGAAGATCACAAGAAAGTAATTAACATCCAATTTTAAGGTAGGGTCTCAAATTTAAAAACAATAAATAAAACTGTAACAAGCTACCTTTCCTCCACAAACCCAATAAGAAACCTTTGCAAGTCTATAATTATTTAAGATCCATGAGACTAAAACTAGAAAGCCTAAATATTTTACTATGCCAGATATTTACCTACTTCATGACAGATAAATCTGCTGGCACAAGGACCAGCGATGATAAAAACTTATAAATCATGCACTCAATGCTTAGAAAGGCGTTGTTGATTGAACAGTTTCACTATCTTCAAGTTCGGTGTCTAAATTCCTTGTACCATCCAACTTGTTTCCAGATTCTATCTCTGCTGCTTTGGAAGTCTGGTTCTCCATTTTGTTATTCTGCAAAACCTTATCACATTATAGATCATTAATACGTACATGTCACAATTTAAGCACATAGCAAACTAAAGGGTAACTAAGTGTTGGTTTCTTCCATCACCTCAATCCCCTCTCACATGCCTAATAAAATACAAGTCAAAGCTTTGTTTTACCTGCAAAAGCTCAGTCATTTTGCCACTTTCATTATAGTCTGAAGAGTTGGGAGCAGACCCTGAGTTTTCTTGAGGATGAGACTGTACAGCTTGCAGAGGCTTAATCAAAATGGGTTGATCCACATCATTAACTTTATCTTCCTGCCGACTGGTGGAATCCTTCACTACTGTATTCTCACCTGACTTGTTGTCCGTCTCAGTATCCATGGCATCTGATGGAGCTTGGATCCTCTTTACAACTTCAGTAACCAGTTGCTCAAAAGGCATGCTAGGCATTTTCATTGATTTGGCCTCAGTCTCATTCACCACGTGAGATGAAGATTGATTGAGTGGAACACCTTCACCACTTTGCATACCACTTGACAACAAACTCTGGCTAGTTTGAGTATGAGAAGTAAGTGCTTGAGTACCATGTACAGGAATTTCTTTGGAGGCAAGCACTCCACTTCCTAGAGAAACTTGGGTCTTGACTTGTGATGGTTGATTAGAAACTGGCACCCCATTTGAAAAATTATTTGGTTGGAGCAATACAGGCACCAAATTACCTCTGGATAGTAGATGATCAGTTTGGCCTGTCATAGAAGGTACATTTTTTCCAGAAGAGGGAACCAAGTTACTAGAACTAACAGCACCTCTTGACACCTGAGGGACAGATGGTGACCCATTCATTGTGAGAGTTTCAATTCTATGTACATTCACAGGCTGTTCATTCCTTTCCTTTGGGAGAGGAGTTTGAACCTGAGCAGTTCTTGAAGGAAAGGGAACCTCATTTCTTTGGATCATTGGAACAGTCGGAGCAACATCATTTTCAGATGAAATAGGAACATATCTTCCAGGTTTGAACACTAGCCCCCTCAAAGTAGTATCAGAATCACCAACTCTAACACTGAGCAAATATCCAGCATCAAATACAGCCTCAATTACACCAGAAACTACCTGGCCAACCATCGCATCATTCGAATGATTCTCTTGGCCTCTTTGAAGTTGTTGATTTCCATTAACCCCTTCAAATCCAGGAGGTCCTGGAGCTTGCTCAACACGAACAGGATTCTGCTTTTTGTTTTGACTAACTAGGATGTAGGAACTCTCCTCTGAATCTGGCCTTGGGTACTTCCGTGGACGACCACGTTTGCGCTTCAAAGGCACATCTCCAGACCCATCTGGAGTGTTATTTTGGTTTTGTTGGTCCATCTTGATACTGCTGTAACTCCAGTGTCTACAATAAGGGGGAAAAACAGTCTATAAGCTACCCAAATAAAAGTAAAGAACTGTCTATAGGCAACTTGGAATATATTTAAGCTCAACATGATAGGATCATAATTTTCTCAATCTAAAAGTCTGCTTCTCAATATAATGACAGAACTAGCTAATTGACTACTGTTATTAAATATAAACTAAGACAGTTGCAAGACAACTTGGTGATAAACCAAAATAGCATTATTGAGATGGTGTACATGTACATCACAATTAAGAGAACCAATAAAACATAACTTCTTTCTAAATACTTCCTTGATTCTACAAACTTGAACTTATAACTGTCATTATATCATTGAGTTAACAGTAAATACATGACTAATATAAATTAAAAGTTACAACATTTGTTCCAAACCTGCTGCCGTAGGAAAGAAAAAGAGTAGTGAAAATCAAGGAGTCTAGAGGTTTATGTTATTCATCTAGAATTGCTGGATTGGGAGATTGGACAGCATGCAAAATTTATGTCAGTTTGATCCTCTTATTGGCAGGAACTGAAAGAAAAAAGGAGCAAATTATATTGAATGCAATGCACCAAAAACTAGCTAAAAGTTGAAAACAAAATTGATTGTAAGTAAATTAGAAAACACCTTAATAGGGTATAGAATATACATGGATAACTAAATGAATAGGTCTTAATGTATGAAATCTATAAAAATGACATAGTCTACAAAAGAAATAAGAAATTATGACACTATGTTAAATGAAAGAATGTTAAAATTTATTAAAAACAGATGGCTAGTCAATTATCTTCTATGTTGAAAAATTATAGAGAGAAGAGTGATAAAAAGAGACAACAAAGACAGAGAAAGAGAGACAGTGTAAAATGGATGTAGGGTGATTTGTACATTTCCTCAAGCGCACACCTGCATTTATTAGAGGAAAGGGTATAAAATGGATGGATTATATATTTCTTCTGATATATTCATTCTTGACCTTATCATTTCTTGTATGACAACTCATCAAATGAAGCATCCTCATCTGTAAAATGCTTAATCTTATGGTATTGTCAGGCCTTTACTTCCCAGCATTCAATACCATACGCCCCCAATCATGATTGTAGCATTAAATTTGTTTTGAACTTCAGTTACAAGGAATCAAGCTGACATTGTATTCAACTTAATTCAAGTTATGAGCACATATTCCCAATCCATAATCATAATATATGCACCCTAACCAACCTGTAATTGGCAGCTAGCTATACCTAAATTTCAGAAAATATACTCCTCAGATAAAGTTGAAAAAAAATGCACCCGTGATGCAGAGATGAAAATGAAAGCCTTGAATAATAAATAAAATACAGTGCGCAAAACTAGTTCCTTATGTAAGGATAATTTGTTACTAGAAATTTCAGACACAGTAAGAAATACATAATATCTTCATCCCCAAAGTTGAAACAAGGACAGGACACTTTCAACTACTCCACCCAATCAGTCATAGTAATGAACCCAGAGTTTGTAAAGCATGATAGATGAAATTCTTTTCTGTAATGCATACTGCACAGAACTAAAACTTTGAAAATTTTAGGGTTATATAGTTACTATGTAAAATAAAACATTGCATAAAAAAAGATTGACTTTTGCACAATACCATGCTGTTGATTAACATTTAAGATATATGAGTTTCGGATTTGTTTACACATACCAAGTGGCCATAGAAGTCTGAAAGGCTCTTATGTATAAGTTGTAAATATTATTATTTTCAAAGAGAGCAGGGAAGAATTAAAAATCTTGTCTTGATGTTTCAATATGGAAGTAGAACATATTAAAATTTTGTTTTATATCCAAAATTCAATTGTCACTCTCATTGGATAAATAAAGAACACTTACTCTCCATTTCCCAAAGTTTAACAAAAAAAAAAGGGGGGGGACAAGCTTCAAGTAATGGAATATTATACAACGACCATTTTACAATAGCAAGTCGATCAGAATAAGGGATTGGGATGAAAAATAGCCAAATGCAAACCAACTCAATATGTTAGCATGAAACCTTAAAAGAGAAAAGTTAAGCTACTAAACTATAATAAATTATTTAAGTGAAAAAAATAATTAAAGACATCAACAGAGACACCTAAGCCACAAATAAACATTCGTGTCAAAAACTGAAATTGTAAAGGAAAGAATTTCTAGCCATTAGACCTCTTTCAGCACAGTAAACTTGTCAGCGAAAAGAAAACCTGCAACAATTTAGAAAAAAACAGTTAACAAAAAAAAGGCCTATATTCCATATAACCATGAAGCACAAGCCAATTAACAGCAACACCCACTCATAAAAAAAATAATAATAAAAAAAAACTCCAACAAAACCGAAGAATTAGATATTCCCATTAATAATTCGTACATCAAAATTCAAGAGCATGACCTTCAAAAAAATCAAAATTTTCTTTTCCTTTTGCATTTCAATTTTCCCTCCTGAAACCAATCAAAACTTCAACTAGGAAAAGAAAAAACACGAGCTTGATCGAAAAGCCCAAAGTAAAAACAAATTTTAAAAAATCCCATTTCCCATCACCACAATCCAAGGGTTTAACCTCACCTAAGGAGTCAAAATCCAATTTTTCTCATTCCCCATTTCACTTAGTCTCCATAATTTATAAAATAAACAAAAAACAAATTTAACCCCATGAAAATCCCGACATGGGTTCGATCTAAAACACAAGAAAAACCACATACAAGTGCTAAAATAGATATTTTTAGAGAGAAAAAAAGAGAGAGATTACAGTGTTGGGAACTGCAAAGACCGTGAATGAAAATGGGGTTTGTGTTGAGATTGTGAGATTCAGAAACTTCAGATTCGATTTTGAAGAACACGGAAGAAGAAGAACCAGGTGGAAGTGGAAGCTACTCTTTTAGGACCATTTTATAACGAATAGTTACGAGTATGTTTTTTTTTTTTCAATTATAAAAAAATTATTTTTACATGCATTAATTAATTAATAATTTTTTTATAGTCATAAAATTCATGGTAATAAAATATTTATCTGTTATTTATATAAATAAATAACAGATAAAATATATTTTTATAAAATTATTTATATTATTAATTAATCATAATATATCAAAAATATAATCAGTAAAAATTTACATCAATAATATATTTAAATTAAATTTATAAATAAATATATTTATTTATTTAAATTAAGTTTAATAAAATTAGTGAATAAATTAATTAGAAGCTGAAAATTAACTAAAAGTTGAAATTTTAAAATTATTTAATCCAATTAAAAAAATTTAGTAAAATTATTTATTAGATTATCTGATAATTGTAAATAATAAATAAAATATCATGGGTTAAAATTTGGTATGTATTACATATATTTTAAAAAAATGTAATTTTTATATTTTAATTTATTTCAAATTATTTATTATATTAAAATTAGGTAATAAATTTTAATTTTTCTCTCATCTATAATATTTAGTGTAAAAAATAAAATTTTAATGAATTTATTAATTTCTTTTTCAAAATAGTAATCAGTTATTGTTTAAATAAAAAATATTAATATATTTATTTATTCATTATTATTTATGATGTATTTTTTTAAATGTAAAATAAATAAATAAATAAACTATTAAAATATTAAATGAATAAAAAAATTAATTAGAAAAATAATACTAATAAAATAAATTTCTATTAATAATTAAAAATAAAAATTACTAATTACCCTTTTTATTTCGGTTATTATATGTCTTTTATAGGCTGAGACAGCAAGGCGGTGCAGTGTAAGAAAATGCAGTGAGTGCTACGGTATCAGGCTGTTTCAGAACCGCTGATAACGTGCAATGAATATTTGACACGTGGCGATCATTTGATTCTGGTCACATGGATCGTCACCTTCGTGACAATAATGACCAGTGCATATAGGCAACAAACCGTTAAAATTAAAAAAGTTCAAAAATACACTACCGAATATTTTCATTTAAAAGTTTTTTTATTATTAAATAGAACTTATATAATTATTCTTAAATAACAAATGAAATAGAAAAAAAATAAATTTATACAATTTAAAAAAAAACTTAATTAATTTAAAATGAGATATTTTAAAAATCAAAATCACACGTAGTCTAAAATAAAGAAACTAAAAATTTAATTAAATAAAAAAAAGGAAAAGAAAAAAAATTTGAAGCAGAAAAAATATATTAATTTTTATTTTAAGTCGTGTCAGGTAATGTAAGAATGAAATAATTTAAAATTCTGTAATTAAAAATAAATAAATTAAAAAAAACGTTTGTGCTTATGAATTAATTCATCTTAAATTAAGTCAAACGTAGATGATTTATTAAATAAATTATGCAAAAATTTTAAAAAATATATCTAATTAAAAAATAATTTTAAATATTATTAGTATTAAATTTTATCATAATATTTTAAAAAGTTATACTTGTTAACATAATTGAAGATTTAATCCGTATATAAAGGAAGACTAATTGGTTGACATAAAAAAATTATTGTAAAATGAAGTTAGATTATTAAAACAAATAGGTCAATTTAAAAAATATAAAAATATATTTAATAAATAAATTAAATTTCAAAATTAAACTTAAAAAAAAGATAAATATATTTAAAGTAGTATTTAACTCGATTGGATTTTGTATTTTAGTGATGGATTGATTTGAATTTATTGGCAATATATATCTATCTTTCTTTACATGGATTTTGAAGTATTTTATAATTGACGTTTCTTCCAAATTCTATGCATTCATTATTCAGATTTGATTTTATACAAATATATATATATATATATATATATATATATATATTGATTTTTAAATTATGGCGTATTAATTTGAAATAAAAAAAATGGTATGAATTCCATAGTGAAGTTATTTTACAATTAATCATTTTAACAATTTTAGAATTCATATTTTTACCATTTAAAGAAAAAAATATTAAAATCTTATTATTATGAATAGTGGTACATTGATTTGAGTGGTTTTTGACTATATATATACACCAATGTGCATAAATATAAATACTAATATTCACTTAACATCTCAAGTACATCAAATATTTTTGTGAATTTTTTCTTGGGAACTAATATGTATTTTGAACATTTTCAAAATTAATATTTTAAAGCAGAAATATGCCATTTTTTTATATTAAGTAAGTAACAAATGATTGTTATTTAAGTTTTATTTACCACGTATATAATTGCTACATTTATTCAATTTATTCTATATTACTGATTTTATCAGATTTCATATATTTTTATAAAAATATTGTTTGAATAAATATTATCAATTTGATAAGAATACAAAAATGAAAGTACATATTTGACCACCTATATTCAGATTTAATTATGTAAGATTTGGAGACAAAATCCATTTCTTAATTGTGGCACTTTGATTTGAATAGAAAGTTAATAACATGGATAGCTAGAAATTAAGCTAAATTGGGAAATTTTCTGAATTCCCTTTACATTTTTTAGAATAATACTTATATTTCTAGTTATTAATATATTATTATTTTTAGGCTATTCACTTTACTTAAATAAATATTTAGAAATTTTTTAATATTTTAATGCTAATCTATATATTATATACCGAAAAAGTCATTTACACAATTTTTTTATCTGCATGCTGCATTCTTTTTTTTTTAATGTAAATTTTAATTATCAATAGTTGACATTAATTTTAATTGAATTTTTTTAATATAAAATAAATATCAAAAATAAATTTACTATATTAAAATTATAAAAGTATAATAATATTTTAAAATAAAGTTTTAATATTATTAATTTTTTAAACTTAATATCATAAATCAATATAAACTCTTAAAAAAATTAAATGTTGACAATATATTTACGAAAAATAATAAAAAGTTATTTTATATCATACTTCATACATTTAAAATGTATTCAAAAAATATTTACAATAATAAATACTTAAATTAGTGACTCATACAATAAATAATGAATATATTCATGGGTGAATATCTATAAAAACAAATATTACAATAAATATATATAAAAAAAGAATTTAATAATTAATATATTTAATTTTTTTATAATTAAGATAAAAATTATTATTATTATTATTTATAAAAGAATTGGAAAGAATATTAATACGCAAATTATATATATTAGTTAAAAAAATAATTAATATTCTCCTAATCTTCTAATAGACGAGTCATCCTCCACAGCAGAGGTAGTATTTCGTAAGATACAGACGACGTTTAATAGATTTGCTTGATAATTTTAATTACTCAATTATCTTATCACACTCTGTTAACACAACTTCCCATGCCATACTTATCATTATCCTCGTTATCATCACTCAACATTTATTGTTAACATAAATTTAAATTGAAATATAAAATTTTAATTATACACTTAATTTTTTACATAACCCAAATATAAATATCAGCTTTTAAGCTTATTTTAATATCCATATCTAAAGAAAATCTATTTATAAATAACAAATACCTATTTTAATTACATTTGCATTCCAAGAGAAAATAATAGTCAGTTAATCTCAGTCTCACCCCACAATTTGCTCTTATACTTATTTTTTTTATAATTGAATAATTAACTTTCCTCTCACGTAATTGTCAAGTCAAAATAATTTATAATATTTAATTATACCAAATTCTACAAGTTACATTTTAACCTTTTCTGTAATTTTTTTAAATAATAATAATAAAAAAAAAAGAAATCGACTTTAACTGTTAGCAACAGAGTAAAAAATTATCTTTACTTTCACTTAGTTCTCATCGCCCAAAATAAATTAACAAAATAATTTCCTTAGACATTGGAATTGGAAGATCCATCTCATGTTCTTCACAAAATAAGGCATGGATACTTTTATTTATTAATCTTTTAAGATGCCAATAATTAGACACTTTATGCATAGACATCTGTTATGACAATGTGTCTCACAGTGTGAGCATAAAATGCTAAGTTAGATTCACCAAACCATTATGCTTTGCACAGCTATGCATTCAAACTTTACAACTTAATATGTTATTAAAAATTAAACTATATTTTTTATGCATTATTAATGAAAATTATTTACATTATTAATTTATTAAAATATATAATAAATATAGCTTTTAAAATAATCATAGTAAAAATTAATAATTATTACCAATATAATAATTTATACATGAAAAATCACAAGACTTCTTCTTCTCCCAGCTATGTTAATTACATCAATCTCATTTAACTCACTACGGCTTTTTATCCCTTACATTTTAAGGGACTGTTTGGTTTTAAAATATGTTTTACTTTTATTTTTAATTATAAAAATATTACTTTATCTTTATTTTATTGTCTATATTGTAAGATATATTATTCTAATGTGTACTCTCAACACATAATAAGAAATCAATACATAATAAATTTTTATTAAAAAAAAAAATTTAATACTATCTCTGCATTAAATTCTATACATAAGTATTTATTACGTGTCTTTGTGCATATTTTAAAAAAACGGTTTTAAAATTCATAAAAAAAATAATGAAAACAACTTTTAACTATTCCCATTGTCTATGCAACATTGGCTGGAGAAATTGAGGAAACAAATGTTACAAAGTACCCAAGAACCACTAAATGCTATTGTATAACCTTATCATTAAAGTCTATAGTAATTAATTTACACTATCAAGGCTATGAAAGATTGAATTTAGATTAAGCAAGCTAACTAAATTTTGAAAGGACATGGGCTATACATATAATAATGAGTTAGGAACTGAGTTGATTTGTGCATATTGCAGCTGTTAACTTTGTTCTAAGACCTGATCACAAACATGAACCTCACTCTGTAGGTAACTCAGCTAAGAATTGGACCAAACCTTTCAAGGTAGAGGTTTCTGAGACCTGGGAAGGTTTTCTGCATACAAGTTATGTAACATTTTAACATAGTCATCAATCTTGCTAACACTCCAATTTTCAGTGCTTATTGGAGGAAGGTACTTGACAGTAAGCGGCGCAGGCCGAACATGTAAGCTGCCTTTTCTCCATGCCAGATGAGTACCTGTCAGGACCATTGGAACAATTGGAAGACGTGATTGCAGCGCCAAATGAACAAAACCCTGCACAAAAGTAAATGGAAAGTGATGGATAGATTAGTTCCAAGTGAGAAAATGAAACATTTTAAGAGTAATATCTCTGTAGATTTATAAGAATACCATCCATTACACTAAAAGAAGATAAAGGTAGAAAGTTACTTTCTTGAAGGGTAGTAGTCGCCCGTTTTTAGACCTTGTTCCCTCTGGAAAAATGATCAGTGACAGATTGTTCTTCACGACTGCACGAGCTGCCTAAGCATTGCAATGATTAGAAATTAGAACCTTAGACAAGAACATGATAAACGATGATGCAGGGAAAATGTTATACACCTGTTTCATGGACTCAATAGCTGCGGCTGGGTTGGACCGGTCTATACGGAGATGGTTGGCCAAAACATAAAGTTGGCCAAATAGAGGATACCAAATTATCTGCATAGAAATGGTTGGCAATAAGTTTCTGAATCTTTAGAACACATTGTTGAACTATTGATAAGTAAATGCTTGGAGATGCAAATGGAGATCCATTTTCAAAGCAATAACAAAAACAATTGCAATCTTGAGAGTGCAGTGCCATAGTAGATTTATTAAAGCTTCTAAGGTGAAAACATTCTGAAAAGTACTACAAGACATCAATTGTTTTGACCATGGCATATGTAATATTTTAGCTATGCATAAAAATTTGTTATGCTTAACCCATAAAGCATTAAAACATACCTCTTTCTTTGCAATGCCAACGGTACCTTTAGGAGTCAACCACATTATCAGAAATATGTCAATCGGAGATGCATGATTACTTATGTAAATTGCCCTCTTATTAGAGTACTCAACACCCTCAATTTTTACAGGATTCCCAAGAATCCACATCTGCATCAATGTTTTGAACATTAACTTGCAAAGAAATCCTAAAAATTTAGTATTCAATGACTATGCTACAAAAATCATGAAGACTAAAGTGAGACTTCGGAAACATGCTCTTCTTAAAATGGCATTAACATTCAGAAAGCTTTTGACTTATTGAGCATACTGCCATAAGTGAAGTAAAGATCATGGACCTGAAATTTATTCAGATTACCATTTAAATCCAATATAATTGAATATCTTTGCCACACACATGACCTGATGATTGGATTTCTAAAGCATTTCAGTTAAGTATTCGGATGTCATTTAAGAAATAGAATCTATAATACATTGTTGAAGGAATCCACTGACCACACACAATTGTGTGTCTTAACGACCTTACCAAATTAATTAAGGCTAGGAATCTTCCTCTGCAGTTACACATAATAGAAAAAATAATCCACAACCCAGCATATGATTTATCACTAATCACCACTAAATTCGAGAGTTCCATATCTTAATGGAAAGACAACGATATTTCAAACTTTTGCTTCTTTAAATACCAATGCATATCAATGAGCCTATCAACAGAATCAATATTACATCACAGTTTTGACTTTGAGATGCGTTGGTTAAAGGAATTCTAAATTAAGGATTATTACCTGATATTCTGGCTCTTTGATATGATTAAAATCTCAACTAAAATAACATTTTCATACTTCACAAGATTCAAATTATTGAACAAGACGTAATCTTTTTTATATTAAGGCTCAATCAAACATAACAATAAATAAACAAAAAAGAAAACGAAAATCATTTAGAATATTTCAAAAGCTAAGCACTCCATGCAGCAGCAAGCAAGTTGAACTAATTTCAAAAGCCAAAGTATCATACCAGCATTCTACCAGTCACATGCCCATAAATGTTTCCTTGCTTAATCCTCTCATAAGGCCATGGTATAAGCACAAGCATGATCGATGCCCAAATAAATGTTGTGACCATCATGGAAACAAAACAAGTCACAATTCTGATCCAAGATATGATCACTGAAACCCACCCATCATCATCTACAAAAGCATTCATCCTAAGCCTTTGTACTGATTCATCTTTTACTGAAACTTTTGGAGTTTCCACCACCCCCTTTTCAGAGTTTGTATTCAAGAAGCTCTCAAACCTTCTATTCCTCAAAAAGGCACCAAACCTTGAATTCTCCATGAGTACTCAAAATCTGTGAAGACTCTGAACAGGACAAAAACAGAACAAAGCAGATCATATAAAAACTCTCCTCAAATATGTCATTTCGTTTAGTTGCTGAGAATATCTGATTAACAAAAGTTACACCAAAAAAAAAAAAAAACGGTTTTGGCCTACAGAAACCAATTAAGTTACACTTCATACACTAAAATCTGTTTTTCCTGTTCCATTAGATTTAAGCAACCAAACCAAGTATCCTTCGATTTAAACATATGTTGCTTCATTAATTTGCAGACCAACCGAAACAGGGTTCAAACCAAAAAGAAAAAATAAAACCGGCTTTGTCCAATTCAACTAAATAGGAAGCAATCAAAATAAGCGGCTCCATAATAAAACAGAGCCAATACGAAAAAGAGAGGGAAAAGAACACGAAAATCAATAAAGTTCTGTTTTTTTTTTTTTTCTTCAGGAAACTGAAGAATAACATTATAACAATAAAATTTGTATTCCTTCAACAACAGTAACATCAGAGGTAAAAAAAAAAAAAACGCTTCAAAACAGGGAATTTTATCGTTTTTTTTTTATTATTATTTATTTTGGCAATTTGAAGAGGCAGAGTTTTTCTTTTTGGTCCAACCCAATTTTCTGAGCAAGCAGAGAAAACAAACCCATTTACCAAGAATTAAGAAAAGACTGAACGAAATGTTCCTAACCAGGATAGCATGTGGCTGCCTCAAAGAGTTGTTAGAGAGAAGAGAGAAGCTAAAGAGTGATTTGGATGTGAGGGAATGGTAGCAAATCGAGAAGAAGCAGAGTGAAGACAGAGAAGTGGTCACAGTAAGGTGAAGGTGAAGGAGAAAGTGAAGAGTTTTGAGTGTATCACTCGGATTACGACAATAAATGAGTCATCCCAAATGTCAAAGAAGGATACAAATGGTAGCCACAAACTTTTTCCATACGTAGTTTTTTTTTAAATAAAATAAATTTTGTATGTTTAATTAAAGAAAGTATATACTGCTATTTTTATATATTTGTGTTACTTTTATTTATTTTTTAAATTTATATAAATATATTTTTTATTAATATAATTATAAGAGAAATACAAACATTCTAAATAAAAATAATGTCAAACACAATGACTATATATATATACTTTTAGAAAAATGAGTTTGATACAATTACATGTCTTTATTGTGTGGTTTTTGACTTCTTTTTCCTTTTTTTTTTTTGGTGAGCAGTTTTAATACACACTTTTGTTAAGTCGGTTGTGCAGAATGGTCCAAAGAGTAGTACAAACAAAAGGGACAAATAAGTCATTTTAGTCCTGAAATAATAGGTATTTTGTTAATTTAATTTTTTTAAATTATAAAAAAATAATGTATAAAATTATCAAAATTTAGTTATTTTGGTCTTTAAAATTATGAACAAATTAATCATTATCGATAATTGTTCATTTTAGTCTCTTAAATTATAAATATTCAATATTTAGTCTTTAAAATTAGAAAAAAAATAGCCCCTAAAATTATAAAAAATAAATAATTTTAATCTAAACCAAATTAAAAAAATAATTCAAGAAAAAAATAAAGAATCACACATAAACTCAAGAATGGTTAATCTTAACATTTTGAAATAAAATTCATTAAAAAAATTGAAATCATTGTACATTGAAATGTAATTGAGTTGTTTTATAAGTTTATAACATCACTAATCATGTAAATATTTGCACTTAATATGTCATATTGACAATTTTAAGTATTGACTTTTTTCCATTATTTTACAAATTAAATTAATAGTTATGTATAAATTGGGTAACTTTTTTTTATAAATTTCATTATTAAATTGATAAATATTTATAATTTTATAAATTAAAATGGATCATTTTTGTATGATTAAGGACTAATTTTTCATAAATTCAAAATTTTAATTAATAAATAGTTATAATTCAGAAAATTTGTCCTTTTATGGATAATGATATGGAAAAAGTTTAGGTACATTGTCAAATAGTATTTTACATTTATTTTTAATTAAAAAAATATATTTTGATAATATATATTAAGTTATAATATTAATATTTATTTCTTAAATTTTAAAATAAAATTTAAATTTAAAAATAACACATGCATATAATATTATACTTAAAATTTGTCCCATTTGTAATAGAGTTCTGAAAAAGGTATTTTTCCGTTTCATCAAATTTGTTTTACGTCGTTACACACAACAACAAAATCTGTTACCATCAAAACGCGTTTTGTGCATAATCATAACTTTTGATTTTAGTTTTGGTTTTTGAGTTTAGTTTATGCAAACAAATAAACTGTGACTCCAATTAAAAATATGTTAAAAAACTTATAAATATATTTAGTTTCGTATTTATAGTTTTAATATTTTTTTATTTTTTAATTGTTTAAATTAAATTTTTGTTTGATAATTAATAAAAATATAACAATTATGCAATACATCATTGATTTATATAAATTTGTAAATACAAATATGAAATAATAAAAATATTTTTATTATATTTTATTTAGTATATTTATTTAAATATTTTATTAATTTTTTTTACTAATTTACGTAAATTAATAATATCTTCCACTTCTGTTATTTTTTTATTAATTATTGCATAAAATTTTAGATAGAGTATTTAGTTTGAATAATTAAAAAAACTAAATATAAGTAATTAAATTAAGAAGAATAAAATTACACGTAAATAATTAAAAAATACTTATTTTTATTCCAACGGACACTGTCAGAGATTCTTACGTATACAAATTACAAACAACCAGTTTGTTCAAAAAGGGATTATTTTAATCTTTACATTTTAATACATTAAACATTTTGAAATAAGTTTCTTTTATTCAAAACTAAATAAAGTTTATAAGAATTATTTTTATAGAAAAGTTTTCAAATATAAAATTACTATATTTAAATTTTTATTTTTTATTACATATTATCACTTTCTATTTCTTTATAACATATTATTTTAATAATTATTTTTGTATTGAAACTTTAAGGGTCAAATACACTTTACTCACTTATTCCTTAGATGTTTTATTCTCTCATTTATTATTTCTAATTGTAACCTTCACTTCAATTACGTGGGAAATAGCCATAAGTGATATTTTTAAACATTTTTTTAATATATCTCTAAAACTATACTCTTAAAGCCATTTTAAAAAAATATTTTTTAAAAAAAGTCAAAATTGTAAAATTATTTAAATTTTTTTTCTAATCTAATTTAATCTGAATCTAATCTAAAATTGTGCATCTGAATGTAATAATTGAATTTTTTTTATATATATAAATATTTAAACTTAAAATTTTACTTAAGGGATAAGCTGATACGGAACTTTATTACTGAGACCAACCTCTTCTAGTAAATTATTTGAATTTGACTGAGTGCATTACCCTTTACGTGATAAAGCTGAAATTGATTGATTAATTATTCGTATTCTTGTTAAAATTGAAGCATCAATGTTCACTCTTTAAGATGCTTATTGTTTGGAATATTTGATTACAGTCATAAACTCATTTCCAATGTTGGGAATGGGGTCTTCTGTGCCAAGGCATCAATGCTCTTGCATCTACTCAAAAAATATTAATTAATGTTCTTAAGCTATTAATTAAAAAATAAATAAAAAGATCAGTTATGTATGTATATCATCATATTTAATATAATTATTATTTTTCAATTTTTTAACCAATATTTTAATAAGACCCTGATATTAATCAATGCTATATTATATGCATTGCTCCTTCTTTTGTTCGATTCCAAGTCCAAACTTGCTGAGAATCTGTTAGCAGCCAAATCATTTTACCACTTGCTCATAGTGCTTACGATGAAGTATTATTAATCTTCGAAAAATTATATGGTCATATTTTTTATTATTAGTTAAAATTTATAGAATATTATAAAAATATTAAAAAATATTAATTTACAAGTCAAATAAAATAAAATAAAATATTTTTAATTAATAATAAAAAGTTTATTATTAACTAACATAATTACATTTAACCATGTAATAACCTTTTATTCTTAATTCCTCAACCATATATGAACATTTGTGACATATTTCAATGGCAAAGTTGATGGTGATAGTATTATATGTGTATCTATTTGTATTGTAGGTAAATATATAATATATATTTTTTAAATATAAATAAATATTAATTTTGAAATTACATTTGTTTTTACTTTGTTTTATAATTTCGTGTTTGGTAATTTTAATTTTAATATAACCTTTAAGGATTGCAACATTTTACATAAATTAATATATAGTTATAGTTTAATAGTTAAATAAATAAAAAAAATATTTTATATAAAATTATGAACTGTGTAAGAACATGTGTAATTTATAACAGTATAAATTTATTTCTTCTTATATATATATAAGATGTATCCGGTAAGAAAATTTTTTATATGAAAATGATAAATTTAAATTGTACAAATTAAAAAATTTTAAATCACATGGTCAATTTAAAAAGTTACACAACTTTTTAAAAATTTACTTGAGTTTTGTATTTTTTTTATTACATTTAAAGAATTTAATTAAAACAAGTGTAATTTTATATTATCATTTTATCATAAATAGAGATATCACTAGATATCATTAATTTTTATCATAGCATATATATATATATATATATATATATATATATATATATTAAATAGTAAATATAAATATTGTTAAATCATTATAGATTCAATTAAATAAAGGTATTCAACAAAATAAAAGTACAGAACTATAATTATTTTATAAATATTTATAATATTACACTTAATTTTGTTCTATTTAATATAAATAATAAAATAGTTACATCGGACAAAATATTTTTTAATATAATAATTAATATTTAATAAATTTAACAGTTTTGACATAATTTTTACAGTATAAGTACATTTTTAATGAATTAACATCAATATTTAAGATTAATTTTAAATTATTGAAAATAATAAAAATTTTATTTTAATATTTTATTACATCAAACATATAAAAATATAATAAATATTATCTTCTTAAATATAAATTTATTATTTTATTTTATATGTTTCAAAACACTTCTAAATATTGAAGTTAATAGTTTTTTTTTATTATTTAATGGGACTAAAAGTTTAAAGACAAGCCGACATTCACAATCATTAAGATTTTAAAGGAGAAAGAGAGATGGAGAGGCTACCTCAAACTAAGAATAATGAAATAAGAATTAAGCTCTGATACACTAATTTGCTTCTCTACAAATGTACATTATTCTAACATTACAAATTAATAGAAATAAAGGACCAGAATTTCCACACACAGTAGCAATAGTCTTTAGCTAAAAGAGATCCATCTCACACATCTATGATCAGACACTAGTCTTAGAAAAAAAAAAGTGAATTTATTCTGCAACAATATAAAAAATAATTAACATCACAAAAGAATTTTTCAACTAAAACATCACTTAAAATAAGCCATTTAACTCTATTTTGCTAATACCAATAGGATTCTTTGTGATTAAGGATTTGTTAGTTTTCTTTCTAAATAGATTTTACGAGGTTACTTAAAAAGAAATTATTACCATATGCAAATTTGCGAGATATGCCTTTTATTTATTAATTAAATACTTTTTTTTTATTATTAAAAATACTATCAAAGGTAGACCTATTCCAATATGATATATTTGTTTTAAATTTATAAACATTATCTATGTGAGAGTTTAAGAGAATCTAAAAAATTTTAACCTCATTAAAAAAGTAAAACATATTAATAAAGTAAAAAATTTAAAAGATTTATTATAATTATACAAACTATCTCTAGCTCTAATTTTAAGTCAAAAACTAATGGTTAAATCTTAATATAAAGATATGAATAATAAAGCTATTTTAAAAGAGAGATGTCAGATCTTATTAACAATCACTCTATCTAATTTTTTTAAATGTCCTTTCTACTAAGTAAAAAAGTTTTTTTAAAACTCAAATCATGTATCTCATATTTATATAGATAATTAGAAAACTTATTAATTTGATAAGTATTGGCATAATTAACTCCTATTTTTTCTTTCTCATAAAAAATAAAATTAAAATCTTTAACTAAATATTAAATACCAATAATTAAATAACTAAATTTAAATAAGTATTTCTTACACTCAGATTTATTTTTTTAGGACTAGCATAAATTAAAGAAAAAATCCAGTTAATATTATAACATTATAATTCTCAGTACTCATGATCTGCTGAATTTTGACAAAATCTTTGTCAAAATTTTTAAAAAAAATAAATTATTAGGAATTAGTTAAAGTAACTTTAAAGTTTTATATTCATTAGATAATTTATGATTTTCTAAAATTTTGCTGGAACTTTTAAAAAATACTCAAAATTAGCCTATTTTGCGGGTATCTTAACAAAAAAAAATTACATTTGCGAAAGTGTAATTTTTAAGTTAAAAAAAATTATAAAGTAATTAAATTTTAACTTTTAAAAATGATTAAGAGAGAGAAGATACATGAAAAATAATCTTCTTCTCTAATAAGCTTCCCATAAGTTCTTTTATCTAATTTTTCTCTCAAATACTCTCACTTTCAAGCTTGATTTTGAGGGCCAAACTTTGATTTTCTTGAGAAGCTTCAAGAGGTATATTTGTTACCCTCATCCTCCTCTACATTTGTATAGTTTTATTTTTTAGAATGGTGCTCATTTAATTTTCTCTTCTTACTTGGATGAACTTGAATAAGAATGGGAAGGGTATTATCTTGCTTTTATTGTTGTGGTTTTACACTTAGGATACTAGAGTCATGCTAAAAATGGAGGATTAGAAGTGGTTGAGCTAAAAACTTAAGAACCCAAATTCACAAGTCACTGTTCACTAAATTCTGGGACTTGTATGGACTGAATTGGGAGTTTATGTCTCCATGAAAGTTGTAGCCCTTTTAATACTTGAAATTTAGCCACTGATTTCACCTCAAATGGATATTTATAACTCAAGTTATGTCCATTTTACTAACAGGTATTATAATTGTCACCTTAGGAGGTTGTCCTGTTCCAACAGGCATAGATTTTGATTTACTGAGACTGATGAGTGTAAAATTAGGACTTGACTCCTCATAAAATTTGTAGGAAATTGTATGCCTGAAATTTAGAAATTAGTTTCATGTTAATAGCTTATGTGTAGCATGAGATATGGTCAAATTACTAAGGTATGTTTAGAGTGTTGGTGTAGTTGAGCCCTGTCAGAAACAACTGTAAACTGAAAACTGGCACTATTCTATAGGGTATTTGAACTTAATTCCTTCATAAAAGTTGTAGATAAATGAATCCTTGAAATTTAGAAACTGGTCTCATGTTAAAATATTAAGTATTTCTTGAGTTATGGCAAAAACACTAAACCTTGTGCAATTTGCTAAAAAATTTTCATATTATGACTTTGACCAACTTTATTGTACAATCTATCTCGAATTAGACTTTAACCTCTCATCAATATTGTAGATAATTACGTTATTGAAATTTGAGCTTTGACCTCATGCCAAAACAATCTATATAACTCTAGAAAATTCTAAAATATTGAACCTATTCTTCCTACTTTAAGTGTGTACCAACTAGGATGATTTTTTTAAGTTAAGTGTAAGGTGAATGTGAGCTTAACATATTACCAAAAATGGATTAACAAAACAAAATGAGTTTAAATTTCCACGAGATAAAATCAGAGAACTATAAGGTTCTAACTAACGTTTCATTACATGTATAAATTTTGTCAGAAATCAACTTCAAGCGTTGGAGAAAACAAACATGAACGTAACAGGTAAAGGGTGGGCTATATAGTAAGGATTACATCATAAACTTGTTTAATCTTATTTGTTGAAATTGTCTAAATTTTGTTATGATTGATGATTGTGATTTCCTTATATGCTTAATTTTGATAATAGTTTGCTTATGTGTTTGGTGGTTAAAATATATGTTTGATACTTCATTAAGAAATAAATTGTGTTATATGATATGAATTTTATTTGAGTGAGCATTTATGTGCATGGTGGTTTTTCATGGGAAAGTTTAATGAAAATAAATTGAAATGATTGAATGATGGATTGAAAACCTTTATAAATTGTATTGGAAATTTTTCTGATTGTAACAGGTATTTGGAAGATTTTGGAAAGTCAATATTATAAGAGAAACTTTGTCAAAATTTTGAAAAATATTTAGACTAAAATTTTTTTTAATCATTCTCGAACAAATTTAAGAATTTGGGAATATAGGACTTTTCTAAGAAAAATCACTTAGGAACTCATACATTACTCATCCAAAAATGGTATTTTATATAAAATGGAGAATCAAAGATTATGGACTCTGGGAATACGATAGGGAGGCCCTAAGGGAAGACTTGAGGATAGGAAGGGTAGTGTTTAGAAGTCTTAAAAGACTCAGGCTTGCTACCTGTCGTCGGGGATCCTACTGTACAAATTCTTCTATACCTGACTGTGCTCTTGCCATATATCATGGTCAGTGAGCTACTAGGTTTATATTGAGCGTGAGTCTTAATAATTCCGTGGGTGGATTTTTATACCTAGTAGTGTCAACTCCTGACTACTCCAACATTGATTTAAGAAATGATTCGGGCCCACATGCATAGACATTTTAGAAAACAAACTAGGATCATGACCATTATCATCATTCATTTAGAATGCAATTGATCTGTGAATGTTTATGATGTTTGATTTTAACGTGATGTATGAACTGTGGCTCACCCTATCATTTTTCTATTTTCTCTGTACCTGCAATACTCATTGGACCTGGTTGGTTACCACTTATAGCAGAGGGAGATGACCCATATTCCACACTAAATGAATATGATGATTAAGCTCATTAGCCTGGAGCCACATCGATGGCAGTACAATTGGGATAGACACACCCATACTTTTGGGGGCATACTTACTATATTTTTTAGGAGAGCGACACCAAGACCTAGAGCTGGTGTCCCTATTACTATAAGAACTAGACTAACTCTTGACTTAGATAATAATAATCCTTTCTAACTTATACCACCACCAATTCTCCTCCAGTTGAGGAGGAGGAAATGTATATTGATATTCCGGAGGATTATGATCTTTTAAACACCGATGAGTTTAGCGACTCAAAAATGGACTCAAATGAGGAGATTCATCTCTTGAGTTTGAAGATATAGATTCAGAATAGGATTGATACTACTTTTTTTTTTTTTGTATCGTGGCAAAGGTTAGTCGTAGACATTCTTTTGTTGTACATAAGCCTTTATGGTACTAGGTAGAAGCCATTCTTTTTGTTTAGTTGTGCTGCTTTGTAGGAAGTCATCCCCACTGTTACTCTTATTATTTTGAAGAATTGTAACTAATATTTTATCTGTATGTAATTATGTTGTTAGGTAAAATGGTAATTGAGTTCTTTAGTATACAGTGTTGTGTAATGTGGAGAACTTATTGACTTTTTTGCCCCTTGTATTACTGTAAAAGGATATCTAAACACTTATAAAAGTTTGCTTTAAATATTTTATATAACGACGAAATTTTGAAATATATTATTAAAAATTTGCTTGTTAAAGTTTATTTTTGTGATTAATAGTTTAATACATCGATATTATGTATAGGGGAAGATTATTAGTATATAAAAAAAATCACTAATTTTCTAATTAAGGGTTTATAAAGTAGGGTGTTACAAATATAACCATAACTATTAATTTTTAGATGAACAACAATTTTAAATTTAAACAATAATAAAATTATTTGTATTAAAATTAAACTTACATTAATTAGATAGTAATGAAAAAAAAACTAAATTTACTTATAAAATTTAAAATAAATAAATAAAACAAGGCATATTTTTAAGAAGAGAAAAAGATAAAAATAATTTTTTTTATAAAAGACTGATTTTTATATTGATTTTTTAATTTATATAATATTATACAACATAAATAATATGTAAAATAAATTTTTATTAAAATTTATAATATTAATGAATTTAGTTAAATTGAATTTTGAAACTTCTATTAAAAATTATTCTATTTACTAGATTGATAGTAATAAATGAAATTTTTTATTTAATAATTACTAAAAGTCTGTAAAACTTGCAATAAATAAGCGATACACATTTTTTGATGTTTCTTTTTCAAAAAAGTGACGCATGTCAGGATTTTTTTTAAACAACTATCATAAAATAGTGTGCCGTTTGATTTTAAATAATTATTAATTGAAAAGTGTATAATAAAAATAGAAAAAATTAAAAAAAATTCAAACAAAATAATTAAATGACTATATTTTTCCATATAAAATTCCAACTACTGAATTTAATTGCATCTAAAGAATTTAACTACTAATCCACGTACCAATATTAAAAGAAACAAAATAACATATATATATATATATATTTTTTTTTTTATAACTTCAGATTAAATTTAATTCAAAGTCATTAAAAGAAACTGATTATGATTTTTATAAAGATAAAATTTTTTCTATAAATTTAAAATAATTTACAGGAACAATATATATATAAATAAATAATTGTAGGCTTATACCGCTTATATATTTTTCCAAATTTAGAGGGTATAATTGCAAAACCAGTGTTTACAAATATTGCCCCAAAAATCCATTATTGTTACATTTGCCGTCATTGCTAACATCTGTAAAAGCCCAAGCTTCGTACCATTGAAACAAAGCGACGATTTTTCTCCCTCACACTCTAATTACATTCCATCTTCTCCAACTGCACTGTGCAATACGAAATGCTTCTCGATTCTACCATTCACAAGGTATATTCCGTTCTTGCTACTGCGGAATTCAGATTGCCTCTTTTTTTTAGCTTACGTAACTATGTTGTTACATTGAAGGCATGCCCCTATTTATTTTCCTCAAATTTTTATGGGAAATGGAGGAAAATTCAACGGAAAAATTGGATATTTAGTCATGGGGTTTTATTTTTCTTTTCGGAATTTTATTTGTTTTCCTATTTTTTATTTTTATTAATGCTTGCATCTGTTGAGCAATTTAGGGAATTGTTAGCTGGAGTAGATAGAGTTTAGTTTGTTAGTACTATCATTTTTATTTAATTTCGATGATAGAGAAATGTCATCTTGATGCGTATTATCAACTCCTTTTGTTTTGCTTTTGTTTTCTAGTGATTTGTGGTGAAGCTTAGGTTTCTGGGCTGATTTTGTGGAATCTGGTGAAGTTTTTGGAATTCTTGGGGTTTGGATTGAGTGGAGTGGTGAATTGGATTGGATTAGTTGGTTGAAGTTTGGTGCAAGATAAAGTGAGTTGAGATGAGTGTGGTGGGGTTTGACATTGGTAATGAGAACTGTGTCATTGCTGTTGTTAGGCAACGTGGGATTGATGTTTTGTTGAATTATGAATCCAAACGTGAAACCCCTGCAGTGGTCTGCTTTGGCGAGAAGCAGCGGTATTTGGGATCTGCTGGTGCTGCTTCTGCTATGATGCACCTCAAGTCTACTATATCTCAAATAAAGAGACTGATAGGAAGGAGATTTGTGGATCCTGATGTGGAAAAAGAGCTGAAAATGCTCCCTGTTGAAACTTCTGAGGGATCAGATGGTGGCATTTTGATTCATTTGAAATACTTGGGGGAGATTCATGTGTTTACACCTGTTCAAATAATGTCTATGCTCTTTGCTCACTTGAAGACTCTGACCGAGAAAAATTTGGAGACACCTGTTTCGACTTGTGTTATTGGGATCCCATCATACTTCACTGACTTGCAGAGACGGGCATATCTTGATGCTGCAAAAATTGCTGGATTGAATCCGTTGAGGTTGATCCATGATTGTACTGCAACTGCCCTTAGTTATGGAATTTATAAAACAGATTTTCGTGCTGCAGGTCCAGTTTATGTTGCATTCATTGACATTGGTCATTGTGATACTCAGGTTTCTATTGCGTCGTTTGAGTTTGGTCAAATGACGATACTTTCACATGCTTTTGACAGTAGCTTGGGGGGAAGAGACTTTGATGAGGTTCTATTTAGCCATTTTGCAGCAAAATTCAAGGAAGAGTACTGCATTGATGTGTATTCTAATGCCAAGGCATGTATCAGGCTACGTGCAGCATGTGAAAAATTGAAGAAAGTGTTGAGTGCAAATCTAGAGGCACCTCTAAATATTGAGTGCTTGATGGATGAGAAAGACGTTAAGGGCTTTATTACAAGGGAAGAATTTGAGAAGCTGGCATCAGGATTATTGCAGAGAATTTCTATTCCTTGCAGCAGAGCATTAACTGATGCAGAGTTGACAGCAGAGAAGATTTCTTCTGTAGAGCTAGTTGGTTCAGGTTCAAGGATTCCAGCTATAAGCACATTGCTAACTTCTCTATTCAAGAAAGAACCCAGCCGACAACTGAATGCAAGTGAGTGTGTAGCACGAGGTTGTGGTTTACAGTGTGCTATGCTTGGTCCTGTTTACCGTGTGAGAGAATATGAGGTTTGTGTATTTATTTTTTCAAATCTATTCTTATCCCATCTTTATGTTATATATTGCTGATTAGAATTGAGTTTGTAGATTTTTGGAAACGTAATAATTATTAGAGAACCAATTTGTTACCTTTTATTCTAGCAAGTTTTTTTTTCAGCCTTTTAACTGTCTTCCATAGTTCCATTTTCCCCTTTTTCCAATTTAAAATGAATTTTCTGTTTCTTTAATTTCTTATAGGTATATAGACTCATGAGCCCCTCTTTGTTGTATTGTTCTCTATATAATTAATGTAATTTCTTATGTTTTCTTCAGGTTCAGGATGCAATTCCTTTTTCAATTGGACTTTCATCAGATGAAGGTCCAATTTTTGCAGGATCAAACAGTGTACTTTTCCCAAGAGGCCAACCCTTTCCAAGTGTTAAAGTCATAACATTTCAGCGAAATAATTTGTTCCATTTGAAAGCTTTCTATGCTAATCCAAATGAACTACCACCTGGGACATCTCCTAAAATTAGTTGCTTCACGGTATGCCCTCTTTAGAACACTCAGCTAAGCAGTTAAAAGTTTTCTTGTCTGCATTTTTATGTTTTATACTTTCTCCTCAACCACCCCCTTTCTTAGTACTTATCATCCTTGCTCTCTTGTTTTCCTGTGTTTAATGCAAGTTATGCACTATGGGAGCTCTCTCTCTCTCTCTCTCTCTCTTTTTTTTGAGTAAATCTATGTGAACTTTTTTTTTTTTTTTTTTTTACTTTTTGGGTACTCAGTTATTCATATGTAACAATGTTTAAATTCCACAGAAAAGTTCATCTATGGTAGATATTCATCATTACCACAATCGACACCTTTCCCTCTTGAGCTGTAAGTTGTGGAATGTTCTGAAATTTAAAACACGTTAATGTTAAAATACTTATATATCCAAATGTTTTGTCTGATTCCTGTCAGTTAGTTATCAAGTGAACAAATTTACTTTAATGGATCTTGACCTTTCACAGTAGACTCCTCACCCTATTTCTCAATGAGAGATAGACTTCATTAACAAATGGGCCCATAAAAGGAAACCATTGTCTTAAATCAATAAGGCATAACAATATGAGAGCCAGAATCAGCTTTCTGTGGATGTGCATGTACTTGACTAAATCATTATGTTAGGAGAAAGGGAAAGTGTGTGTTGTAGATTTAACATCATTCCTGGTGCTGATAATTCAACATGCCTACACCTTATTATATTCTTATGCATTTGATCCATAATTCATTTCAGATTGGTCCTTTCCATGGATCCAATGGTAGTAAAACCAGAGTTAAAGTTAAAGTTGTACTAAATCTGGATGGCATTGTCAGTATTGAATCAGCTACAGTAAGTAAGAAGCCTTATTTTACTTTCTGTATTGTGTTATTAGTTTTTCTTAGTGATCTAACCTTTCTATGGTTTCAGTTGATCAAAGATCACATGAATGATTCAGTTATGGTGGGCGATCATCATTCAAATTTTGATGCAATGGATGTTGATCCCATTTCTGAGACAGTTGCCAATGGCTTTGAAGATAATACCAATAAGAAGTTGGAATCTCCACGTAGTTCTGTAAGTAACCTCTCATGTTTTTTCCTTCCCTGTATCTCACTTGTTTTTTCTTTGTGGGAGATCATAGATATTTGAGATTTCTAGCAAATTTATCCTTAGAGCGTGTAAAATTTTATTGCTAGAATATGAGATGCAATTGTAATAATTTTGATGATGAATTCTCTGTCATATTTGTCATGATTGGTTTTTAAACTTGTGGCAATAATTATGAATACAAATATGAATCATTTTGGTGTTTGCTGTATATTAATATATTACTATCACCCATTTTACAGGCTGATAGTACAAGAAAAGATAAAGTTAACAGAAGGATTCATGTGCCAGTAAATGAGAGTATCTCTGGTGGACTAACAAAGGCGGAGATCTCAGAAGCTCTAGATAAAGAACTTCAGTTGGCCCAACAAGACAGAATTGTAGAGCGAACCAAAGAGAAGAAGAATACCTTGGAGTCCTACGTCTATGATATGAGGAATAAGGTACGGATTCTATATCTCAATGATATGTAGACCTGATTAGTTTCTGTGATTCAGGATACTTGGTTTAGGTAGTCACACATGATGCTTTAGCTATAAATAGTTTTGTCTGCTGGCTGATCTTTTGTTTTTTTTAGTAAAAACTGACATGTTCCTTTTTAAATAATCAGGGCTTTAATGTTTTTTTTAAATTAGTGTAAAAGTTGAGTGTGTCACATGAGACACTTTAGTGTACTATTATTGAAGAATTGGTTTAGATGCCTTTTTGTCGTGACATTTATATGTTTTAGGCTGAAATTAAGAATGTATACTTGAAATTTCTCTTAGGCTTTTTTTGAGAGTTTGGAAAGAGACGGAAAGAAATGGTTTAAAGGGCTTAGGAGGGGAGGAGAAGGTTTAAATACCTCCTTTGTATTAATGTTTAATATTGAGAGGGAAGAGTAATGGAGGGTTTAACATATAAATGACATTGTTACCTTTTTATATTTTTTATTCATATACTTTTTTGTCTTTTGTATTTTTTTAAAAAAATACAAAAATAAAATAAAATTAAGAGCATGTTTGTTTTCATTTTTAAAAATAGTTTTCTCTTTTTAAAAATAGAAACAAATATGTTCTAAGTATTTTTAAAATTTCTATTTCTATTTTTTATAATTTTTAAAAAAATTCTCACTCTAAAAACTAATATTTTTTAATTTTTAATTTTCTTGCTATTTTAGCTTTAGACCATGCTAAATATTTAATCTAATAAATAGAAATATAAATGATAAACTCCACTACATGAGTTACCAAAACTCCATAAAATGGGAGAACTCTCTTAACCCTTCTCTTCATATTTAATTAACTTCCAAACAAGGGCCAGTGATCACTAACCCCTCCCTTCCTCAATATTAAATCCAAACAAACCCTTTATACTTTGTAATCTTATCTGCACAGGTTCAGCATTTTAAATCTTTAAAATTGTATCTCCTTTCATGCCACTAACTTTATACTCACATTTGAAGATTATGTTTTTGTATCTATTTTGATTCATGAGCTAGCATTTGAATTTATTTGCATATTTGAATAGCTCTTCAACACATACCGGAGTTTTGCAAGCGAGCAAGAGAGGGATGACATATCTCAAAGCCTTCAAGAGACTGAGGAGTGGCTTTATGAGGATGGTGTTGATGAAACTGAACATGCTTATTCTTCAAAACTGGAGGATCTTAGAAAGGTTATTTTTGCTTTTCAAATATTATTTTTTCTCCTTGCCATACTTCTTTACAATCTATGTATTCTTGTAGCTGGTGGATCCAATTGAGAATCGGTATAAAGATGAAAAAGAAAGAGTGCAGGCTATAAGTGATTTATCAACTTGCATTTCACAGCATCGTGCATCCGCAGATTCCCTTCCACCCCAGGGTAAAGAACTGGTATGCTAACAAACGGGCCAGTGTATATTATTGTGATTGTGATGCTTCCCTATGATCAGCTTTCAAGTGATGACTTTATTGTTTCAGATCATCAATGAGTGCAATAAAGTAGAGCAGTGGCTGCGAGAGAAGATCCAGCAACAAGAATCTTTTCCTAAGAATACTGACCCAATATTATGGTCAAGTGATATTAAGAGCAAGATACAGGAGTTAAACTTGTATGGTTTCTGTTTTCCTTCTCAAGAGTGTTTATTTTATTTTTTTGTCAACCTCTCAAAAGTGTATACTTCTAGTTTTGAATCCATGGCGCACAACTAAAACTTATGGCCTGATTGGTGAATATGATAAAGATAACTTTTCCTACCAATTTTCAATGTTTGTTTAACCAATGACTCTATCCTATGGTCTGTAGTTTTCTCTAGTGTAAAATTTATCTTGTGGCAGGGGACTTGAGTTAGAAATAGACAGATAGAATAATATAATGTATTTAATTTGTTATTTTAGCATGCATCAAGTGTAAAACAAAAGAAGAGCCTATTTTACTCTTACAGTGTTCTTATCCAACTTTCATATCTTATTCTTTCTTTTCTTAAGATGTTCATCAAACAAGCCTAGTCTGGGGAAGAATTCATAAAATCACAGTGCGTTATGCAAACAAATCAATCATTCATGTACAATAAAGTTCCACATGATATCCATACATTTGATTGGGAATAGTATATTTTTTTTTTATCATCTGAACTAAACTATGCACCTACTTGTGCAAAACATTGTTCATATAATTTTATGAATTTGATTGTCATTACCCCTTGATTTTATATCAGCATTAACTAATGTCCTATTTTGATGGTTTTCAGGATATGCCAACAGATATTGGGATCCAAGGCTTCTTCAACTCCAGAAGACAGGGAGAATTTTGGTCCTAGCAGAGAGTGATCTTTTATCCCGAATATTATGTTATATAGTAACGTTTAACATTAAAATTGGTTTTTGTATAGCTAAAGCTATCACATCAGCAAGCATTTGACTAATCTCTATTGCTGCAAGTTGTAGCCATGACTTGACTAATCGTTTTAAACAAATGAATGTATTTTTGACATTATATAGTAACAAAGTCAAACAAATGAATGCTTTATTAACTGTTTGAATACACTCCCAACATTACAATTAAGGGATAGAGGGTAATGCAAAATATTTATGTTGCAGAACCCAATGCAACAAATGGTGAGGGAAGGACCTGATTCTGATTCTGATTCTGATTCTGATTCCTAAGCACCAACGACATTAGTGAACTTTAACTTCTATGTAAAACTTAATTGCATATTGAAATGAATTAAAATATGTTAAATAACTTGACAGAATAAAAAATAAATGATAATATTGAGATTGTGTAAAATAACCTGTAATTTTAAAATCAGATTGGTTATGGTTGAAAACAATAAATCAGTTATTGAATTGGTAAAAACATTAATTCGTGATTTAATAGTTCAATTATGATTGAATTGGAGTGAAATTGATAATAATAAAATGTATATTTTTAATACTATATAATATATTAAGTAATATTTTAATAGAACATCATAAAAAATTACATTAACTGAAATTTAATTAACATGAAAATTTCATGTTATTCAATATGATAAAAATATAAAAAGTAATTTATACTTAAATATTATGTATGGGTTTTTGTTTATTTAAAAATAATTTTTGAATAAAAAATTAAAAAAAGAAATTAAAAAGCGTAACAAATAATTTTGAACTTATCAGTTTAAGCTGATTTTTTACATCTATTTTTTACTTGATTTTGGTTTTTTTTTTCTCCATTGAGTTTTTTAGGCTAATCATTTTTGACAAGTTTTGAGTCTAATTGATTCAACTAGTTGGTTTGTTTCAGTTTTGAAAATAATGAAAAATATAATTAAGACGGTTAAAAAAATAAGTTTTATATTTTTATTAGTTGCTCATTTTTTTTTAAATAATATCTTTAATCCTTCAACTTTTAAAGTGTTTTAAATAGTATTTTTTATTATGAATATTAGTTTGATTAATTTTTTTATCTTTTCTTTTCACTTATATTGTTCATTTTTTTTTAAATTTACGATTTTTCTTTCTCTTCCATTCTTTCTTCTTCCTCTTCTTACTTTCTATCTTCTTGTTTTTCTTATCCATTTTCTTCTTTCTCTTTATTCAACATGGATGGTATGTATGAGGTGAATTTAAGGTGCAAGTTTTGCAACAATGGAGCAAGATTTAAAATTGGAGAGAGAGTTTGGAGTGACACAATTCAAGTTTTGATAATACATATTTTTTAAATATTAGTTATATGATAATATTATTCTTAATAAAATAAAATATTTGTTATTCTTACATTATCTTTCAAACAGTTATTCAATTGAATTGTTTTAAATATCACTATTTTTTTTAAGTAAACAAAAGAATGATGGCTAAAAAAAAAAGACGTATTTCCAATGACCATGATATAAAGTTTCAGAACTAATCGAAATGGAAAGGTACTAAAATTCGTGTTTTTTTTTTCTCTAAATTAAACCGTACACAAGTTTATAGTTTGATAAATAGAACCATATATTATATGATCCAAGTGTCGAACGAGGTCATGAAAAGATATAGTTTGATAAAGTATTATGGTTGACATATTATTTATTTTACAAAGTTGAAGAACTACTATTTAATGTCTTTCAATATTTACGTTTTAGCAAAAATGATCATGAGTAGATTGCTTTTATCTCTTTTCTACTTGGCTTTTATTATAAATTTTTATGTTTTTAAAATGCATACAAAACCTTTTATACTTCAAATTTACATATAATTTATTTTATTTTATAAAAATTTATAATGAAATCTACATTATGATAAAAATTCAGAATAATTTAAATTTAAATTACTTATTATCAAAGAGGTTATTTTTTTTTGAAAAAATTAGTTTAAAACACTTGTAGAATTACTTGGGAGCACGGGAAAAATTTGTAAGTGTGAAAAAAAAAGGACATTATAATCTTGAAAAATTAAAATCAGACAAAATTATGATTATTGTCTATTAATAACAGAAAAAAATTTCTTAACTGTATTTTATACTTTAAAGTAAATATATAATTTACATTTTGCAACACTTTAAAATAAATATAAAATTAAGAAAAAAATTAGATACAAACTAAAATTATTTTTTAGTTTAAAAAACTCAGGTTAATATAGCCTTAGCTACGGATAACAAGAGGCATAATATGTTATAAGTAATGACCAAAAAGATGTCCTTGATGATTGAAATAATTACTCGTTCAATAAATTCAGATACATGAACAAGTAAATACTTGCAAAATTATATAAGTATTATATTTCTACTATTATTTAATTAAAAATAATTGATAAAAATATTATTTTTATAATAATTACTTAAAATATCACATCCACAATGATTTTAATCAATGAATATCAGAAAAAAGACACTAATATCATATCAAAATTAATCTTATATTATATCTCAAGTGTTTAACATATGATCAAAGAGATACATCATAAGCCTCTTTTAAAAGAATAAAAAAATAGATATACAATGAGATTTGATTTTGAAGTATAAAACATGTGTGTTTGATTTAATTTATTTTAAAACAACATTTATTTAGTTTTATTAATCTTATATTATATATAATTTTTAAATAAACTGTTATAACCAAAATTTTGATATTCTAGATCGTATGATGTCTACATAACCAAAATTGTAAGGTACTAAAATAACGTGCAATGGCCACGTTAGCAATTGCTGTGCTCACTTTCACTCTCACTCTCACTCGTTCTTCTTCTTCATCATCATCACCTTATTCCAAATTCTTCTTCAACCATCTCAGCAAAAAGCTTGTCTCTTTCAAAACCTTTCATCAACCACGTTCCTTCTTCTGTTGCAACTGCAAAAGGGGCATGGCATCTTCAGCAGCAACCTCTCACTCTGATAGAATCACTGCACCCTACGGTTCATGGAAGTCCCCTATCACCGCCGACGTTGTCTCCGGCGCCGTCAAGAGGCTCGGCGGGACCTCCGTTGATGGCCGTGGCCGCCTTATTTGGCTGGAATCACGTCCAACAGAATCTGGGTAAGTTTAAGTGCCCCTTTGGGTTGTTACCATTTTTAACGATGAGAAAAAGCACTTTTGGAGATTTTGGAAGTGGGAAAATGTGAAATTTTGAAAATTTTGGTGTTTGCATGTTGACCCTTTTGGCCATTCGGTTTTGTTTCAGACGGGGGGTTCTTGTTGTTGAAGCAGAAAACGCGGGTGGTGAACCTGTGGATGTTACTCCTAAGGAGTTTGGAGTGAGAACATTGGCTCAGGAATATGGAGGTGGTGCTTTCACTGTTTCAGGGGATGTTGTCTTCTTTTCTAATTATAAGGATCAGAGATTGTACAAGCAATGCATCACTTCTCTAGGTGAGAATTGAGCAAGCGTTGATTTTCATTTCTCAATTCCCATGTTTTCCAAAACAATGTTATGCTGTATTATTCACATTTGACAGGTGGAATAGAACAGCATTGAGTTGGAATGGAATAAAATTAATATTGTATGATGGGGATGGAAGGAATTTTTTGTTTCATTGTTTGAGAAGTGATTGGAATGATAAGGAGATTAGTAAATAGTATTTTGGTTCCATTCATACTGCTGAAGTAGGAGAAATGAATAATGGAAGGATAAGATAGAGTGGGATTGAATAGGTTCTTTTAGGATTCTGGATTCATTTCATTTTGTCCTAAAGAATCCAAACAATGACTACTAATGTCATTCCATTCCACGACCCTCTATACCACCTCCTTTCATCAAGTCAAACGTAGCCGAAATGATATTTGTGTTTGTGCCCCTTTTGACCTGACGTGTGTAGTCTTACTCTTAGTATCAATCTGATGAATATTGAGTTGGTGTTATGTTATTCTCTATCAGAAGAAGCAATTTTCTTATTTAGTGCTGGAATTTGTCGTTTGTTCCCTAGCAGATGTGCCTCCTATACCTCTCACTCCAGATTATGGTGGACCAGTAGTCAGCTATGCTGATGGAACATTGGATGCATGCTTTAACCGTTTTGTTTGTGTAAGGGAAGGTAAGCAGTCCAAAATCAGTTTGTCTTCAAGACTATGTTGGAATGTTCCCACAATATTTTTTTTTTTTTTGTTAAAGGCTTAAAGCATTAATTTATTTGTTTCTATATGCATGATCATGTTGCTAGATCGTCGAGAGAACAGTCAAAATCCACCTACAACAATTGTATCTATAACACTTGGCAGCAAGAATGTTCAGGGTAATGATTTCTGTCTTACTAGTAAGTTTGACCTGTGGAGAGAGTGAATGAACACTGAAAATAAGGTCTGTTTAGTTTGAGAAACATTTTGTTTCAAAAAATAATTACAAAACTATCATTGTTTTTGGTTTGTTTTCTATTTTCAAAGATTTATATTGAAAATTTTGAATGGTGTCTTATGTTATTTTTGAAAACAAGAAATGAAAACATAAACCACTGTCCCAAACCAAATGTGCCCTAAGTTTTTCATTACTGCTTGTTAAAGGTTTTCATAAATTGTGTCATTTTCCCTTGTTTGATGGCTATTTTCATCATACAATCAATATTATGTCTGACTAGATTGCATGACATTCAGAACCAGAAGTACTAGTTGGAGGAAGTGACTTCTATGCTTTCCCACGTCTGGATCCCAAAAGTGAAAGAATAGCATGGATTCAGTGGAGTCATCCCAACATGCCATGGGATAGATCAGAACTTTGGGTTGGCTATATTTCTGAAAATGGGTGAGTTGAACTCTATATTATAGTTGTAAGTTAAAAAAATTATGTTTGCTTATCATGTAGGTCTACCAATTGAGGTGGCGATGGAATTTTTTTTTTTGTTTCATTTCTTATGTGTGCTTTTGTTTTTCAATAATGATTGATACGATGTCTCTTAATATCAACAGCTGATAATTTTGCAGATATTCAGTTCTTTTCTGAATCACAGAACACATGTCTAATATTTGTTGATTATATTACTTTGTACAGTGGCTGATACTCTTCAATAAAATATGCAATGTTTCTTGACAGGCTCATGCATCTATTTTCCTTCTACTAGAAGATTTTCTTGTTTTTCTCCATTTATGTCTCATATTCTGTGCCCTGGATGTAGTTCTCAAGTTCCATATGATCGTTGGTGTTTTGTATTGTATGTCTATTTGAAGTTTAATCATCTTAACATTCCATGCAGAGAGATCTACAAGCGCATCTGTCTTGCTGGAAATGATCCTTCACTTGTTGAGTCTCCAACTGAGCCTAAGTGGTCCCCCAATGGTATGTAAACTAGGCAATTGTATAACTCTTCCCCCTTCAAGAAGAGAAACTTGACAGTTTTATGGATCCAAAACTTGACATAGTAACAGTGTTTATCAATATTTTAGCTTTGTTGACTAAATGTTTTCTTAAGATCATCAAGTCATTGCAACTCCAGACATGGGGTCAAGATCCTTGATCGTTAATTCATGATCTCTTGTTGATCTATGATGTAAAATTTTTGTTTTTACTTCAGTTTTTTCAGCATATCATCTATTCATTCATGTGTTTTGTTCCAATTGAATGCTATTAATTCAAAGCTTATTATTGAGTATTGAATCCAATTTGTTATGATCTTTTTGTGCATTATGTGATTCTGGTTTTTTATTTTTATGTTTTGATTTTAACTATGCAGGGGAGCTGTTTTTCATCACAGATAGGGGAAATGGTTTTTGGAATCTCCATAAATGGGTAATTTTCTTCCACTAGTTAATCCATTAATTATATACATTAGCTTTTATTATCTTTTGATTTTCTATTTCTGCATTGATAAGCTCATTAAAACCTTGGATAACTTTAAACTTATGTCGAAGGTTATGCGTTTGATATTTAGTTTTGGAGTTTTGGTGGATACAAATTGCTGTAATGTTACTTGTAAAGTTCATTGAACAACTTCAAAATTTTATAATGAAGGTTCTAACTAACTTGGTGTATTTTTCCATTTAATCTTACTGGTTTTGACAACATAGAGTTTGTGACATTTATCATTTTGGTGTGCATGTGTGTGCATGGAGTCATTTGAATTTTACAAATTAAGATGGCAAAGAGCATCCTACTATGGATAATAATCAGAGTTTACAAAAAGCTAATATATGAATTTCATATGACTTGTGTTGTCCCCAAAACAATCAGATTTTGGATATCATTCTGCTATGATACATTACTCAAATTATACAGTTAAAAATGGTAGAGCTATCTAGTCTTGTCAGCCTCTATCTTGGCGTTATCCACTTACTGAGGTTGAATATCTTATATCTCCATTAGTCTATTGTTATAATATAATACACATGCTTTTGCATCTATTTCACTTGTCATATAATCATTTGTTCCTTTCTGGTTTGTCTTGAATTCCCTTGTACAACAGGATGTTCATGCTTGAATGCATTTTATAGTTGGACATGCAACAGCTACTAAAAGATTAATTGATCTTTTCTTCTATTTCTAATATGTATAATTGGTTACAGATTGAATCTGAGAACAAGGTCTTGCCTGTTTGTTCTCTGGATGCTGAGTTTGCAAGGCCGCTGTGGATTTTTGGTATGAATTCTTATGAATTTATTCAAAGTCATAAACAGAGCAAATTAATTGCTTGCAGTTACAGGTGATTCTATGTCTGCAACCTGCACATTTTCTTTTTTCGGTCCAATTTTGTACATTCAATCAAGGTTTCATTGTGATTGCAGGCAGCAAGGGAAGTCATATCTTGGAGTTATTGATGATGTGCAAGGCTCAAAACTAACTGTGCTGGACATTCCTTTCACAGATATAGACAACATTGTAATTTTTAAATTTTTTTCCCTGTTTTTGTTTTCTAGTCTGACATAATTCTTGAAATGCAATAACAATCTTAGTTTTCCAATTATGCCATTGTAGGCATCTGGTAATGATTGCCTTTATGTGGAGGGAGCATCTGCTGTTCATCCATCATCGGTGGCCAAGGTGCTTTCCCCCATGATTTTCTTAGTTATTTCAGTACATCCCTGATAGCTCTCGTTTTTCAGGTGACTTTAGATGATGATAAATCAAAAGCAGTTGACTTCAACATTATTTGGTCCTCCTCACCTGATAGTTTGAAGTATAGTTCTTACTTCAGTAAACCTGAGTTGATTGAATTCCCAACTGAAGTTCCTGGTCAGAATGCTTATGCATACTTTTATCCACCATCTAATCCTATTTATCAAGCCAGTCAGGGAGAAAAGCCTCCACTATTATTGAAGAGTCATGGTAAATCTTTTTCTTGTATCAGGAATGATCACTTTCTATTTCAAGTTCTAAATTTTAATTCAATTAGCTGCTTAGATGCTGAAAACCTGTGGAGTTGGGTCTTCCCTCTGCAACCAGAATTCATATGTAGCTAATATCTAATGACCTACATAAATGATAATTGAAAACAGGCAATCTTTAGAAATTATGGAGGTCATGAGTGCATTGTAATGAAAGGTGGCAGTGGTAATCTTGATTTCACATTTGTTGAATACATACTGAATTGTTTTATTTCTGTCTTGTCAAGAAATGCAAATGAGAAATTGATATAAACTGAACAGTATTGTTGAATGACTGAGAACAGAAGTAATCTTCCTCCACGGATATCCAGCTTCGCCAATAGTTTCTTCTTTTCCTTAAGAACTTTATATCTGTCTGAATGATCCTTCCACCCTTAGACTTAGGTCTCCTATTTATGTATAATTCGATCCCCTCTAACAAGCCAACCAAGTAGGACTACCTTGTGTCCCTAACTAATTTTCCTTTCCGTTCTGTCTTAACTTCTACATATTCCTCCTTCTGCACTCATGTCAGCAGCCATGTTTTTAACAATTTTTGCTAGTATGTTTCTAATTTCTCATTGTTGACAATTATAACATTAGTCTTCTCAAAGACTATGAAGCAATGTCACCCGCAGACTGGACTCCTTTTGATACATGTTATTCTGCTGAAAATTTAATGCTTCATAATCAGGGACAGAGATATACCATCAAGATGCACACTCTGATGGAGTGGAGGTATCATGGATATACAGATGGAAGCTAAATTGTAATTTTAATGTGTTCAAACAAGTTTGCAAAAATTTCTAAATTGAATCAAATTTTCAATTGAGGAACAGCAGTGCCTGATTTCTGCTTTAATTGTGCTTAATTTCTTTTGGTGAACCATTATACTTGGATTCTCTTTGCTCTAATGATTTTAATTCAACAAACTTTTATATGTGCATTATTTTGTTTGAATGTTTCAGGTGGACCAACTGCTGAAACACGTGGAATTTTAAACTTGAGCATTCAATACTGGACTAGTCGGGGTTGGGCATTCGTTGATGTGAATTATGGTGGAAGCACTGGTTTGTTTCTCTATTCAATTTCTGACTTACCTTACCTTCCCCCCCCCCCCCCCCCCCCCCCCAATATTATTTATAGCCTGTTGTAGTCATTTCATTTATTGAAAAGATGAAACTCAATTTGTCTGACTAGAATGTTATTTGGAAGGTTATGGCAGGGAGTACCGAGATCGGCTTCTGGGACGTTGGGGAATAGTAGATGTCAACGACTGTTGTAGTTGTGCTACATATTTGGTAATTATTTATATTTTTTTACCTCCATTTTTAGTTGATGGATCTGTTATAAGCGTGGTTATATAATATAGTCTCTTATCTAGGTGAACAGTGGAAAGGTGGATGGGCAGCGGCTTTGTATTACTGGGGGCTCTGCCGGTGGGTACACTACCTTAGCTGCTCTTGCTTTTAAAGAAACTTTCAAGGCTGGGGCTTCTTTGTATGGTGTGAGTGCAACTTATAGTACTTAAATTTTGCACTACAATTTTCTGAAGATTATAGTATTATTTACCTATTTACCATGAAATAATGTTACAAATAAGAATATTCTTCTAAACTATTAGTTTTGATAATCCCTTTGATTGCTTTCGGATAGGATAATACATGTATCTTTCTCAGCCAGTCTTTTTTCCAATATCAAGAATAATGTAGTATTTGTTCTTATAACTTTAGCATGTAATAAGTGTTTAACAATTATCCTTACTTACAATGGAATTTATTTGCCAATTTGTCTCAAATAGGTAGCTGACTTGAACATGTTGAGAGCAGAGACTCTTAAATTCGAATCCCATTACATTGATAAACTAGGTGGTAAGTCAATGATGACCATTTAACGTACCTGTTATTTCTTTAATTTACTTCTTTCATTCGGTGTTCAGTCTATTTCCTAACTAATTGCAGGTGGTGAGAAGGGGTGCTTTGAAAGATCACCAATTCACCATGTTGACAAATTTTCTTGTCCCATCATTTTATTTCAAGGCTTGGAGGACAAGGTTAATAACAATGCAATCATTGTTTTCCCCTTCCCATGTTTATTACTAAAGAACTCTTGAATGGAAATTGTCAGCCTATTCCTAAATCCACTTTAAATAATCTACAAATTTAGTTCAATAAATATATTCCACATGTTGCAGATTGTGCCACCAGAACAGGCCCGGAAAATTTACCAGGCTCTGAAGGAAAAAGGTGTGCCAGTTGCTCTTGTTGAGTATGAAGGAGAACAACACGGTTTTCGAAAGGTACGTACTAATTTAATTATTTATCTTTTTGAAATGAAACAGTGACTATATGCCATAATGGGTTGGATGCAGGCTGAGAACATTAAGTTTACACTTGAGCAACAAATGGTCTTCTTTGCAAGATTGGTTGGGAATTTCAATGTTGCTGATGATATCACTCCCATCAAAATTGACAACTTTGATTGAGAATGGCTTTTTCAGAGTTCAATGTTGGCTGTTTGTATCTATGTTAAAGCAAGTTTTAAGCTATCTTTGTTCTCAAATCTTGATAGTGCTTTGCTGAAATTCAGAAGTGTGCTGGAATTTATTGCACTCATGAGCTTATTCTGCACACTACCAACTACCCTATAACCTTAGTGGCATTCCCTTGAAGGTCTCTATAATCTATATTAATCCTCATTGCCAAGAGTCTGCAGAGTTTCTACTACATTTTCTCAAATCTTGATTGTTCAATTTAGTCTTGAACCTTACTTTATAATTATGAATTTATATTTTGAATCTGTACTGGAGATACAACCTATATTTTGTCTTATAGGATTGTCCTACATAGATAAAATGAATGAGTAATGATAGATTAAGCTGGAGTATACTCTTTCTGATCCTATTTATAAGGCAGATTCTAATGCTAGAAGGTTTTAGTAGCGTTTTATATAAAGCACTTAATAGTTTCTGTGAAGCATTTATTATTATTTTTTCTATTTGTCCTCAATAAATGAAAGTTGGTGAAAATCTAAAATCATTGAACTTAAAATAAAACTTTAAGATATTGATAATGGGGTTAGGTTCAATGATATTAATTAAGGGTAAAATTGTCACGTTATAATATTTTTTAAAAACTCAAGAAAATTAACTGGATATAACTACTTATATTACTGAGTAATTTAATTAAAAAAGTCGTACTAGATGGAATATTAAATTTAGGATTTTGTTACCTTTTAGTTCTTTAGGGATAAGTTTGAGCAATTAATAATTGTACTTTTTTTATTAAAAAATAAATTATTTATTTTATTTTTAATAAAAAATTATTATTTTTATGTTTAAAATCAGTCCTAAAGCTGTGATTAATAAGATTGATTAAGTTTCAACAATATTACACTAGTCTAATTAAAAAAAATAACACTACTACTTTTGTCTATTTAGTTTTTTATATCCACCAATGATAATTAATGTCAACTAGTTGCATACATAAATTTCCACTAAAAAGGGAAACTTAAGTTACCAAGAACCAATTACTTGTTAAAAAGGGAAAAAGTTGCATTAAAACTTTATAAGATTTATAAGTAATGTATGTAAATGAGTGGATTTGACTATTTTAAAGTGAAGTTACGTGGAAGCTTTAGAAGATATAGTGTAATTATAATCATTAATAAAATTATTAAAAGTTGAGATTGGGACTTTATAGTTCGTTGCATTTACATTTGTTTTATTACACTTTCAACTATTAATTTTTTAATTAATAAGTATTTTTAAAATGTCGTCTCTTAGAAGAGGGTTATATTCCAAATGAAAATGACAATTTACAATATCTCATTAATAATGAAAATTAGTTAGTGCATGTTCGTTTTTTTAGTTTAGAATGTCCAAATGAACGATCTCTTAAAAGCAATAAATTGTTAATTCTCAAAAAAACTAAAGTATTGAAAATTAGGAGTGTAATTTTATTGGGTTAGTTTGAGGTTAAGAAAAAAATAATGTTTAAATTGATTTAAAAAAAAAAAAAACTAGACAATTTGAGGTTTCTTGAAATTTGAGTATTTCACGCTCGATCTGCAAACTTAATTATTTGAGAAATTGTATTTATACAATTATATTACATAATTAAGTTTAAAATTAAAAAAAATGAACAAGAAGAAAAAATAATATATAACTTATAGTCAATTTAATAAAAAAAATAAAAAATAGTATCGTATAAAATATTTTACAAAATTAATGTAAAAGAATAATATAACTCCATTAACTTCATAATATACAAAACCTTTGACACTTCGTGAGAAATTTTATAAGATGTATCAAAGAGAGAGTAAATAAAAAGTATTTAAGAAATATTTAATAATATAAAAAGGAAATTAAAAAATTTAATATATTAATGAGATTAAATATTATAATTTATAATATAAATTTATTACTTATTTATTATGCATTATTAGTTAGGATTTGATAATGTAAAATATTAGAAGTGGGTAAGAACTTGTATTACACAACACACGAGTTATCAAATGGGGAGTCTTTGAAGTTTGAAAACCGAGGAAGAGGATGAAGATGACTAAGCGACAATGACAATTTAAAAGGGAAAAATTGAAAGTGAAAGGTTCTAACATAACCATTCACAACACCAATTACTGTTCCAATCTTCATCGTTCTTCTTCTTCATCTGGTTTCTAACCCTCTCTGGTAACATCTCCTGCAGAAGGGGAATGGCATCTTCAACGGTCATCTCTGCACCTTACGGTTCTTGGAAGTCACCCATCACCTCCGACATGGTCTCCGGCGCCACCAAGGGCCTCGGCGGGACCGCAGTCGACGGCCGTGGCCGACTCATTTGGTTGGAATCACGTCCAACAGAATCTGGGTAAGCTTATAGCGTCATTCTGGGTATAAGGTTTTTCTAGTTGAACAAAATAAAAACAATTTTGGAGAAGCATAAATTTGACCTTGATTGGTTTGATTTTAAAAATTTATAATCCTAAAAAATATAGAAAACATAAATTAGAACTTCTAAAAAGTATCGTTATTTCTAATTTATAAAAAAATTATTTATTTTTATACTAATTTTTTATTGTATTTAAAGATTTTTCTAAAAATTTACCTAAATTTAGTTTTTAATGAGTTTGACTTAAAAAAATTAGATTTATTTTAACTTGATGATTAAGGAAATGAATAATCATCTTTAGCTTTAAGTTTAAATAAATAATAAAAAATGTTATTAAAAATATTTATGATCTATTTTTTGATATAATGATTAGTTTTTATAAATATTTATTAATTTTTAAATAATTAAAATTAATTTAGTAATAAAAGCCTAAATTTAGTTATTCAGTATGTCTTTAAAAAGCATATTAACAAAATTATAAATGTAAATTTAATCTAAAATTATAATGAATAACATTAAAATAAACATAAATTCGTAATCGACTGATCTAATTGAGCTGATTTATTTTACAGACAATATGATATCATTATTTATACAATAAAATATTTTTTTTATTTATGCAGTTATTTTATTTAATGCTTTTTATGATATTATTTTTTTATTGTATAATATTTTTTGAAATTACAATTTCTCAAGTTATACACTGTCGCTAAAGATAAATATTTTTTTAATTAAAATGTGTTTGAAAATATTTATAATAATTATATAATTTTAAAAATACAAAAACTAAAACTCTGACAACATCTTTAACCATAAAACTGACTTTTCTCGCTCATCATCGCACTGTAAAATAAAATAGCAAAACTCTCTTTTTTAACTGAGCAATGTGGTTTATGATCATAAAGTAATTACACTTAAATATTACTATTTTATAAAACTGAACAATTAGCATTAAATTTTCTCTTAATAATTTTCTTATAGATATAAATTAATAAGTAATAGCTTCTGAAAAATATAAAAAACAAACTATATAGATTTCTTCTAATTTTCTAAAGTTTAACATACATATTTTAAATAGTTCTAATTACTTTAATAAATATTTAATGATTTAAATTTTTTTTTTATATGATAAATATTTACTTTTTCAAATAAATACTTCTACTTTTGAGTTTGCAAGTTGATGTTTTGGCCATTCACATTTGTTTCAGGCGGATAGTTCTTGTTCTTGAGGCAGAAAACCAAGGTGGTGAACCTGTGGATATTACTCCTAAGGATTTTGGAGTGAGAACATTGGTTCAGGAATATGGAGGTGGTGCTTTCACTGTTTCAGGGGAAGTTGTCTTCTTTGCTAATTACAGTGATCAGAGATTGTACAAGCAATCAATTAATTCTCTAGGTGACCATTGATCAACCAGTAATTTTCGTTCAACAATATTTATATTTTCCAAAACTATGTCATGCTGATGCTGTATTAATTCCATGAAATGGCACATTTGTTTTTGCTCTTTTTATGTTTGGTTACTTGCATCTCTTATTTTTCTAGGAAGAAATTATAGCAACATAATTTACCTGTTAGTAAACTAGCTTTGGTTAACATATAATTGGTTTCAAATCTAGGCATTTTTGATTTGGTGTTGTTATTCTCAGAAAGTGTATGTGAAGTGATTTTTTTATTTAGTGCTGGAATTTTTTGGTTTGTCAACTTGCAGATGTGCCCCCTTTACCTCTCACTCCAGATTATGGTGGACCTCTAGTCAGCTATGCCGATGGAAAATTGGATGCACGCTTTAACCGTTTTATTTGTGTTAGGGAGGGTAAGTACTCAACCATCATTTTATCTTAAATGCTCATTTTACTTGCTAAATCATTCAATAAATGGTAACAAATGCATAATCATATTGCTAGATCGTCGACAAAGCAGTCTAAATCCACCTACAACTATTGTATCTATAGCACTTGGCAGCAAGGATGTTGAGGGTAATAATTTTTTATCTCACTAGTTTTGAACCTGTGTAGAGGCTGAATGAATACTACAAAAATGTATTTCATTGTTGCTTGGCCAAGTTTTTCTAAAGATGGGTAATTTTCACTTGATTAATGTCTGTTTTTTTCCTTATGCAATCAATATTATGTCTGACTTGATTGTGTGACATTCAGAGCCAGAAGTACTAGTTAGTGGAAGTGACTTCTATGCTTTCCCTCGTCTTGATCCTAAAAGTGAAAGAATAGCATGGATTCTGTGGAATCACCCGAACATGCCATGGGATAAAACAGAACTTTGGGTTGGCTATATTTCTGAAAATGGGTGAGGAGCTCTTTATTTAAGTTTAACTTATAGGAATTTAGTAAGTGTGCTTAAAGTGTAGGTCTCCTAATGAAAGTGACAATGAAATGTTCTCATTTTATGTGTGCTTTGGTTTTGTCGAATTTGGGCTTTAAGCCTACAACATGGTATCAGAGCCTAAAAAGAAGAAAACCCTAGTCCGTGTCTCTACATGATATCTTGTCCTTAAATATTTAGTTCTTTTCTGAATCATGCAACACATGTCTAACAATTTGTTTATTCAGTTACATCATACAGTGTTTCCCCTTTTCATAGCCTAGAAAAAGAGAAAAGTTATTATTCACTTTGTATCCAAATTCCAAATCTCAACTATTAAGACAACTTACTCACACTCTTCATGTATCCATGCACTTTTTCATACTGGCTCATGGTTTGATTTTTTTTTTCTCTGAAAGTTTTTTCTTGTTTCCCCACCATTTTATTCTTATTTTTATCCCGGATCTCATTTTCAAGTTCCAAATGATAGTTGGACTTACTAATGTTAATTATATATGTCATGTTTCAAAGTGAAGCTTAATCATTTTAAGGTTCCATGCAGAGCAATCTACAAGCGTGTTTGTGTTGCTGGGTATGATCCTTCACTTGTGGAGTCTCCAACTGAACCCAAGTGGTCCCCTGATGGTACATAAAATAGGCATCTTTTGTAAACCCCTGCCCCGTAAAAATCTTGGCAGTTTATAGAACCAAAAGTTGACATATTAACTGTATCCTTCAATCTTTCAGTTTTGTTGAGCAAAAGTTTTCTTATGATCATCAAGCTATGATACTCCAGATATAGATACAGGATTCTTGATCTATGTTAATTTATGACCTCTTAATGTTCTATATATTTAGAACTTTTATGCTTTTACTTTAGTTTTCACTCTCCTGATTTTACAGCATATGTTTCATTCATGGATCTGTTCTCACTGAATTTTGGTGATTCAAAGCTTACTACTGACTCTAACATGAACATTTGCTTTGATCTTATCTGAGCATTCGGGTTTGTTTTGTTCTTGTTTTTAATTTAACCATGCAGGGGAGCTCTTTTTCATTACAGATAGGGGAAGTGGTTTTTGGAATATCCACAAATGGGTAATTTTCTTTCACCGATTATTTCTGCAAGCCATCATTTTCATGTAATGACATTTATTAGCTTATGATTTTCTAATTTCTGCATTGATAAATATTCACTAATACTCTGAATGATTTTAGAATCACGTGGAGGGTTGTGTTTTTAATATATACTTTTGGAGGTTTGGCGGATACAGATTGATATTATATTACTTGTAAAGTTCATTGAACAGGATCAGATTTTTATAATGAAGGTTCCTTAACTACGTGTATTTCCTGCTTTCCAAAATGAATTTGCTGGTTTTGATAAAATAGAATTTCTATGAAGTTTGTCATTTAGATTTAGGTGTCTATGTGATTACATTTTTAAAATGGAGCCAATTTTGGATTTTCCAATTTACGATGTTATAGAACATAATATATGTATTTCATATGACTTGTGTCCTGAAAACTATCATGTCTTGAATATCTTTCTGCCATGTTACATTTACATAAAAGTTATGTTAACATATTTTTTGGGCATTAGCCAGTTAGTGGGGTTGAATATCTCGTTCTGTTTTAATTATACAAATCCTTTGTTAATATTTTACTCTTTTCATATAATCATCTGCTCCTTTTTCTTGTTGACTTGGATTGCCTCTCTTGAACAAAAGATGTTAGTGACAAATAATTCAAGTGCAAGCATGCTTGGTTGGACATGCAATAGAAACTGCAAAATTGATTACTTGTCTATTTTTCTTTTCTAACTTTTACAATTGGCTACAGATTGAGTCTGAGAATAAGGTCGTATCGGTTTATTCTTTGGAAGCTGAGTTTACAAGGCCACTGTGGACTTTTGGTATGAATTCTTATGAATTTATTCAAAGTCCTAAACAGAGAAACTTAATTGCTTGCAGTTACAGGTGATCCTAAGACTGCTACTTGCAAATCTCTCTCTCTCTCTCTTTTCCAATTTGGTACATTCAATTCAAGGTTGTGGTTGTGTTTGCAGGCAGCATGGGCAGTCATATCTTGGAGTTATTGATGTGCCAGGATCAAAATTATATGTGATTGATATCCCTTTCACAGATCTTAATAACATAGTAATTTTCAAAATTGTTTCCTTGTTTTTTTCTTCGGGGTCAAAATCAATTCTTGAAATGCATTAACAATCTTAGTTGTGCAATCATGCCATTGCAGACTTCTGGTAAGGATTGCATTTATTTGGAGGGAGCATCTGAGGTTCATCCATCATCAGTGGCCAAGGTACATTCTTCTTCCCGCATCATTCTATTTTATAGTTATTTCGATGTACCCCATGACAACTCTCTTGCTTTTCAGGTGACTTTAAATGATGATAAATCAAAAGCAGTGGGCTTCAATATTATTTGGACCTCCTCACCAGATAGTTCAAAGTTTAGTTCATACGTCAGTAAGCCAGAGTTGATTGAATTCCCAACTGAAGTTGCTGGTCAAAATGCTTATGCATACTTTTATCCACCGTCTAATCCTGATTTCCAAGCAAGTGAAGAAGAAAAGCCTCCTTTGTTGTTGAAGAGCCACGGTAAACATTGGTCATGTATCTGGAATAATAACATTCTATTTCATTTAGCTAATTAGATGCTGAAAACCATTGGAGTGGTGCCTACCCTCTGCAACCAGAATTCATACGTAGTTTAATATCTCATGATCTACTTACATGATAATTGACAATGGTTACCTTTAAAAAGTTAGTACTGTATACTAATACTGCTGAGCATTATGGAGGTCATGTGAGCAGTGTAACAAAAGGGGAAAATGTAATTTATCTTTACATTGTTGAATACATACTGATTTTAGTTTATTTCTCTCTCGTTCCTACCTCTCCTCTTATGTCAGCAGGACAGTATCCATGATTTTTACAGTCTCTGCATAAATAAGAGGTTTCTAGTTTCTCATTGTGATAATTATAACATCAGTCTTCTTAATAGCTGATAAAATAATACCAGAGCTATACTACACACCTTTTGATAAATGTTACGCTGCTGAAAATACCCTTCTTAATTTTCAATTGAAATTTCATAAATAGCAATTAATTTTTAATAACTGCTTTCGTTGCACTTAATTACTTTTGGAATACTTGTCATGTGTGTGTTCTCTCACTCTGATGGCTTCACAGCATACACTACTACATGTGCATGATTTTATTTGAGTATTTCAGGTGGACCAACTGAAGAAACTCATGGAATTTTAAATTTGAGCATTCAGTACTGGACTAGTCGTGGTTGGGCAGTCGTTGATGTTAATTATGGTGGAAGCACTGGTTTGTTTCTCACCTTGTGTTCAAAATTATGCTCTGAATCATATTACCTGTTTTTACCTCTTTTTTTGCTGTAATCATGACTTGTAGTTGTTGGTCATTCATTTGTTTATTTTGTTGGCCATCGAAGAATTTTGGTTATTTATGATTCACTGTTAGTGTTTCAGATGTATTACTTGCAGGCTGTTTTAACTTATTGAAATATGAATCTCAGTTTGTTTATATATTATATTGTTTGGAAGGTTATGGGAGGGAGTACAGAGAACGGCTTTTGGGAAACTGGGGAATAGTTGATGTCAACGACTGTTGTAGTTGTGCTACATATTTGGTAATTATTTTGTTTAATTGTTTCCTACTTTTTCTTTATGTATCTGTTATAATTTATAATAAAGTTTACATGAAATAATCTATTATATAGGTGAACAGTGGAAAGGTGGATAAGGAGCGGCTGTGTATAATGGGTGCCTCAGCTGGTGGGTACACCACCTTAGCTGTTCTTGCTTTCAGAGAAACTTTTCAGGCTGGGGCTTCTTTGGCTGGTGTGAGTGCATCTTCTTATACTTCAACTTCACTCTTATTCTTCAGGGGCAATTCATTTTCCTAACGATCATAACAACCTACTTTATATATTTGCCATGAAATAGTTTTCATGGAATTTCTGACTTGCCATCAGTTCACATTATTTGAATCTTTGAACATGTCATCTGTTTTCAGTTTTTTAACAAAGTACAATACAGCATATGTTCTTTTAACTTTAGCAAAGAATATAAGCTAATGTCCTTACAATGTTGGTCTCTCAAACAGATAGGTGATTTGAACTTATTGAGAGCTGAAACTCATAAATTTGAATCCCATTATGTTGATAACCTGGTTGGTAAGTCAATGATGGCCATTTAAGGTACCTGTTATTTCTTTGGTTTGTTTGTTAATTCATATGGTGTTCAATGAATTACCTCTAACTGATTGCAGGAGGTGAGAAGGAGCTTTTTAAAAGATCTCCTATCAATCATGTTGACCAATTTTCTTGTCCCATTATTATATTCCAAGGATTGGAGGACAAGGTTAGAAACAGTGCAATTATTATTTCCCTTTTCCATATTTAATACCTGAAGGACTCGAATGAATATTGTCTGCTTATTCCTAAATGAATAAATAGTCTTCAAACTTCAGTTTGATACATGTATTCTGCATTGTAAGGTTGTGCCACCGGATCAAGCTCGGAAAATTTACCAGGCAGTGAAGGAAAAACTTGTGCCAGTTGCTCTTATTGAGTATCCAGGAGAACAACATGGTTTCAGAAAGGTACACCCTGATTTAATTGTTTATCTTTTATAATGGAACAGTGATTTTATGCATTAATGGCTTGGATGCAGGCTGAGAACATTAAGTTTACACTTGAACAAGAAATGGTCTTTTTTGCACGATTGATTGGGCACTTTGATGTTGCTGATGATATTTCTCCCATCAAAATTGACAACTTTGATGACTAATGGCTTTTTCAGAGGTACTGATGTTGGATTTCTTTGTTTCTATGTAAAAGCAAGTCTTAAGCAATCTCTGTTCTAAAACTCAAATAGTGTGTTGCAGAAATTCAGAAAGTAAGATGGAAAATTGCTGTACTGATGTGTCTCTTCTGTCACATAGTTGTAGTAGTCCTCTATAGAAGGTCTATGTCAATTCCCATTGCCAATGCCAAGAGTGTGGGAGTTTCTACCATGTTTTATCTAATCTCGATTGGAGTTGAATTTACTCTTGAATCGTGTTTTCAATTATGAATTTATATTTTGAATGTGTAATGGAGATACAATATATGTTTGTTTTTTATATGTCCTGTATGAATAAAGTGGGTGATGATAAAACATAGTGTTGTGATAGTATTAAACTTCATAATGTTTCCACAGTACTAGTCTGTAGTTTTATCTTGGAGAAATGTTAACAAACTCTTTCAAATAATTTTTATTATTAACCAAAATTTATTGACAATTACAAAAATATATTGAACTCAATTCTAATTCAACGTGTCCAATTTATGCTTTTGTAATTGTCAATAACTTATAAAATAATTCTAACCTCCTTAAGATACTAGATAAGAAATTAAAAGTAAAATTATTTAAGTCAAAAAATGTAAAAAGGTATTTACTTTCATAAATTTTATTGCATTTTAACATAATTTTCAAGAAAAACTTATTATTTATTGAATCTTTAAACAGTTTTCTAAGGGCACTGATTTGTAATACTCTTAACTTTTGGCCAATGAATGTATTAGTACACGTGGGACTCTTTATCTAATCAAATAATTGGGTGTCGACTAGTTCCAGACATAAATTTGTAATTGTAGTTGCTTCTTCTATGAGCCAGGGTTTCAATGGCAGCCATGTATTCTATGATCAAGGAATGGAAGATGAATCCAAACCTTGTTTATTGACCAAATTCTCCTGACCAAAAATTTTAGGGTAAAAATCAACTATAGACTAATGACGTGTTTGATCATTTAAATGTGAATCCATTTTAAAACTTCAATTTATGATTTTCATGTTAAAACGTGATTTAACATTTTTTTATTTATTTTTCAAACATGCACTAAACTAAAGATCAATCGTAATGTTCTAAGGCCAATTTAAAAATTGTTTAACATTGTCTCATGACAACTCTACCTTGTTATTAAAAAGAAAAATATAATTTTCATCATGTTTGTTTTTCACTGACAAAATATGGTTATAAAACACTAGAAATCATTTTGAAATAAAGTTTGTATTTTTTAAATAACTTAAAAATGATACTATTTCCTGATCTCCGCTGTTAAAGACATTTTTTTAGTATTTAACTATATATAGAATAAAATTTACTTCTTTAAAAGACATATGTTAGAAATAAGAAAGAGAAAATGAAAGTGTTCCAAAATAAATTCTAATATCTTTTCTTCTTTTGTAAAAAGTAAGGTAAACTTTTAAAAAAGCTATTAAATATTGTGAAAAGTTGATTTTAATCAAATGGTTAAAATTATATTATAAGAAATTGGTTATTTAAGTTAGATTTATGAAAAGATACATTGGTAATTTTATATTCTTCTTTTTTTCCCAATTTGTGACAATTACAAGTCCAGGGTTCATATTCTTTATGGTCATTGATACATAATTTGTTTGATAATACTCAATACAATTACCACAAAATTAAATATACAAATTCTGAAATCAGTTTTGCAATTGTTTCTTTCTTCTTCCTCCTCCTCCTCCTTCTTCTTCTTTTATTTTAGAGTGAGATTTCATTTGATTTATAGTTTTTTTTTTTTCAAAAAAATCTATATCACTATCAAACCTTAGTTAATTTTATACAACCAATTTCAAACTTTTAATAAAAAAAAATTAGAAATGGAAGAGATTGAGAGAAAATGAGAAAGATGAAAATGGAAGAGTTGTGTCGAGATAAAGAGGAAAAGGATGAAAGAAAAGTAACAATTTACTTATTTATCTTTCATTAATATCTTATTACCCAATATAGTAATCTATTACTCTTAATTTTTAATATTTTCACAAATTAACCTTAGCTATTTATTTTTTATCTATAATTATTAATGTTTTAAAGTTAATTTCATTTTACTTTTTAAAAAATACTATTTTCATTTTTTGAAAAAGAAAGGAGGATATTATTGTCAGGCTAGTGATTTATTATTGAGTAATCTATAATATTTTATACTTGTTCAATGTTAATTGAAGGAATATTTGGTATTGGAATAGATTTAGATGGAGTTTAAAATTATTTTTTAAAAAAAAGTGAACAATACTGTATGAACAGTGTCAGATGAACAGTAAAACTGCCTATGAACAGTGCAAATCGCGTGTAATAAAAATCGCGTATGTACAGTGACCGCTGACGTCATCAGTGACATTATCCTGACATCACATACACGTACAGTGCGTGTACAGTGTTTCCGGCATGAATAGTTTTTTTGAACAGTGTTTCCGGCGTGAACAGTAAGGTAGTGAACAATATTTCTGACGATGAATAGTAATTTTCGGCGGTAAACAGTAAATTTTGAAAATTTCCTATAAAAAGGGGGTTTCACACGAAATTTTCGTTTCTTTACTCATATCCAAGGTTCTTAAAGGTTCTAAGGCCATATACTTCCATTTTCTCTCATAATAAACCCTCTTAAACTTAGATTTCTCGCCAGATCTGAGATTCCACGTCTATTATGAAGGATTTGAAGTAAGTTTCTATAAGTTTAAAGTTAGATTTACCGTTCGTTTCTCTTTTTCTTCTCTTTCTTATAGATAGTTGATGATATCTTAGGAGAAATTCCGTTCTAAAGCCGAATCTTGCGTTAAAACAAGTAATATTCGGTAGATCTGGTGTGAATCATCATTCTGAGGTAAGGGAAGTTTACTTTAACCTATGAACTACGTTTTGAATGGTTTAATATGCTATTTCAAGATGTTTTGATATGATTTTATTAGATCTATTGAATAAAAGTCATTTTCTAAACACGCCAAAAAAGCACCACTATTAATCTTTATGAACTAGGGCCAGTAACATTAGGACAACGGGTACGACTATGGTTTTCGCTTCGACATAGACTACAACGTGGTGCTTGCCTCATTTGTCTCATATCCATTTCATTAATAAAACAAGTTGATTTGGGACGTCCTTTCAAAGTACGCTTTAAAGCGGGTTAGGACAGAGCTTGGAACCTCGGTATTTGCGCCACTTTGATTCATTCCCTACAACCCCAAATTCTTTTTTGTAAACTTTGCATACTTGATTGATGGTATAGACTTCATTCACATAAACACGCCAATCAATATTTTGACTACAACAAGCAGCAATTACGTGGCGGCATCGATATCGATCAGTTTGCAAGTTTCCATAGTCACAATAACTTTGTCTTAGATGAACTTGATATTCTTCGTTGTTGGATAAATCCTGAACATGAAAAGCCTCATTGCGTCTGTTAAACTGCGTGACACGAAGATTTCTTAAGCCATGCTCGTTTGATTGAAGACGACTTGTAATGTTTTCTGAGAACAAATGTCCAACATTCTTCTGTGCATATGCCTTGCTTCCCTTACGTGCAAATAACTGTGCCAGTCAGAAGTAAGTGGCTCTTATAAGTGTTGTGATAGGCAAATTGCGGGCACCTTTTAAAACAGAATTAATGCATTCAACGAGATTCGTCGTCATATGACCCTATCGATGTCCACCATCAAATGCTAAAATCCACTTTTCTCTTGGTATTTCACTAAGCCAATCTTCATAAACTTGTCCACGCTCCAGTAATCGTTAGTAATGACAACTAGTAATATATTAATAGTATTATTTAAAATACAAAAATCAAGTTTATTACCCATCCGAACAATAAGTTTATGCAAGTTGGGAGCCTTGAATCTATGCAAGAAATTTGCAGCAATGTGCCTGATACAATACATGTGAAATGCTCTTGGAGGTTCCCACCGGCCATTACTTCTTCTGATTGCTGCTATAATTGACTCGTGACGATCAGAAATCAACCCAACACCATCTTTAGTAATGACATATTTTTGTAAATTTTCTAGGAAAAAAACTCCAAGCATCTACTGTCTCACCCTCAACAACAGCGAATGCAATCGGCAATATATTTTGATTTCTATCTTGTGCAACAGCAACTAGTAGAACTCCCTTGTATTTTCCATATAAATGTGTCCCATCAACTTGCACAAGTGACTTGCAATGACGGAATGCTCTAATGCAAGGACCAAAAGTCCAAAACACTCGCTGAAATATTTGAACATTGGGAACCAATTTATCATTGCGATAAGCCTGTACAACATCTAATTTCACAACAAAACTTTGATCAGCATCACACATTGTTATGCACCATTGTGGCAAAGCTTCAAATGAGGCTTCCCACTTACCAAATACATTTTCAATTGCCTTTTGTTTGCCCAACCACGCTTTTCGATAACTTATCGTATACCCAAAGCGAGACTGAATTTCCCCAATTATTACTTTGATTTTAAAAGAAGGATCAAATTCTACCATTGGTTTTATACATTATGCAATTATGTCTGTATCCAACTTTCTGTGATCTTGAGAAATGATTCCAACAATACAAGTGTGTGGACCATTGTATTTTCGGATTCCCAAAAATACTTACTTTTCCTGAAACTACATCGGAGAAGCCACCTACAATCTAAGCCATACCTTATACATTTACAATAAAATGTATTTAATTCTGACTCGAACACTTTGTAGTCTACTCCTTTTGATATAGTATAATGCTTTACGGCTCTTATCACAGCTTCTTTGTCACTGAATTGCTTTCCAATATATAATTCACCATCTATATCTGTGTTATCTACCAATAGTGAACATAAACTAATTAACAGAAATATAATTAATCACACTAACATAATTTTAAATATCACATATCTAAATTTGCATACTCTGGAAACTCAGTAACATTCATAGCACCAAGATCTAATTCACGCATGAAAGGTGGCTTGCCAAAAGGATGTTGTCCACCCATATGGGACTCCTCTTCATCATTATCATCGTCAAGATCCTCATCGTTGTCCTCACCACTTCTATATTCTTCTTCAAATTTGTACTCATCACTTTCACTGTTGTTGAGTTCCTATTCTATCTTTGTCTCTACCATTGTGCTCAAAAATTCTGCTTCAACCTCTATATTTTTGAAAACAACATACAACTCAGTCATACCACTTGAAGGAGGACGTTGCTGATGTATCTGAAACATTTATTGAAACCTTCATCGTTGGTTATTTGAATTATATGATATTGAATAAAACTGCCAAATATTGACACTGGACATCGATATATAACACTTTCTACTATTTTTGGAAACGGAACTTCATGAATGTATTGACAAAGCCAAAACTTTAAATCTTCAAATAATATATTATATGAAATATTCATACATGTTGGCTTCTCACATACAAATGCCACACCTTCACTTGTATTTGATATAATCTCACCATTGAAATAAATTACAACAGCCACACTCATCTTTTCTTTTGATAAACATAAGCTATTAATCACACTCTTACACTCTTAGAAACAAAAGCTTTAGGGGCCACTCGTTCTTAAGGCAAATTGCATTATTTATAATCTCATTAATCCAAAATTGCCAATAGTGTTTTATAACGTTCTCTGATATTTGTGATTAATCAAAGATTGTTATTGGCCTTTTTAAAGAAATTAAAATAATTTCTGACAGTCAAAGGTCGACATTGACGATTTTAACCAGCCTTTCATATTTTTCAACTTCTAAAATCACCATTGATGATTTTACTTTCTCAAATATTTTTTTTATTCAAAAATCGTCATTGGCATTTTTATATTTTAACTAACTTAGTGATAATTAAAATCGCAATGGGGCTTTTATACATTCATCATGACCCTTTTGTATAAGCAACAAACATTTTTCTTTGAATGTCACAAAACAAGTACACATGACAAGAACTAATGTTTGCAAAACTACGATGGAACTATGTTCATGTACTACATACTAAGTACAACAGACATGACAATGATGTTATGATCGTAAATTAATAACAACGTGAGAACTTTTCCAATCAACCAACGTTTGTATCTGGTCAACGGCCACGTGAGTCATTGCTGGTCTCACTCTCTCGTGCTTTGCTCACACTGAGAGACACAGCTTTTCTAGCTTTGCATCAACGCAACATTGAATCATTTGATTGATACTACTGGAAGAAGGGAATGGCTTCTCCAACAACTAGTCTCAATAAGAATCATCATGTTGCTGAAACAAACACTGCACCCTATGGCTCTTGGAAATCCCTCATCACTGCCGATGTTGTCTCCGGCGCAGCCAACGGGCTTGCCGGTACCGCCGTAGATGGCCGTGGCCGTCTCATTTGGTTAGAAATACGTCCAACAGAATCAGGGTAAGCTTAAGTGCCCTTTGGGTTATTAGCTTTTTTACGTTAAAAAAAGAAACACTTTGGAGAAGCTGGAAGCAATAAAAGGTGAGAGTTTGAAACTTCTGGAGTTTGCAGCTTACCCTTTTGATCATTCACTGTGTTTCAGACGAGGGGTTCTTGTTCTTGAGCCAGAGAACCCTGGAGAAGAACCTTTGGATGTTACTCCTAAGGAGTTTGAAGTGAGAACATTGGCCAAGGAGTCTGAAGGTGGTGCTTTCTGTGTTTCAGGGAATGTTGTCTTTTTCTCAAATTACAAGGATCAGAGGTTGTACATGCAATCCATCACTTCTGTAGGTGAGAAAGTACCACTCATCATTCCACGGTACCCATATTTTTTAAAAGAATCAAAACAATTTGAAATGACTCTGCATTTTGTAGTCTCCAGAAACACTTGCAAGAGAAAAAAAAAAAAGGATATCAAACAAATAAAACCATACTCATGAGTTAAAATCAATTTATGCACATCATGTTTTGAAGAAATTAATTGACAAAGCTTCAAAAAAAGAAAAAAATAATAGGTTGATTTTAACTTATAAGAAATTTTTTGTTTGTTTATCTTCTTATTTTCTTTTCTTACTACTGTTTCTACTTAAGCTTAACCAAGCTGGGCCTTAATCTTGTGTTGGTTTCATGTTGTGAGTTGGTTAACCTACTTAAGTTCACCCATACTGAGCTTGAATGCTTTTGGTATCAATCTAGGAATATTGGTCAGGTGTTATTCAAGTGTTTGTGAAATTTTTTTAAGAGTTGAAATGTTGTGGTTTTCCTTTGTCCCCTAGCAGATGTGCCTCCTGTACCTCTCACTCCGGATTATGGGGGACCGGTAGTCAGCTATGCTGATGGAATATTTGATGCACGCTTCAACCGTTATATTTGTGTAAGGGAAGGTAAGCTATTCAGAATCAGTTTACCTTCAAAGCTTATTTTACATTGTTCCTATAACATTTTGACTTGTTAAATCTTTCATTTTTTTGGTCATAGATCGCCGGGAGAGCAGTCTGAATCCTCCTATAACAATTGTGACTATAAAACTTGGCAGCAATGATGTTTTCGGTAAGAATTTCCATTTTACAAGTGAGTTTAATCTGGAGAAAGGTTGAATAAATACTGCAAATAAGTATTTCATTCTGTTGTTGCTGGTAAAAAGGTTTTCAGTAGTCGTGTGCTGTTTTCACTTGCTTGATGGCTTTTTATTTAAGATAAACAAAGAATTTACTAACATTATGTGTGACTGGATTGTGTGACATTCAGAACCGGAAGTATTAATCGGTGGGAGTGACTTCTATGCTTTTCCACGTCTCGATCCTAAAAGTGAAAGAATAGCATGGATTCAATGGAGCCACCCCAACATGCCATGGGACAACTCAGAACTTTGGGTTGGCTATGTTTCTGAAAACGGGTGAGCAGAACATGTGTCCAAATAGATCTCCCTATTGAGGTGACAGTGAAAGTTCTTTAGTTTCATTTCTTTCACGTGCTTTGGTTTTTCATAATTACCATTTTGTCTATGATGCGATTTCTTTAAATCTAGTTTTTTTCTGAATCACACAACACAGATTTTGTTGAGTAAGTAACATTACATAGTGCTTCCCCTTTCCATAACCTTAAAAAAGAGAAAAGTGATTGCTTGATTTGTATCCTCTTTGCAAATCTCAACTTACTTATGATATTTGTTCAATGTTTTCATCCAGTCCCATCAATATATTGTATTTCCTATACACGGTTTTTCTTTATATACCAACATTTTTTGCTTCTTTTGTAGTGTGGATGTGGTTTTCAAGTTCTCTATGATAGATGGAGTTACTGTTTACTTTTAAAATTATAAATATATGTTATGTCCTGTTTCAACTGAAGCTTAATCATCATAAGGTTCCATCCAGATATATCGACAAGTGTGTTTGTGTTGCTGGGTGTGATCCTTCACTTGTGGAATCTCCAACTGAGCCCAAGTGGTCCCCTGATGGTATGTTGACTTCTTTTTGGAGATAAAACTAAAACTTGCATATGAACACATATAGCCGTCTTGGCCAAACCAACATTTTTGTTATCTCCATCATGGCATGACTGCCCGAAACATTTTTCTATACAAGGAATAGGATCAGGATCCTTGATACAGGTTAATTTATGATCTCTTACTTATCTACAATGTCAAACATAGATGTTTTCTTCCCATGCTTTTAGAGCACACAATTTGTTCACAGGTTGTGTTGTTTTCAGTGAATAGTATTTGATTAAAAGGTTGCAAGACTCCAAAAAAGATCATTTGTTCAGTGTCTTTTGGTTTTTTAATTTGTTATTTTTTAATTTTAAATATGCAGGAGAACTTTATTTCATTACTGATAGAAGAAACGGTTTTTGGAATATCCATAAATGGGTAATTTCATATCTCTTACTATTTCTGCATGCGATTAATTATAAATAGTGGATTTCTTCACTTCTGTTTTTCTTCAATGATTATTGTTATTTTTTTATTTTTTATTTCATGTAGAAGCTAATTTCATGAATATATATTTTTGGGTGGGTTGTGGATACAATTACTAGTGTTACTTGTAGTTAACTTAAACAGTGTTATAATTTTAGTATGAAGGTTCCACAGAACTTTGTGTTTCCCACATATCAGATTGAATTGGTTGGTTTTGAATTGGTGTAACAGTTGGAGTTTTTGCAATGAAACCGAAGGAGGTCATAAGTTTAAGTTGTGGAATCAGCCTCATGTGAATGCAAGGTTGGGCTGCTTCCTGTAGACACGCACAGTGAATCCAATGTCACGAACTCCACCCAAAATCTTGACCATTGATTTCCCAACCATGTTTAATTTATAGCACCAGGCTGCCCTTTATTTAACCCAAGGTTTCTATTATGTGTAATTTTGATTTTTTACAATCGCTACAAGTTTCGAATTTGCCTATTAAAATGTTATAGAATATGCTTTAATGCATTATATTCAAACTTCACAAAATCGTGTATACGGATTTTATGTGACTTATGTTTAGAAAACAAATTAAGGTTTTCCATATCTTTTACCATGTTACATTTACGTACAAGGATGTAGTACATTGTAAAGAATGGTAGAAGTTTTATAGCAAATAAAGAAAAGTGTAATTGGAAATCAGCATTTTTGTCAATTTGAAGTTTATATGTTATGTACTACAAATGCATTATATTGATATTTTACTCTGCCTATGAATGTCTTGTTCTTTTTTTATTTGTTTGTCTTGGATTCCATTGTGCAGGAAGGTGATTCAAAAAATTCATATGATTGCTAGCTTGCTTCAATACATTTTCATGTTGGAAATACAATAGCACTAAAATTTGAATATTACTTGTTTTAATTTTCCTTTTCTAGCTTCGTTAATTGATCGCAGATTGAGTCTGATAATATTGTCTTGCCTGTTTATTCTTTGGATGCTGAGTTTTCAAGGCCACTCTGGGTTTTCGGCATTAATTCTTATGAATTTGTTCAAAGTCATAATCACAGAAACTTAATTGCTTGCAGTTACAGGTGAATTTAAGTCTGCTACTTGTTAGCCTTTCTCTTTTCATTCTTTCTTTTGATACAGATGATTTAGGGAATTCATCCATTCTGGTACATTCAGTTCATGGTTTGACTGTGGATGCAGGCAGAAAGGGAGGTCATATCTTGGAATCATTGATGATGTGAAGGCTTCAAAAATAACTGTGCTTGATATCCCTTTCACCGATATAGATAACATTGTAACTTTTCTAATTGTTTCCTTGTTTTTCTTCTCCTTTTTTATCTTTCAGTTTTCTAACTCAATTATTCCATTCGTTACACAACAATAATCTAAATTTGGCAATAACGCCATTAGACTTATGGAAATGATTGCTTATATGTGGAGGGAGCGTCTGCAATTCATCCATCATCAGTGGCCAAGGTAGTTCTTTCTTCCGCATCATTTTACTTCAGAGTCATTTCAATGCACCCGATGATAACTCCCTTGCTTTTCAGGTGACTTTAGACGACAATAAATCAAAAGCAGTTGACTTTTACATTATTTGGTCCTCCTCTCCAGATTGTTTGAAGTATAGTTCTTACTTCAGCAAACCAGAGTTGATTGAATTCCCAACTGATGTTCCTGGTCAAAATGCTTATGCATTTTTTTATCCACCATCTAATCCTGTTTACCAGGCCAATAAAGGCGAAAAACCTCCTTTATTAGTGGAAAGCCATGGTATTTATCTCTGTCTTGTGTAAAGAATTATCATAATCAATTTCATATGGTAATCATTAGGCCACTTACATACTGAATTGGAAACCTTTTGTCTTCCCTCTTACTCAAATGACCAAGTACAATGGCTACATTTTATGTCAGCATTGCTTTATTTGATTATTTCAGGAGGACCAACTTTTGAAACTCGTGGAATTTTGAAATTGAGCATTCAGTACTGGACTAGTCGAGGTTGGGCATTTGCTGATGTTAATTATGGAGGAAGCACTGGTTCGTTTATCTGTCTACAATGTTCATGTTTCTGAATCACATTATCTTTTTTGGACAAAACTTAGATCAAGTTTCTTATATCATTGTCATCAAATTTTCAAATGCAAGGAAATATTTTAAGTCCTCAAGGAATCCATACTCTTCCCTTAAGATAGCAATACCCACCTTGGTATAGTTATTTTTTTCCCGAAATACAAATTTTTAAAATAAAAAAAGTTTTAAACAGTGAAAATTAACTACAAGGGAGTAAGTATTATGGAAGTACCAAAAGTTTACTCCAAATGAAGCAGTGACACAAGAACATTTTTGAAACTGCCACAACACAATCTTAATGGAAGCTATTTATTGTTGGAAAAAAAATCCGTGTGCCATTGTTTGATTTGTTATGTTATTGGCAAAGAACTACTAAGAAAATTTTGGTTATTTACGACTCACTCACTATTTGAATTTGTATCAGTAACAGCCTGTTGTAGTCATTTTCAGTTATTAAAAAGATGAAACTGCATTTTTCTAACTACAAATTGTTTGGAAGGTTATGGCCGGGAGTACAGAGAACGGCTTTTGAGACGTTGGGGAATAGTTGATGTTAATGACTGTTGTAGTTGTGCTACATATTTGGTAATTATTTTGTTTCTTATTGTTTCCTACATTTTTGTGGTCACAAAAGTGGTTATATAATATAATCTTTTATCTAGGTGGACTGTGGAAGGGTAGATGGGAAGAGGCTGTGTATAACTGGGGGCTCTGCTGGTGGGTATACCACATTAGCTGCCCTTGCTTTTGCAGAAACTTTTAAGGCTGGGGCTTCTTTGTATGGTGTGAGTGTTCTTCTGATACTTTAATTTCAAGTTTTATTAGGTAATTCTTCTTTTCTAAAGATTATATTAGCTGCTTTGCTTATTAACCATGAAATAGGTTTCATGGGAATAGAATCCTGACTGATCATTAATTCACAGTACTGGATGTTTGAAAAAGTAATTTGTTTCATCTCCTTGACGAAGAAGATAAGATTAAGAATGTAATAAACATATTTTCTTCTTTTGCTATAATCCCTTTTAATTGATTATTAATTTAAATAACAGACAAACACCTACCTACTAGGATAAGGCTTGATTGTTGTTGTAGTAATAGACAAATACCTTCCTCAGGCTTTTGGCCAAGATTTGTGTTATGAATTATCTTTAACAAAGAATTTATAAATTATAATTGTCTTATTGTTGAATTTATTTTTCATTTGGTCTCTTTAAACAGCTAGCCGACTTGAACTTGTTCAGAGCAGAAACTCACAAATTTGAATCTCATTATGTTGGTAAACTTGTTGGTAAGTTGATTATGTACATTCAAGTTAGCACTTATCACTTTGGTTTATTTGCTTCATTTAAGGTTTCAGGAAATCTCTTAACTGATTACAGGAGGTGAAAAGGAGTGCTTTGAAAGATCACCAATCAATCATGCTAACAAATTTTCTTGTCCCATTATTTTGTTTCAAGGATTGGAGGACAGGGTTAGTGACAATGGAATTATTATTTCCCCCTTCCGAATTCTTAAATCTACTTTAAATAATCTACAAAATTCAGTTCAATAAATACATTCTACACTTTGCAGATTGTGCCACCAGATCAAGCTCGGAAAATTTATCAGGCTCTGAAGGAAAAAGGTGTTCCAGTTGCTCTTGTTGAGTATGAAGGAGAACAACATGGCTTTCGAAAGGTACATGCTTATTTAATTGTTTTTCTTATAAAATAGAAATTTAAGGAGGAAGTAGTGAACAAATGTAGTGATGTGTTGAATACAGGCTGAGAACATTAAGTTTACACTTGAACAACAAATGGTCTTCTTTGCTCGATCCATTGGAAACTTCAATGTTGCTGATGATATTACTCCAATTAAAATTGACAACTTCGATTGAGAATGGTTTTTCAGAGGTACACTTGTTGGATCTTTATTATCTATATCAAAACTAGGGGAGTACCTATTCCCTTTCCCATCTATCTATTGCCACTCCTAACCTTTTTGTTAAAAAATAAATAAATACCCTTTTTCTTTGTTAATCAAACTAATAGGTTCGGAAATTATATAAAAGATCATTAAATAGGAGTGGCAAAAGACACTCCCTGAAAGAAGTCACCAGTAATATTTGTTGTAATGTGGCAATACTGCTTTGCAGAACTAGGAAGTCTGGTGGAAATTACTGCACTTTTGAGCTTCTTCTGAGATAGTACTAACAGACCCACGGGATTGCATGCTCTGGGTTAATGCCATGAACTGTGAAGTGTTCCTGCAGTAGTTTATCAAATCTTTGTTTGGAACCAATTTAGTCTTGTATTTCTTTAATTGAATCTTGTTATACTACTGTGAATGTGTTTTGAACTCACTAGAGTTATGGCATTTCTTTGTATTCTAGAATTTTTTTTCCAAGAGATGAAGTGGGAGATAATTAAATGTGATGTTTATCAACCAAACAAGTTTGATAGTGCTAAGCTTATTACTTTCAATAATACTACTGTTCTGTTTTCTTTGATCCATCGCTTTGGTCCATTTGAATGTAAAGAATGATAATCTAGTTCAACAAGAAGTCTTATTCTACTAAGTGAATTTGATCAAAACCCAATTTTTAAAAATTTAGTTAACTAAAAGGTCTTTTTTAATAACTTTATCTAAGATTATTTTCGGTCACTTTTTTTTACCAAATTAAAAATCATGTAATTCACTCCTCACCGATGTTTATAATAGTCTTATTTACACTCGACAAAATTATCTTAAACGATTTTTAATCATTTTTTATTTAAAATATTATTTTTTATCGTATCTTTTTTTATGCAACAATTCATCAATAATTAAATTAAATTATAAAATTATATTGTTATTTGTATTATAATTAAATTTACATAGAAAATAAACATGTGCATAATAATAACAATAATACAACCATAATTCTAACTGGATTTACAGCCATGTATTACATGGATGATCAACAAAATTATTTTGGGTTTTGTTCAGTTACAGTATATTCTAAATTTAATATATTACCTTATTGATTAGAACATAATATTGAAAAAAATCTCCTACCAGGCTACTACTGAAGTGTTTGGTAAAGAGTGTTCTTATCATTTTAACCATTGATCTTTGTTTTGAAAAATAATTTCGGGATAACTGTAAACCAAACACTAAAACTTCAGTATGCAAATGCATCCATTCCACAAATATATACAATAATCCAAAGAGAATTTATTAAGGATATCTTTGAAAACTAATTGATTAAAAAATTTGATTGACTTGAAAGTCGAACTAATATTAGTTGATGCTTGTTCCACCATGTCACAATAAGAGATATCTTCAAAAAATGGTCTATTGGTATGACCGAAGTTTCTAGTTAATGCAACTATGGTACTATATTATTAAACTCCAATTAAAAGGCCAACATAAAAAACCAAAATCATATCATATATTTAGCAATTTCAGAGATTGAATAGTATATCAATTAAAGATAGAATGTAATATAGATTATATATATTACTATTACCCAAAATAATGTGCATTAAGATTATATTACAATTTACAAAGGCCTTGATATTTATCAAAACAGCATGGTGCATGGATATTGGAGAAACTTCCTCTGAATCAAAGTATATTAGATGACAAAGATCATGAAAGAAGTCCATAAAATTATGCTAGTAGTGAAGAGTTTGAATAATTTTAAATTTTAATGTAGTCCTATATTTAAATTTTCTTGCTTTCAATGCTTGAAAAAATTATGAAAAAGTTATCGCCATATCCATATAGAAACCTAAGCAATACAAATAACTAAACAGGTGTATTTCAACATCCAATAGCATGCGTGAACTACAACCAAGAAGAAAAGGAAAAGAAACTTAACCTGCTCCATTTATTATCTCAAATCAAATAATCCCCTAAATTATGACCCAAAATATTGTTTGAATGAACCCAATAATAATAATAATAATCATAATCATAATCCCCTAATTTGATGCAAATTTCACGTCCAATAATTGACAAATTTAATATTATATAACACCTTGATACACGAACTTGAACTTGGTTGATTTTCTTTTTTATGAGTTGTGGAAAGACAATCTAAAATAACATATATGTCCCTTGTTGAAATAATAAAATGGGAAATTTTAGAAACACACTCTTTTAACCTATTATTTTTAACATACTTTTAATTATTAACTCAAATTTATTCAAAATAATAAAAATATGAGAGAGAATTATTAAATTAAGAACGACAGTTGTATGCTTTTCAATAAATTTTAGCAAATTAAGAGTGATAAAGAGTGTATTGTTAGTATTTTTCAAATACAAATATTGAAAAAAAGTTTAATTTTGATGCACAAGTAAAGAATTTTACAACAATAACAACTTAGAATATACTGTGAATCTATTTTTTGTAATACAATAACATTTCATACATAAAAGGGATCTTTCCTCAGTATCATTGATATCCACTATGAAGATGTCATAGTAAGTTTGATAAAACTTTATGCAACCAATTATGACAAAAAGGAGCCAGAATGATATAAGCAGCCAAGTTAAGAGAGTTTTGTATTGCAAGAAGGAAATAGACTGTACATATCACATAAAATAGCTTATTGTTAGTCCTTAAACTATTGGAAGATGTTAAAAAAAATATTTTGAAAGTTTGTAAGTAAAATTTAATTTTTAAAATTATAATTGCTATATTTTTTTGCTAGATTTCTTATATTCGGCCACTTAGATTTAATTAGTTCAAAATTTTAGGAAATAATTAAACTTATAACCTGGTTCTTGATCTATTTTTAAAAAAATTCGATTGTATTCATGAATATAGTAGAACTCTAAGGGAATGATCCAATAACAATCATTAAAGTTTAAAGGTCATTTTGGTGGTTAGTTTATACTGTTGAGTTATTTTATCGTATTTTTATAGTTTAAATTTTTAGTCATTTTTTTATTATATTTTTACTCATACTTTATACCTTTTTTTTAATATTTTATTAAAAATAATTATTTAAAAAATATAATTTTAATATTTTTATAAAAAAATTATATGAACATTTTGAAAAAAATATTTTAACAAAAGTATATTTCAAAAAATTATAAAAAGTACTATACTTATTTGATAAAATATACCTCCTAACTTTTTATAATTTTTTGTTTTAATTATATTTTCTTACAAAAAATATATTTTAATTGTAAAAAAGTTGAAGAAAATTATTATAATTTAATGTCAAAACTTTAATATTATACATACACAAAAATATTTTAATTTATAATATATATATATATATATATATATTGAAAAGTCAAAATATTAAATAAAAATTTATTTTATCATTTAAATATAATTTATATTTAATTTTATTAATTTTTTTTATTTATCTCAAATAATAAATGAGATGACATAATATTATCTACCTCACTATCTTAATATATATCAAACATAAGATATATGATAAGAGTTTATATTTTCTTGTATATTTTATTTAATCAAACTCGTATATCTTATTATTTCTTATCTTCCTATGTTGACCGACCAGGTCGTAAATGTTTCCAAATAATTTAGGAACTACAAATTAATTTAAACCTAAATTAGTTAATGAGTCCATAACATTGGCTCTTAAATTGAAATTGGGTCAATGTACGATTTGTTCTTTGCCAAGAAGAGACTTCTTTGAGTGGAATTGGATTTAGGGCCCTTGAAAAATGACAATGTGCAAAGAATCAGTCCTTTGCCTTTACATAAAATAATGTAATTTTGTATGTGCATTGACGATGTCTTTTGCATTTAATTTAAACCTATAATAAATAATACATAAGATTGCTTCAAATTGACATGGGGTATTAAACGGAATAAACGAAGATGATTAATTTGTTAAACGTTCTTAAGTTAGATTTCTTTTTTAAAAAATCAAACAAAAAGTTAAAAGACTCGATATTAATTTTTTTTATGCAATTAAATTATGTAAGATAAGACAAGTTACGTAAACAAGTTCCGGTTTTCTTTTCAAGATACATTGTTAAAAGATGTGGGAAAAGATGCGTCTTATAGCAAAATATCAAACACGACAAAGGAGATTGGCGTGGCTTAAGGTACATCGAGACTTGACCAGAAAAAGGTACATGGAGACACAGAGGATATGTTAACGTTAGAAAGTAAACAGAGGCGCGTGTTGAAGCCTTTGTCAATAAGTCTTTGTACTTTTCACCTAGATGCACTCTTTTTTTTCTCTCTTGGAGTATGACTCATAGCAAAGTTATATATAATGTAAAATTATATTCATTCTCATATTATTTAATATATTTTATTATTTATTAATTCTTTAACTAATGTCCTTACGACACTAATTAATGAAAGACTTACTTATATTTAAAAAAAAATCATTTATTAGTTTGAAAATTAAAATTCTGTGTCCGAGGTTTCGACGGTTAATGGTGCTGAAGTTTACATTTTGACAACCTTTAATGGCATTTTCTTTGCTCCCATTGTACATCAATTATTACTCAGCAAACAAGCACCAAAAACCTCATTTTCATTCTTTCAAGCAAATAGTTGAACAATACTCGTTATTGGTGACAATAATAGTCTTAGAGAAAGTGGTCCCAGGGTTCAATTATAAAGTTTTACCACAGATGATTTCAGTTTCTGGGACCAGAAATCACCCTTGTCATCTACAATCTATATGACAAATTGTACGCCACATCTACTAAGAAAATCAAAATTGCTGAAAAGATAATGCTATCATCTATACTTCATTGATGATCTGGTTTCCTTGCATAATTGTCCTCAGACTTAAAATGATACAATACAAGCAACATGCTTCTTGTAACTTTTATAGGATACTACACAAAAATGAAGCAAGGTTGGTCATGATAGATTATAAAGCAGCCTATTTTCCAAGAAGATTATTGAGGCATTGGCACAAGGGGATAAAAAGATTATCTGCTCAAGGCTAAAATATGAGAGTGATGATGAAGAACTGAAACATGGCCTAAGTCTGAGGCTGAACAAGTGCATTTATTGATGGCCCCTCATAATTTCTGAGCAGTATTTTTTCTATTTCTAGAAGCAGCAGATTAGTGCTTCCCACAATTCATAACAAACTGCTGCTTTTGGGTCATACTTCAGTCATACAGGTGAGAAATCACTGCCTATGTTCACTCCTAAATCTTCTGTTTAAGAACATGGCGCAACTGAACCTTCTGGCTTTCCATCCTAGCCTCCAAAAGTCTGGCTTTCAAACTATTTTTCTGTGTGCTACGAGGAATGCATCCCTTCATGCCTCGATTTTGTAGATTTCCGGACTCAGGAGAACTCAACTGGCATAGAAGGTCTTGTGGGCTTAATCCACCTTTGCCAAGTCCCCAGTCTGGAGACATGATGTCCCCATTGGATACCCTTCCATTTGAAAGCCTCCCATTCATTCCCTCCACAGAGATTATCTTGTAATTATCACCATTGTTCGGACCAGATCGCCAAAGCCTTGCAATGGAGGATACCTTCTTTGATTGCTTGGTTGGTACTGAGCAGACTTCACTAATTTCAGTTATTGGGGTCTCTCCACCTGCAATTTCTTCCCATTCAAGCTCACTCCGCCCTGAGACATTACTCTCTCGATGATTCTTAGTCACTGCACTCCCTTCTGGTGAACAACTTGATCCTTGATCCTCAACATGGCTCACAGTTTCCCATCCACTTTCATCTTCTTCTATATCACCATTGTCCATAAATACATCAGCACGTCTCTGAAAGCTATCCTTACTTATCAAGTGGGCTTCAGGACTCACTGTGTGGATCTTTGAGGCATGGCTCACTGGAGAGTATGTAACACATGGTTCAATCTCCCCCCTCTCGTTGGGTTCACCAAAATTTACATCTTCAAAAATGGCAAAAATATCATCTGGATTAGGTGGCTCGTAGGAAAATCCCTTGATGTCTTGAATATCTACAGAAGCTGCAGCCTGTTGAAGTGACCGTGCTTCTTTCATCTCCTTCGCATTTGGGTTCACATTTGTTGATTTGAGGAAGGTTTCCAAATCTGCTACAAGTTTATTCATCTGTGAATACTTCTCATCAACTGTAACTTTTGCATCAATCAATTTCATATGAACACGTTCTTCACGCCATACTTCAGCCATCTGTAACATCTTCCTCTCCTCTTCTACCTCATCCCTAATTTTCATAGATTCCCTCTTCAGTGCTTCAATTTCAGCCTTGTCTTCTCCAATTTCCTTAGCAAGCTCATCACAAACTTCCTCAATCAATTCTCTGGCCTTCCTTTCTTTCTCATAATCCTGCATGTAACGTTTTACTAACAACTTAGCATCTGCCAACTCATTAACCATCCTGGAATTGACAATTTCAATCCTTTGGCGACTTTTCCTTTCTCGACTCAACTCTGATTTGATGTCATCAACATAAGCACGGATTTTCTCATGCTCTTTACTTCGCCATGAAGCCCTTTCCTCACTAACTTTCTTTAAAAAATGTTCAAGTTTCTTTTTGGAAGAGTGGCGTTCAGTCTCAAGCTCTTGAATCTGCACACGAGCCTGTTCTAGTTCAGCTTCAAGAGCAGAAACAGTGCTAACCTTTTGGTCAAGAAGTTTCATCCGGCTGTAGACATGCTGCACCTCTTTTGATGTTTTTAAACAAACAGGATCCCACTTTGTCACCCCTTCCATTGCTGTACTGGAAAACTGGAAAGAAGGGTTGAGCTGAAAAATATCAAAGTAGGTTTGAGATAAGCATTACTCTCACTTAAGGAAAATAAAAGTGACACACTTTTAAAACTCTTTCCACAGCCAAAGAAGCTTCCTTCCATGAATGATATTTAAATGAAACTATCACAACTCTGGTTTACCCAAACAGTATGAAAATGTTTAGCCCATGCATTTTTATAAAGTAAATTACAACTATACATAACATGGATCTAAGCAACACTTAAATATAATTACAGCATCCAATAGTCAATAGACCTACCTTTTATATCATATCTGTTAAGATGTTTACACGTTCAAATGGTGGCTATCATGTCAGCCTATATCAGCATTTGTACCAGAATGCGGGACATACTATTACATTTGCACAATATAAATATTAGATCACGACTGCATGTTGCTGTAATATTACTACAGTTTGTTGTGTATCTATAACCTAATTTATTGAGATAGCAGCTTTCAGTACAAAGTATAGATTTATCATGATTAAAATGGGCATTTTCTAGTTGCTTTGTTCATAAGAATAAGGGCAATGCTACCGGAAATCCTTCCACTTTCAAAATTATATATCATTAAGGAGCTTTCGAAAAGGGATTAGCTAGTTGATATCATGCAAAACTACAGAAAAGCAAGCAAGCAGCTCTACAGACTGTCTAGTGTTCTTGCTCATGGCAGCAGAATCAACATCAGTAATGATCCACTCAGTGTTCTTACAAGTCTTCTGATATGTGGTTGCGACACAATCACTATCCCTAGATTAGTCTCCATGTAGCTTCTGCACTGTTTGGGACCTTGGCCCCATACTTAAGACAAAATAAATGCATTTGAAGAACTGACAGGGTAGAGAGATCACGATGCTTTAAATACATGGAGTCCATTCAACAGTCTTCAATGACAATAACTAACTCATAAGGTGAGAATTGTTTTACCCTACATAAGTTCTATTTTAGCCATATTCGTAATCAACATGAGATTTCGGCACCCATCACACTCAAGATTGGACATTTAGAATGTAGAAATTGTACGCCTAATTGTTTTATATATATATATATATATATTGCTGGAAAAAGCCATGGGGCCTGGTAGTGGTAGGCTACATTGGGAAAGTTGCAAATTCAAATAAGATGCACTAGAAAATCCACAGGGCTAGGTTAATTGCACAGGAAAAATCCACAAGACTAAGGTTTTTTTAATCAAGGGTAACCTAATACAAAGATAGACTCTAATACTATCTTAAATTTAGAAATTAGCCTAACATAACCCTAAAAGTTAGCTTATAAGCTGAAGATTGTTTTAGTCATCATTATAAGATTTACTTTAATCATATCTGTAGTCAATGTAAAACTTCAACAAAATAGAAAACATAATACCTCACAAAAGTGCCCATCCTTAGTCCCAGAAATGGAACGAGGACTTTGAGATGGATTCTTCATTGAAGAACCAGAACCGTGCATCATGCCACTTTGATGACTGAGAAATTGGTGGTCTACATGGTCAATTCCATGCTGCAAATAAGTGATATATCATATAAGTTATACACCAGAAGAGAAAGGTTATAAAATTTATAACGACAACTAACTGCCCAGTTCTGAAAAAATTGACAGTAACTACATGACAGTGGCATGCAATGAAGAAGAACAATTCTCTGATAATGCATAGATACCTACTAAAATGAGTGAGGTAAACAAATAGCAAACTGCACAGTTCACGTAAGAACAAGCATAGGATGCATATCAGATCCAAGTGCAAATATTTACACTACAGATAATTAACCACATTTATATCATACATATAAATTCAATTATTTCCACAGACAAGCCCCAGTGAAATCATTTCTCCAATTATTACAAAGAACAATAATGACTTCTGCAGTAGACCAAAAATCAATTAAGAGTCAACTATACTTATTAGGCCTGATTTTATTTTATTTTTCCTTTCATGTAAGGTTATGAATTACTCCTGTACCAATCTTTTTATTCTTGCATACATTTATAATTAATGAAATTCAAGCATTTATTAAACATCAGTTATCAAAATTTATACTCATTAGTTACCAATCATTTATTCATTACCGGCTATACTTAGTGTACTTCAAACATTGATCAAAATTAATGTACTAGCACCCGAGAGAAAGAGAGAGAGAAAGCAACATTTTAACTGAAAGCATAATAAAAAGACCCTCAAAATTGGAACATGCAGAAAAATGAAAAAAAGAAGGAATCACAAAACTGGAAAACTAAGCGACTCAAAATCTCAATCAGAATCTTTGAACAATGAAAGCCCCAAAGAGGGTTTTACTTTTACCTGAACTCCCAAAAGATCTTCACCGATCCTTCTCAAACCCCTTCGCCGTCCACCATCAGCCACCGCCACTTCCGGCAGCTGCAGCCGCCACAACCCAGCGGCGAGTTTCCTCGCCGACACAGCGGCAAGCAGTGGCGCCTCATTTGTCCGGCCATGTTCTTGGAGTGGATCGCCATCGTTCCTATCTCTCTCGTCGTGGATCTTCCACTTCAACAAGGGGGTCTCGGGCCTGCTCCGTTTACCGCCGGGTGCCACACTCCGCCACAACCTGGTCGCCGGAGTTCTGGGTTTCCGGCGGGAGGTCCTCCGGTGAGGTTGAAGATCGGAGTCCGGCGAGGGTTTTAGGACTTTGGGAGTAATGCTCGCCGGGAATGGCGGCGGTGGTCGGTTAGTGTCGCCGGAGATCTTCATTGTCGCCGGCGAGTGTTGGCCATTTCAAGGAACACCCAGTAAAGTAAGGTGGAGCGGTTTTGGTTGTGGGAATGAAATGCTTCAAATAACACAGAGAAAGTGAGAGAGAGAGAATCTGAGTGTGGTTTTTGGGTGAAGTTTGTGAACTGTGCGTTGTGGTTGCTCTGAAAGAGAGAGTAAGAAGAAGAGGTTATTGTTCTGAGAGACTTGTATTTTGTGTTGTCTAGTGCTGAGTGAGGAAATGGGGGCACAAGCACAGGGATTCTATTACTAAGTACAGAGATATACGCTCTTAACGTATATTTATACGGTCAACGTATCTTAACCTTCCACTTTACTATTGCTGAATTCTTTATCCTTTTTCGTGATCCACCATAAAAAGTAGACAATTTTTAAGTATATTATCGTTTTAAAATGTTTATTCTTATTTTTTAAAAATAATATAAATATTTTTAATTGATTGATTAAATCAATAATAATAATATTTTAATAAAAAGTGATAATAAACATTTAAAAATGAATTAGACATTTTTTAATTTAAAATTTGTTATGAATTTAATTCATTAATTTAGTAAATTAAATTTTAAAATTTTTATAATTTTAATACAAGAAATATATTTTTTAAAATAAAAAATTATTATTTTTATATATTTAAACTCAGAAGTTGAAGATAATAAAATATTTTGTTCATAAATTAAGTGCATTTTTAAGATAAATACACAAAAAATAAAAATAATTTTTTTAATAATTTAAATATCATAACTATTTTCAAAATAGCCGATCCTTTATATTAATTGCCAAACTACAATTATTTATTGGAATAAGACAGTATCCTACCTCCTCCAATTACAGGGTGAGGATTTTTGAATTATTTGAATTGAGAAGAAAACATGTAGAATAAGTTAAAAGGGTAAATACAATAAAAAAAAATAATATTTTAATATGAAAATGTATTTTATTTTATATAAAATTATATATATTATGTTATTTTTAGAAAAAATTACTATATAAAGAATAAAGTAAGTGTTTAAAACATCGATAATTTTTAAAATTTTACAACTTTTCGAACATTTTAAGCAGAAGTGCTTATTTGTCTTAACATTTTCAACAGAGAAAACGTACTTTACAATATACTTTTCTTAAAAGCAAATACTTTTTGCTGTGCCCTACAATTAAGTGTTTTGTTTGGTTTAAATTGAGGTAAAATTAAATTTAAACTATTAAATATAATTAATAAAAAAATTAATTTCAATTATATTTTTCAAAATATACATTTTTTGTTAAAAAAATATGAAATATAACTTTTTAACTTACAAACAAATAAGTCTAAATTTAAATTTGTTATTATCTAAATAATTCATATATCTGTTGTAATATCTTGCTACCGAGGAAGGTGCATGAATTGAAGGAAGTGAGTGAGCTTGTTACTCATTCTGGTATTTTTTATAAAACAAAATATTAATGTTTTCTTATAAAATGTTAAGTTCAACTATTAAGTTACTAAAAGTGAAAAAAATTAAAAAAAATATTTATAATATTAGAGATATAAAAATGTAATTAATATTTTTAATGAAAATTAGTATTATTAATTTTTTAAACTCAACTTTAGAAATACATGCATGTGTGTTTTAACCGCAATATTAACATTTTTATGATTTCTATATCTACATTGCAATCACAATTATGCATGTATTTATGCAATTTTTCACAAAAACAAAAGCATTGACATACTCGTAACTTATATTCTAAAATCACAATTTAAAATGTTGTTAAATGAAATATTATCGTACTCTAATTTGTATATTAATTAAACATAATGTCTTACATCACCCAAAATTTAATCATATTCCATGAAGTGTTTTAGCAAAATTTAATCACTCATAATGATCTCTTTTTACATTTTGGTATATTTATGAAACTATAATACATGGTGTTTGAACGATTTAATGTTAATTTATGCTTACATAAAAATTTACATGAAACGTTACTAAACATGTGTAAATTTTAATATGAAAACAAAATAGAGGAGAATTGTAATAGTATAATTTACAGTAGTATAAACAATTTAGTTTAAACAGAATAATATTCTTTTCAATAATAATGTATTAAATACTAATTAAATGTTTAATTTGATTAAGTATAGCAGAGTTTTAAAAAAATTGATTAAATATGTTTATTGAATTAATAATAACTTAATATGTATTGTTAATTCTCTTTAGAGTTATAACAAGTTAAAATATTCTTATATTCTAAATTTATTCTTGATAAAATGTTAATGTTTAAAAAAAAAAAAAAAAAGGTTAAAAGTGACCTAAATAGCATTCAAGTTTGCTTAAGTATATATGTTGCAAAACTTATTGTTTTTAATTAGATTTCTTAAATGGAATGAATCCTAATTAGGGTTCAAAAAATGCTTGATTTAGGGGAAGAACGACATCGTTTGCCCATCCCTTGTCATTACCTATCATTGCAATATGCCACAATAATTCTAATAATTTCACATGAATTCTCTCTGTCAGCCACTTTCTTTTTAAAATTTCCCTCCTTTTTATATGGTTGTTACATAGAAGACAAAAAAAATATTATTCTTTCCAATTGTGTAGAGAAGTTAAGTAAAAGAATTTCTCAAAAAAAAAAAAATACAAATTATTTTTTAATTTATAAAAATGTATTTAGTTAATTTTTTATATAAAAAATTATCTAAAAATTTAACATTTATTTAACACAATCTGTTCATCAAGCAAACTTAAATTAAAAAAAAGAAACATGTTATTTGTATAAATAATAAAATACTCGATGCATACAAGTGATTTGTCCATCAAACAGCATATGCTGTTATTGGAATAAAAATGTGTATGCAGGATCACAGTAGTCCAGATCATATCTAATCATCATTTGACATGTGTCAAAATTGATCACGGACCATATAAAAAATTCTCATGTTATTGATACCCTCCTATTCAAAGTCAATCAATAATAAGTAAAGTCATTTTTCGAATATCCCGAATAGCCAAATAAATATAATAAATGTCTCAAATAAAAATACTTAATTATTGTGAGAATGAAAATAATAAATATAGATCATTAAAATTTATTTAAATATTTAATATTAAAATAAAAATATATAAATAATTAATTTTAATTTTAATTATTCATATATAATTATATAGTCTAAATTTATCACTCTCACAAATTTAAAATGAAAATTATTTTTACTAAATAAATTATATCAATGTTTGTAATTCACCTATTTGTGTGATAAAATTATTAGAGAAGTTTATTTATATGAGATAAAGTTATATGATATTAAAAGTCATATTTGGTAAAAAAAGAATATCATTTTTTATTAATTTAGCTATTAATTCATGTGATATTAAGGAAATGTTGAAAAAAAGGGGGGGAAGAGGTGAATGAGCGTGGGAGACACTGACTGATGATTTCCTCGCAAATGTTGCATTGTCCGGCTGGCCGTAGGAACAAGACAGATCTTTCTATTTGTCCTTCCATTCATAATTTAACAACTATCAAGGCATCCGAGGGAGCTTCCACGTGCCCATCATCAAAGCCTGCCACGTCAAATCTTTTTTACAACTGCATCACATGGGTTTCTTATGCATATCCCCACTTTTATTTAATAAACCTTAAAAGCTGATTTTAAATTATACATTCTTATATGTTTTTAATGTATTTTTATATCATGAAATGCGTCGGTGATTTAGCTTTTATAATTTGTTACATTTGATAGTTGTAACATATTTTATTCACATAGGTATGAAATATTTTTTTCTAGTTAGATCTAGGTGGTCTTTAAACAATGAAAAAGAAGCTAACGGCTACAAATCATAAATTAATATTTTAATAAGAAATGAAAAATAATATGTTGGATGCTATGAATGCATGGCCACCAAAGGGGGGTTTTGATGAAATCCACAGAATCTATGAGGTTCCACACTAACATGTGGCCCACATAATCACGGTTCCTAAGATTTTGTGGTGCTTCTTTTTCAGGGTACCCTTCGGAGCGCTGTCTACCTTTTTTTCTTATTTTATTTCTTTAAATTATCATGTAAGAGCCAAAGCTTTGATTCACCTGCAAATTCTTGTTTAACTAAAATTTATTAAAAAATATAAAATTATAAAAAATATTAATTTAATAATAAAAAGGTAAAATCCACTTGTTAATTAATTTTAACTAATAATTAGAGGGCTTTTAAACTTTGACCTAACAGAAATTGAATAAAATCTGGATGGCCCTTTATGGCTTTAAAGTGGGCTTCGAATCATGGGTCTAAGATAAAGCCCATTCAACCTCACTTGGGTTTTTTTCTACCATAACATCGTCTCGTTATGCTTTGGGTTTGTTCTAAAGCAGAAAATAGTTGCTGCCGTTCAACGTGCTTTAGGTTTCGTGTGAGACATATCCCCATCGTTTATTTTAATTTAGACAGTCTCTGAATTGTTCGCTTTCTATTGGATAATTTAGACAAATCCTTAGTATAAGAAAGATAGCAGAAATTAAAAAACAAGGTTTTGCACCTGATGCATAAATGTTGCTGAATAAGTAGACTATTACATTTTTTATTTTGATTAATTTTTATTTTTTTAAATTTATTTTGTATATAAAGACAAACTACCTAGCCAATATCATGAGTTAAAGATATCAGAGAACTCTGAGGAAAAAAAAACACTATGAACATATTGATTTATGTAAGAAATAAAACATAGTGATTTACGTAAAAATAAATATTTATAATTTTGCAATAAGCATTTTTTTTATCAGAACTGATTCTTTTTATAAAACTTTGAACATGTTTACGTTAATATTATATGTAATTTAGTTTTGTTGATTAGCATATATGTTTTGTAAATTTAACGTTTAGTCAATTTTGTCTAATTATTAAACTGATTTTATTATATATGCAGACAACAGCCATCAATCTAGATTGTCTTCTTCAGTTTTCTCTGTTTAACAAGCAAGAAACATTGACAGTCGAGTTAAATATAGCAATTCAAGGATCATACTCATTGACCAACGATCTTGAAATTGTTTTATTCTTCTTCGTTGATCTATACTAATTTTCAAGAGAGAGATGTTTAATTTGTGTTTACATATATGTGAGAAAATCTTGAATTTCAACTATTAATCATCACAGAGGCAATCAAAACACATAAAATAAAGGGAGACTCTAAGCCATATATATCAGGAAACAGAATTGTGACACAATCGGTAAAGAC